TAGTGGCGGGCAAAGATGGCGGCGGCCGCCCCCGAGCAGGTCCGGCCGCGGCGGGACGCGGGAGGGCCAGGGGGGACCGGGGCCGCGGGGAGCAGGCTGTCCGGCCGGGGGTGCTGCTGGCGGAGGGGGCGCTCGGGTGGGGGTGCCATTTTCGCTGCGGTGGGCGAGGCTGGTGTGGTGCCGGAGCGCTCCGGCTGGGGAAGGGAGAAGCGGCGCTGGGGCGGCCCTTGCCGCCGTGTGCCCGCAGTGCTCGGACAGGACGGGCTCGGCCGTGCCGGGAGAGACGGCCCGAGCCTGCTGTCCGGGCGGGGCGGGGAGGCGTGGGTGTGCGACAGACAGAAATACTCGGTGCCCGGGCGTCTGAGCGGCGCGGGGAGGCAGCCGTGGGTGCCCGCGGCGCCCCGCAGCTCCCGTGGCTTCTGCGGGGTCACAGCGCGTCCTGAACATCATCCCCCAGGCAGCGAAGCCTCCACACTCCTCCGGGTCAAGCGCCTTTCTCAACACCATCTCTTAATAGTTCTTCAACAGCAGAAAAAACCACGGTGTTGTTACTCGTTATATCAATGCAGATATATGCAAGTGCAGTTACTTAAGGTGTAGCTTTAGGGTTCATTTCTAGTGAACAAACTTAATTCCATCCAAAAGATAAAACTCCTTCTTTGAAGATGTGAATCCCTAAATAATAAACCGTTCCATTCAAGGGAAGTGGAACAAAATTTTGGACAGCTACGAAAATACATTAAAGGTTTATTTTTACTATGAATATCTACAAGAGTTTTCTCTATTACTTTGTTGCATTGACAGGATATCCCTTACAATCTCATAGCTTCAGATTATTACATGAAAGCTACTCTGGCCAAATTCCCCATGCCAGATTTGAAGCCTCACAGCATCTTTCTCAATGCTGCATGCGAGCAACAGGAGTTGAATGCAAACCCTGTGCTGTCAAACTAATTTAAAAACTGTATCCACCACACTCTTTTTGAATAGTCACTGAGGGTCTGTCACATATGAGCATGGAGGGAACTAAAATCCTTTGTAGTGGTGGATGACCTGCAGGATTATATCCTGTATCATTCCTGAGAGGTAAAAACTTGATTAATTTCTTGGTAGCTGGTTTTAGTTTTTTAACTCTAACAATATAATTAATAATTCCTATCTGCCATGATAAAAATGAGATATAAAGCCATATATGGTCTGAAAGTATCTGGATTTTAAATGTAGTCGTGCTAGCAGAGGTTGCTGTGGTTCTAAGTGTGTATTGTGACAGCCAGGTGCCAGACTTAAATCTAATACTGAACATAATATCCAATATATCCCACTAGTCAGTTTACATTTTTTGCATACATTTGTGTGTGCCATTGTAGGTAATTTACATGCCTTTTAAAGCTAGCCCATGCCTTGTGTTACAGCAAAGCTCTAATGGCCCCGTGAAGAAGTCTATGCGAGAGAAGGCTGTGGAACGCAGGAATGTTAACAAGGAGCACAACAGCAACTTCAAAGCAGGATACATTCCGATTGATGAAGACCGTCTCCATAAGACAGGCTTACGTGGCAGGAAAGGCAACTTGGCCATATGTGTGATTGTTGTTCTTTTCATTTTGGCTGTCATCAATCTGATTGTGAGTATAATAGCTATAGTGTAAGCAACATTAGGTCATATTTCATTTTGACAGTTCAGTAAAAAAAAAAGTTTCCAGTATGGCTGAGGACTTAAAACATACTGAAGGAGATTCTCATTTTTCTTCTTTCTTTTTAGTTCTTTCGTAGTCTGAGCAAGGTTAGATGGAAGAATGGTGTAAGTTCAGGCATGAGTGTTTTGGTAATAATGGTCACCTCATGAGAAATGTTATTAGTACATGTGCATTCAGGATATATGGCATATAAAACATGGTTCTATTTTATGTTACAGAGCTGTATGTGAACATTCAGAATTAACCAGCCACTGCAATTTAAAGCTTCATTGTTCTAATAATCACATTTTTATTGCTTGGTCAATGAGAAGTAACAAATTATTTTTCATAATTGCACATCCATCTGGGAGGATGCATTCTTGCAGTTCAACATACTATATACCAAGCTGAACTGTTCACGAAATTTGTTTAATTATTTCCCTTAAACAGAAGAAATATATAACTATGGATGTGATTTAATATTTCATATACATATATATAATTTCAGTTACTGTTTCAAGTAAGTCTAAAAATAATTTTAAATGCTTTTCATAATTAAACGTGTTATGATGTTTTCAGTAGGAACAAACTAAAGTCACACTTAAAGCTCACTTAAACACTGGCATTCATAATTGGAAATTTGTTTAATTAATTATTACCCTTAAACAGAAAAAATATATAACTATGGATGTGATTTAATATTTCATATACATATATATAATTTCAGTTACTGTTTCAAGTAAGTCTAAAAATAATTTTAAATGCTTTTCATAATTAAACGTGTTATGATGTTTTCAGTAGGAACAAACTAAAGTCACACTTAAAGCTCACTTAAACACTGGCATTCATAATTGTTCAAATAAAACATCTAATGAATACAATAAGTGTGGTAGGAAGATCTGATCAACATAATCCTTGAAAATGTGTGTCTCTTTCAGATTACGCTGGTTATCTGGGCAGTGATAAGAATTGGCCCCAATGGTTGTGACAGTATGGAATTCCACGAGAGCGGCTTGCTGCGGTTTAAGCAGGTGTCTGACATGGGCGTTATTCATCCCTTGTATAAAAGCACCGTAGGAGGGAGACGGAACGAAGACTTGGTGATCACTGGGAATAATCAGCCTGTAAGTTGTACCATGGACTGAAAGTGTGTGAGCAACACTACAGTCACATTGCTAATAAATGTTACATTTGAAACATCATTAAGTTCATGCCTTTGTTTCTGAAGATTGTATTTCAGCAAGGAACAACCAAGCTCAGCGTGGAAAAAGACAAAACTTCTATCACCAGTGATATTGGCATGGAATTTGTTGACCCACGAACACAAAATACTTTGTTCAGCACCGACTATGAAACTCACGAGTTTCATCTGCCAAATGGAGTTAAAATCTTGAATGTACAAAAGGCCTCTACAGAAAGGGTATGTCTCTTATTTTTTGTAAGTAATGAGAATACAGCCCACTGTTTGTTTGTGTAAGGGTAGAGTAGGGTTAGGGTTAGTGGTTTTATAGGGGGTTGAGTGTGCCTTTGGAAGCACTGAGCAATCCTGTTGCAGAAAAAACAACCACAACTATAAATACATAGGAGGAACAGATTCAGTGAAAACAGAGGGGTAAATTTACATGATCTGCCTTAATAGGAAGCCTGTATTTGGTACAATAGCTTTGTGTCCCATAAAATTGTCATATGAATTGTTATCTCTGTACAAAAAATTAATTTTAATGCCTTCCAAAGTTCAGTAATCTTGTTTTGAAATTGAACGTGGAAAATAACAAATATGCAGAAGCTAGTGGCAGAAGGGAAATTGAAGTTTTTTATTAAATTGCACAGCACTACTTTTAAGGTAATTAAAGTTACTCAGACAAACACAAGTGGCACATTTTCACTAATCCATAATACAGTTTTTTTGGTTGTGGTCTTAGATTACCAGCAATGCAACCAGTGATCTAAACATAAAGGTTGATGGTCGTGCCATTGTCCGAGGAAATGAAGGTGTTTTCATCACAGGCAAGACAATTGAGTTTCGAATGGGTGGAAACATGGAACTTAAAGCAGTAAGTATTTCAAATCAAAGCAATTTTTTTAACAGCTGAGCTTCAAATTTAGGCTGATAATAAACTGATGTAGCTTTATATCGTTTCAAATTTTACATAAATTACTCATGCATAAAAGGCAGTATATTTAGTCGGGCTTAAATAGGTGATTTATTACTTTGCTGTTAAGTAGTGGTTGAGCAGCTTCAGGTAACATTGATTTAGTACTGTTAAGACACCAAAAACCTACTATGCAGTTAAAGCTAAGCTATTGGCCTCTGTACTGACATGAATACCAGAGGGAGTTAATCTCCCCTGGAAGTTCAACCAGGGTTGGCAACCTTTGCCAGAAGAGCAGAGCATATAGTTTGGAGCATTACCTTCTGTGCTGCTGCTATGAGACTCACTAGCATTCCTTTGAGATTTCTGGAGATTAAGATGTCAGTATATGTGGAATGATGGAAAAGAAGGATAATAATAAAGGTATATGCACTTTCAAGTGTGAATGACTTTCATATATGAATTCAATTTCCTTTTTCCTGTCCATATTTTGCATTTACTGCAATTGCTAATAAGAATGTAAAGTGAAAAGTCACCCTACTGCTGTCTTTCTCCATATAGATCCACCACTGGAATAGCAAAGTGCATTGCTGACTAGAAATCCATAGGCATCACTATAATTTTCATTAAAAATTGAATATTTGTACACATACCTTTTTTATTATTGTTGATTCTGCAGCCATCTGAGAGATGTTATTTATCCATTAAACCAGTTTGTCCTTTTCAAAAACAAGGACAACAGTTTGTCCTTTCATAAACATGCCTTATTTACATTAGAAGCTGTAATTGTACAATTTATTTTCTTTTCCTCTCCTTGACAGGAAAACAGCATCATCCTGAACGGAACTGTGATGGTGAGCCCGTCGCGGCTGCCCAGCTCTTCCTACGGGGAGCAGTTCAGTAACGGCAACTGGCTGCGCTTCAAGCTGTGCATGTGCGCGGACGGGACGCTGTTCAAGGTGCAGGTCACAGGGCACAACATGGGCTGCCAGACCTCTGCCAATCCCTGCGGGGCCACGCACTGACACAGACTGCTGGGACAGCCCGGGCTGGCTTCACACGGATTTGTATGGAGTGATTGCATGCCTTCCAGGGTTTCTTTTTTTACAGCGGTTTATACTAACATTTCTTACATAGTGTTTTTAAGGAAAGGCTGTTACGGTCAGCAGTATTAGGTCATCATCCTGTTAGTGTGTAAGCTTTCAGTGTACATGCATACTGAAGTACCTTCTTGAATTGGGATCAGTAGAATATATGTAAAGAACGTGATCTTGGCAACAACTCTACTGCCTGCAGTTGTCTCTAGAGGAGGTTTTTGTCCTACATCCCAACACCTTGAAGACTGCTGAGAACACAACTGCAGTCTCAAGTACTTCAACAGGAATGTCAACTTTTAGTTGGAAATAGATTTTCCTAGGATGGCTGAAATGGCAGACTTTTCTCTTCTTTCTTGTTGACACATTGATTTACCCCAAACTTAGGTGGTTTACCAGATGTGTACTAAGAGGGGTAGCGGCAGATTCACTTTAAAATATCACATCATTTCTGCCATGTATTCATTCTCACGTTGTTAAAAAATTATGCTATCATAAATAATATTTGCAAAGTAATACTGAGTATGGAAATTTAACTTGCATTTTGAAGTAGTTTTGTGGTTATTGAAGTGTTGCTTGAATTTCCATTCTATCTGTGCAGTTAATGCAGTCTGCAGTTGCTTAATTGATGTGAAGTACTTATAAAACGTGCTTATAGTAAAAGTACATTTTAAAAAATGTACTTACAACTTGCTTACTACCCAAAAAGAGTGTTTTCCTGGATGTTCTAATGTGAACAGTGTATGAGTCCACTAATCGACAGGTAATAATCTAAGCATAACTGTTGCAGCAGTGTCTGAGGTCAGATCTCTCCTTCATAAATGTCAGTACTGATGCATTACTGAGAACATCAAAACATTAACTTCTGAAATTAAACTGCAGGTCTGTATGAATAAATGTGGTGGTAGGACATCAGGGTAAATACATGTGTATCAGAATTTGTCAGCAGTGAAACTGTGGTGCACTGGGGCCTATTTGAGCCTTCCAACTGCTTTTGCAGCAGTGAGGTGTTTTGTGCTAAAAATAGACCAGCTATTTATAAGATTCCTTCTTTCCTCACCCCATGTATTTCTTCAGTTTAAAATAGCTTTGTTTTTCAGTAGCATCAAGTAACCTTAATATTGGAGGTCTCAAAGTGACTTTGTAACAGCTTTTTGACAAATTTTTTGATAAGCACACACTTCTTTACCTAAAAATTTTGCGAGTTTTACACATTAACTTCAGAATTGATTATTTGTTAGAGGAAGATAAACTATCTACCCTTGTTTTACAGGGCTCAAAGTACATAGGATTCCATAAAATACAAATCAGCTCCTGCTGGAACAAGAAATTCATATTGAAGGTCCCAGTTTCTGAATTTACTGGCAGGCAGTAAGCACTCATGCAGAATGTGTATGGGTGGAAGTGATTTTTGGAGGGGTATTCATCAGTCAGGCATTGCAGCACATGGGGGAGGTCACAGGAGTTGTATTTCCCTCACTGCTCAAAGGCAAAGCCAGATTTTAGTGCTCAGTAATTGTTGCGGTTTTGGGGCTGTTCTGACAAAATCAGAATAAGCAGAATATAATGTAGCAAAAAACACTGAGTTCTCACATTAAAGATTGTGGGGAAGTGCTAATATTTTGCATACTTCCCTCATGGACCTCATAGATTTATCAGAGTTAATAGTTACTAAACACTTTAACACACATTTTGCTGCTAAGCAGTGCCTCAGTATCTGTTAGAGTTAAGAGGAGGAAATTAACTACCAGTTTTAGAATTTTCACTGTCATGCCAATGGAAGTTTGTCACTTTATTTTTATGTATACAAATGCAAACACATTAAAAAATATATGAAGAGCAGTATCCTCAAAGCTGAAGTACATCTTGAAAATAACAGATACTACCTTGGTCAAGTAGGTTAAACACGTATTAAAGCTCTTCTCTGATTAATATTGACATGCCTATATGCTAGTATTGGATTCTTGTAATTATCAAGAGTTCTTTTTAAAATACTGTGTGCAATGTACAGCTGAAAGATTTGTCACAAAGGTACTTTTAAATCATGATCTGCAGATTTGTTTTTGAAGTGTGGATTTTTTTGTGAAAATGTAGCAAAACCAATCATAAAAATACCAAATTAAATACATTATCAAGTTTCCTAGCCACTATGTATTGTTAATATATTTTGTATTTATATTGCACAGTTTGAGAAATGTTGGCAACACACATGCCTTCTGTTGAGCATTTACTTGTTTATCTTCTAACTGCCTAAGGTACATTTTTCTATATGTATTTAAAACATTGAGTGGAACACTGTTTATTTCCGTCCCACAGATGCACTTAAGATTTTGTGTGTATAAAGTCTATTCTACATGCCTCTGTAAAATGCCATACTGGGTATGCTGAAACAACTTGCATGTGAAGAGCACTCACCATCTGTAAGTGTGGTGGTTGTTCCAATGGGTGAAAGGCAGTAGAATTTCAAATGCTTGTTTTGAAATAAAGCGATAAATTCTAAGATGCAGCTGCAGTTCAGAAGTGTTATTTGTAAGAATATAGTTTTTCATTAAAAAATACATTGTTGTGTTATTGATATGACAGCTGGAAGTATAAAAATTGTTCCACACCTGTTTGTCATAGATTGTGTGTGGTGGACTTTGCTCAGTGTAATTGTGTGCAATACCTGAAGCAGAGTTCAAAAGTCTGCACTGTTGTTAGATCTCAAGCTCCCAAGAAGTTGTGTTTCTCGACCAAAAGGCTGGAAAAGAAAAAAAGGTCCTAATTGTTTTTTGGGATAGATGGGGGGAGGAGGGAGGTTACCAGTTTATGAATGCTCTTTTTGAAAATAAGACTCCAAAACTGAATGTTCAAGGGAGAATGTTGGTACTGCTGTGGTTATTCGGTGTTGGTTTTTTTTAATGTCAAACTCTTTATGCTTTCTATCCTTGTTGTGCTGAATTTAACCGTAATTCTACATTTTACATACAGATACTATGGATAACTATCACTTGCATGTTATAGCTGTGGTCCTTTACTTTAATCTTCCTGGATCAGTGGGAGCCAAGTCACAGCAGATCCTTCCTGCTACACATCGCCGTTCAGAGTGCCGGTGGGATGGGCAGTTCTTACTGAATTGCTCTTTTACCAGAATATCTACTATTCCAGAAGATACATCACAAATAGCAGTAACAGCTGATTTGAGTTACAACAATATTAAAACTTTTGTGTGCTCTGATGGAAGAAACGAAGAGTGGATGCTAAAACACCTGAACCTCAGTAACAACCTGATTTCTGAACTAACTTTAACTACTTGTACAAATTTACCCAATTTAGAAACTCTAGACCTCAGTGGTAATGCCATCCACACCCTCACACTGGACATGCTTACATCTGCACAAGGGTCTAAAAAGTACAGCATTGTTGATCGTCTCCTGCCTGCTTTGAAAGTATTGTCAATTGAAAGAAATAATCTTAATACAGTTCCAAGAGGTAAGCATTTCAAAAATCTTTAAGTACTTGATTCCCAGGGGGTAGGTTGGCTTTGGTTATAATTCATACATCTTACTGAATCCAGAATGTGACTTTCTCATTTTATTACACTAAAGGCGAGGGAAAGTTCCACTGGCAAATACAGAGGCGGAAGTAAATCAGTTGTTTGTTTACTTTGTTAGGTTTCTTTAATAGAGTCTTAGCAACTGTACTGGATTAATAGCAGTCAAATATAACCAGTTTTATCCTTTAAGAGCCCAAGCAGTATTCTTAATTGTTGTATAGAAAGGGGGAGTATGGATCTTTGGAAAACTACCCCTCCACATCCCAGCTGTGGACCTTAACGTTAAAAAAATTACAGATCATTAATTTCATACTACCCTTCAGAAGGAAGTCAACACTCTTAAATAAAACTTGCTGTAGTTTCAGTATTTGAGAGACAGGAAAATATATTTTGTTCTTTGCTAACAATTTTCTCAGTGCCATTTAATAATCACAGCGACACCTTGGTGTAACAGGAGAGGGCTCTAAGGTTTTGAGAGACTTTGAGAAGGGCTTTGCTGGTCACTGAACTATGCTGGGCAGTTTAGCCTTTATCCAGGGGTGATTCACAGTGACCAAACAGTTTAAATGAAGGAGAAGCTACCAGATGAGTAACCCTGTCCTATACATTATACTGGATTTATTGATGTCTGATAACACCATCAGATTCATTAGAGTTTGAAAATGCAGGAGGACAAGTGATGACAAACAAAAATATCGCTTATCCCACAAAGTCACACTCTGGCACACAGGAAACCCATTTCATTTAATGATTTTGTAGTGTCTATACAGACAAGGTATCTGAATAGACAGTGTAGAAAAGCTTACATTTTAAAATATACCTATTAGGATTTGATTTGTTTTTATATAGATAAATATGATTTTGTTTGATTTAGATACATATGACTGCCCATTATAGGATGCCTCAGACGATCAGACAGACCAATCCTCTTCTATAAGATACTCTCAGTTTTTTAAGTTGAAATTGATGTGCATGGTACCACCATACTTCAAGTTATACTTAAATCCTATATTCATTTAAATACATGTTCAGAACCTTATTCTTGTCCAAAATACTTCACTAAAATTCTGAGGTTTAAGCTCTGAAAAGAAAACACAAACTGCAGTTCTATAGCAGAGATTTCCCACAGAAAAACCCTTCCCTACCTCCCCCCATCCCCCAGGAGTAAGGCTGCTGCCCACTGCTGCCATATCAGTGTATATTTTTGGCACAAACTTAAATTCAGGGAAGTAGCCACAGTACAATTCCTCAGGCAGGTACACTGATGAATTATGAACTGCCAGAACTTCTGTATGCCTTTCCCATTACCTACCTTTAGTTTCATAGCAGGAATGAATCATTCCCTCTGCTTTTCACAATAAACCCAAAGATCAATTACTCAGCAAACAGAACTGCTGTCTGAGAAAAGAGGTTTCTAGTAAACAAGGTGACACCAAGGGCAAAATTTTTAAGAAGTAGTAGCTTCTGAACAATGCTGTATGATCAGAAATCACTTTAGAGTGGCACTGTGGTGTTGAACACTCAGCACCAGTGGGCATGCTGAGTGAGTGTTCAAGTGCCTGCCTTTCCACTGGACTGTGCAGGCTGGAGCTTCAGGGGCTGCCTTCACAGCACCTCAAAACAATCAGGTGTCTCCAGCAAACAAAAGTGTTCCTCATGCAAGGTGTTATGTTATTGTAACTAGGATGCACTGAAGAATATAATGTCATGCTTCATAATTTACAGGCAGATAGGCATAAGCAACAACATTTTGTTTTCATTTGGTTTTTCATCCTATGAATACAGTTCAAGTAATTCCACTCCCATGAAATGCACATGCAAACGGACAGAGATACTGTATCACCTTTTGCATCTCCACGTTTTACTTGCAATTAACATGTTTGGATCTTGTCAACTTAGTATATTCTACCCTTTTCACACTCCTTTCCTACCTCGAGTTCTCCAGAGAATCTTGCTCAAAGTAGAGATCAAAATCAGAATAATTTTGATAGCACAAAGAAATGCTAGCGCTTTTATCAAAGTGGCTTTAAAGACATTTTTAAGACATCCATTGACTGTAAATGTTTTGATGTGCCAGCTGTTGATGCTATGCAGCTTTTAGAACGGGACAACCCTTGACTAGGAAAGGCATAACACAAAGGCTGCAGCCACTCATTGCAATAGTGGGGAATGGAAGGAATTTTGTTGCAAAGAATTTTATAAAGACCCTTGATGCAATTGAGAAAACAAGAATATGAAATGTAAAAGACGGGTTTTTTCTTCCTAGGGCTAGGCCTCCTGCAGTCTTTACAAACTGTCCATATGTCATCCAATGCCATACAACACATTGACCCAAAGGACTTTCAAAACTGTTCACAGCTGAAGGACATTGACCTGAGAAACAACAAGATAACTAAAATTCATCCAGATGCCTTCAGAGATCTCAACAAATTACAGGTTGTAAAGCAATACAGCTGTTTTGATATTTTATGGTAATCATTAAAGATATTATTTACCAACTATTCAGCATGATTATACGGTTTTGATTATAATACTAGTATAGAATTAAAAAACTAGAGAAAATGGTGAAAATAATATTTTATATATTTACTCATTATACATAGGAAAACACACACACTGAAATGTAATAGATATAACCATAAATTCACAATTTCTCTATGCCACAAACCAATCCATAACAATACACATCCCTTTCTCCCCTGATCCCTTCCCCTGCAAGAGCTCTGCTGCTCCCTATTGACACAGTGGTAAGTCTACAATGGGAGAATTCTAAACACCACCACTTAAACTTTTCATCTATATTAAAAAGCTTAGAACAACATTACTGAAGTCCTAAGCAGATTCATAGAACTGCAGAATTGCTTGTACACTGAACCACTGTTGTAAGATGTTGCAATAAGAATTCCACTGTAAGCCTTATCAAATTAATTCTGTGTTATTTCCAAATAGGTTGTGGATCTCCGTGGCAATGCTCTGACAATCCCTCTGCCACAGATACTAGTCAGTTTGAACTTTTTTCAACTTGAAGTGTATTTGTCAAAGAACGCCTGGATATTTAACTGCAGGCTAAATGCTTTTAAACATTTCTTTCATTTTGTCTTTGACTCCACAAGGCAGAAATTGAGCCTTTCATACAATAAGTCTGCCAACAACTCCCAGAAACCTCTGCTGTATCTTTCAAGTTTCCATTTAAACTGCAGGGACAATGTTTTGCTCAAAAGGGCCACAGTGCCAACAGGGACCACATCAGTGCTGACCTGTAACTTGGACAACATAAGGGGTATGTAAAACAGGCACTCCATTCAAATGCTACTAAAATCCAAATGAATGCAGAATGATCAAATAAATCTGGTTTTAAAAGTCTCTAAAGACACTGTTTAAAAATAACTGAATAACAATTTAACATGCAAAAAATATTTCATTAGAAAGTAACATTCTTCTTAGAATATTTGAAAGTTAGGTTTCCTGAGTCTTCATCTCCTTTCTTACATTAAAGGAGGAAGTGATGCTAAATTCCATACAAATAAGTTTCAATAAGTAATATATTGCAAATGTGTTGGTTCATTTTGGACTGAAACAAAGGACCAAATAGCAGGGTGGCACTTCTGAGGCATGTAGAAAACCAAGAAGGATGCAATAGTTTTCAGTATTCAATCACAGCAAAATGAATCGAAGGTTTATTTGCAGGGAAAAAGGTTTCTAGTTCTTCTAAAGAAGTACAGCCACTGTAGCACACACTTCACTTAAAATTAATAGAGAACATTGAGGGTATAAGCAACAAAACCCAAGAAGACTTATGATGCAGATGGAAAACTAAGACCAAACTCAGAGCAGAAGGTGCACTTGTCATGTGCCATCAGGCAAAATGGTTTAACTCTAACAGACTAACAGCACTTGGAGGTGGTAAGGCTTTCCCCTGGGAATCCTTCACCCCAAATGAAAATATGCAGGACCTACCAGAAATGCCACCTGCTCTGTCTGTTTACAAAAAAAGTCACAGAAACCTGGATTAAAATCAACACATTGGATTGCAGCAAAACTCAGCTGGGAACAAAAGCTGATCCAAAGACAAAGCCAAAAATGCAACCTCGAAACAAAAGCCAACAACCAGCTATTGCCTACACTAGCTCAAGTTTGGAACAATTGCTCAGTCTGACACCCTTGATTTACAGACCTTTTTGCTACAGTCAGATCAGGAACTAGAGGAAAATCACAGTGGTTGAAACACTGACAGTGAAGAGGTCATGTTTTATCAGCTGCACACAGTGGCCATGGCCAGGCTGCAGAGCAGCTGGCTGTGGATATCTCTTCCGCAAGGAAGATCAGCAGGTGTTTCCAGTAAAACCCTGAACTTGCTTAGATGATTTCAGTAACCTCCATCCTCACTTTACCATTTTTCTTGTAAAGTCTACAATTAAGACCCCACATGTACTGTGTTTTTAGATGGGAGGCAGTGGGGACAGGCCTGTGATATGGTTTAACAGATTTTGTACCATGTAAAATTACTTAGGATGGATAAAAGGAAAATGGGGTTTATAATAAACTGTTAAAATGATGAGAGATAGTCCAGAGTATATTCTTAAAAATATCACTGGGTCCTGTAAGCCCAAGTATACTATGCTTTTAACAAAGACTGAGTTTGTATTTTCTTTCATTTCAGGCAATGGAGTCTCTTGGTGGACACCTAAGGGCAGAATTTCAAAAAATCACAGTCTTCCTCATATGACATTGGATAAAATGAACAATTTAGTGATATACAATGCTGAGAAAACTGCTGAAGGATTATACTTATGTCTTTTTAATACAACAAAAGAGAAGTATCTAATTTACAATATAGACGTGAAAGAAGGAGTCTCAGCATTTTTGGTTAGAAAAGCCAGGGACACTGTTTTTAGACAGAAAGAAACTGAGCCAAACTTTGCACTGGCTGTCTCCCTCTCTGTGCTCATTACATTTGTTTGTGCTTTTTGTCTGGGTGCTTTTGCTAGACCCTACCTGGAGCGCCTGTGGAGACTCATGCGCAGGAGCAAAAATTCAGGGTCAGAACACACTTATTCTAATCAAGCTTTTTCAGCTGAAACCTTGAGCAGAGAGTCTTCTGCAAGCAAGCCAACAAATATGCAGTGTAATACGTTAATTTGTGATAAGAATTCTTTAAGAAACACAATGATTTTTCCTACAGAAGCTACTGTGTATGAAAATGTCACTGGCAGTCGTGTACATTCACCAAATCCCAAAGCAGAGTACCAGAAAAAAAGCAATACAGAGATCAACATGAAGAAAATGCCAGTGTTTTCAAAACTCCAAACTAGTACTGACAATAATGAAAGCATAAATGTTTATGATACTGAACTATTCTTTCTGAGGACGGATTACCAGAACAGCAACGAAATAACACCAAACAGCAAAGTAAGAAACAACTCTGGTCTGCTGCAGTCTGAGATCACAAAAGCTACACCAGATTCTCCAGAAAGAAAAGGTGTTCTTTTACATAATAAACCCAGGCACACTAGAAAATTTATGCAGAGAAGGCAAAGCTGTGAAGAACAACTTCGTCTAAATGGCAACAAAAATATACCTAGTGAAGTTGGAGATTTTATTTCACCCAGTAGCTTCAGAAGAGATGCAGATATTGAGAAATTAGGCATCTATGAAACAATAGAAAACTCTCCCACAACAGAGCATGACTGTAAAAGGATACATTCAGATGAAAAAGATGCTTCAGCTGATATATTTGGTGACAGTTCTTCAGCTGAAGGGACTCCATTCACAATGAGTGACTGCAGCTCTTTAGCAGACTTTGAAGTGGAACAATCTGGTGTCAGTGACAAGCTGCCAGCGTGTCAGTCACCACTGGATGAAGCCAACACAGACAGTGGAACTGAGAAGTTCGTAACACCGCCAGAATCTCCAAACATGACTGCTGAACTTCAGCAGACTGGGAGAAATGAAGATGAGAACAGTGCCTATTTTGAAACCACTATTAATTATGGATCAGATACCACCATGCAGGAAAGAGCATCCCCTTACACTGATAAAAGCAGTAGCCACATAAGCGTGTCAGATCCAGATACAGTTAGTTCTTCAAGTCAAGAAATTCCAGTTACATTTGATTATTTTACTAATGCAGAGTCAACAGTAAAAAATTCTATTTCTGATTCTCTCCACAGTCAAAGTACAGATTTTGGTAACACGGTACTTAAGTTAAAACCTTTTCCCACGTATGACACAGAGAAAACTTCTGAAGAGGATGAACTGCAGCTTTCTCTGGTTCCCAGAGAACCACAGCATTCCCTCACCTTCAGTCACACAGATCAAAAAGAAAATGTACCATCAGGAAGTACAGATGAGCACATAGCCAGGAACTCCCCTGAAAAGAGTCGTGGTGAAGCAGACATTAATGCACAGTCAACAGTACAAAACTCTATTTCTGATTCTCTCCACAGTCAAAGTACAGATTTTGGTAATATGGTACTTAAGCTAAAACCTTTTCCCACATATGACACAGAGAAAACTTCTGAAGAGGATGAACTGCAGCTTACTCTTCTTCCCAGAGAATCACAGCATTTCCTCAGCTTCAGTGCCACAGAACAAAAAGAAAATGTCCCAGCAGGAAGTACAGATGAGCACATAGCCAGGAACTCCCCTGAAAAGAGGCGTGGTGAAGCAGACATTAATGCACAGTCAACAGTACAAAACTCTATTTCTGATTCTCTCCACAGTCAAAGTACAGATTTTGGTAATATGGTACTTAAGCTAAAACCTTTTCCCACATATGACACAGAGAAAACTTCTGAAGAGGATGAACTGCAGCTTTCTCTTCTTCCCAGAGAATCACAGCATTTCCTCAGCTTCAGTGACACAGAACAAAAAGGAAATACACCAGCAGGAAGTACAGATGAGCACATAGACAGGAACTCCCCTGAAAAGAATCACGGTGAAGCAGACACTACTTTACGAAGAAACACCAGTACATCTGAGGACAATGGCTTTATTTTTGCTCCCATTGATACTCGTTTGAATGAAGTTGTAAAAAAACCACCACTGCTGCACTCCAGTCAAGAATCATCTCTTCAATTGCTGCCTGAACACACAGCGGAAAAACATTTCATTTTTCTTACACAGCAGGATGACTTGCTACCACAGGAGAAGCAGGCTTGTGCAGATAAAATGCAAGGAGGTTCTGATGAGAAAAATTCTGATGGATTCACAGAATTACAGGATACCAGCTATTGCAGTCTGCCTGAAGAAATACAGTCTTGGAGTCCTACAGCAGTTCAGCTGCATCTTCATAGTTCTGGGAAAACACAATTCACAAAGTCAGAATTCACAACAGATGATGCCTTCCAACTGGATCAGAGTGATGAGGATCCATATTCCTTCTCAATCCCACAAGGTTTCTTCGATGAAAGCACACCATACGGTTCATGTTCCTTCCCACAAAAGCCTACAGGAAATACAATCTCTGAAAGCACTGATTCCAGCAAGATGAAGGATCACACTACTTTGGCAGAAGTGGAGAACCATTCTGCAACAACTTTTGAACTCCAAAATTCCAGTAAAACTCTCAGACAAAAAAGTCAGACAAATTCAGGACAGGACCAGTTTTTTGTTAAGAAGAAAAGAGCATTTGATGGATTTGCTAATATTTTGCAAAGCAGGAGAACAAACTTCAATAGTTGAAACACAAAGTGGTAATACTAAGCTCCCATAGCATCTATGTCATTACAGCAGGTGTGAACATTATTTTGTTTTAAAGTGAAATTACTTTTGTTTAGAAGGGTATTCATAAAAAACCCATAACAGACTTTATAAAAAGCTACTCCAGAATATTAATAAAGCTTTTGCTAAATTATATTTAGTTTCTCATTATTTGTAGTTGAAACTAATATTTCCCTTGGAATTTGCTTCAGATACTCAGTTTTGTCTTTTTGTCTAAAATAAATGCAATATGGAAATTTACATTATTACTATTACTGTGTTTTCTTATGGGATTCAACCTATACAGTGAAATAGTACATACTACTGTCTTTTGCTTTTTGAGCCACATTTGTGGATTATCTCTGAATTCCTAGTGTTGCAAAGATAAGTAAAGTCCAAGCAGTATTCAATTACATTTCAAAAATTCCTTTTTAACTTGGCAAAAGAGAGAAAACCACCTCAGAGACACAGAATATAATTCAATTCTGCAGAAACATCAGTTATAGAAATGCAGGTGTAATGGGACAGCACCTGAAGTTTGCAGATGTGGTGACACAGGCAGAGTAATTTTAAAAGAGACAAAGAATCCTATATCCACTTGAGAATTTTACTTAGAAGGGGAAAATCAAGAGCAGTTCAAAACTGCTATTCTAGAACATCAGTAGCCAAAAGACAGCAATTGTAAGGTAAAATTACCTCTGAATATAGCCCAAGGCCCTTTCAACAGACTCAGTACCGCTGAGGCAGTCCTTGAAGGGAAATGTCATCATGAAAGGGAGCAGACCCAGTTCTGGGAAAATGCAGGATGCTGGCTACAACTCTGGGGAAACTCTTTCACAAAGACACAGTTAACTCCTAAAAGCTCCAAACAGAAGGAACACATTTCAATTCTATCACAAGAGGAGCAAGTCCAATGGCACACTACACCACTGAAACTACCTTTAAAGAAAAAACTAAGAACCAAGCACCACTGCCAGTCTCAGAAAAGCTCATTATCCACAGAACTTCTTTGTGGCCAAAACAACTTTAAAAATGCAATGCCTGAAAAAAGCACTGATTCACACTTTTTGGTATCTACAGATCTTCAAACATCATTAACACCTCTCCAAGGCCTGTCACCTCTTGGTTGTTGCAGCTGCTAACATATTAAGAAATCTAGCTATACAAGCAAGGCAATTGTGTGAATCATGGGGAAAAAACACACTCAGTGCTCTATTGATATCTCATACACTGAAATTTCCTTGTGCAACAGTCTAATAGAATTTCAAAATATATGCTGGAAAATTATTTTCTCATCTTTTTTTCTGACCATGAAAATGCTGCAGTGGTGAGGCAGACAGTACACCACCTGTGAGAAGCTGCAGGATTTTTAAGATTCCCTTTATGCCATAAAGTTGTGGAAAAGTTTCTGCTCTTGTCAGACATAGCAAATTTGCTCCTTTTTAGTGGGATTTTAACATGTCGCAAAGTATTCATTCTAGTGTCAAAATATTATGCTTCATCTCAAACTTATCTTTGTATGGCTGCCTAATCTTGCCACTGTCCTTTGTTACTCATCTCTCCATTCTTACTATCATGTCTTTATTCAAAATCAAACACTCAGCTGCTTCTCCTTCATATTAGTTCATTTTGTTAGCAATTGCTGTTTAATACAAAACCTTGGTATTTTCTGTGACTTCCACACAGTACTCATCATGCTCTGCTGCTCCCTGCCCACTCCATGTTAGCATGCCCTTCTGTACACACTTAGTTACAGTCCCACACACACTGACCCAAGACTGTATCCTCACATTTCTTTACATTTCACCCACTCTATCTTGTTCACACTGAAAATTGATTTAAGTAATTTGGCCACTGAGAATTTTCTAGGACACCTATACTAGTAGGATGCCCACTGCTGTTAATCACACAAAGTCACAGAATAAGCTCGATAAAAAAAGTGCCTGAGTGTACTCTGCATGAATCTGTAAATAAAGCATGAGGAATCAGCCAAGAGGATGCTGGCAAAAGTCTGGACACACCCTTCTCACAGGGCAATGGCCTGCCAAGCTCCACGATCCACAGGACACAGAATCCCTCATACTGTGAATCAGGACAGGACAAAATGCAGGTGTTTTTTTTAAAAGCAGATCAAGAACTTCAAATACAGTAATCAGGATAAAACAAAACTCCCATTTCAAACATATAACAGTTTGATAATTGTCAAGTTATTTGCTGTAGGTACAAAGCATTTCAATCTTTCCTGAATATGCTGAAAATTGGGCTGGAAAATAACCCTTAAATATAAGGAAAAAACATGCACATTTAAACTCACATAATCAAGAAACTTTTTTGGATAGTAAATTCATTGTGGTAGAGAAGACTGTTCTTAAATATAAGGAAAAGACATGCACATTTAAACTACACATAATCCAGAAACTTTTTTGGATAGTAAATTCATTGTGGTAGAGAAGACTGTGACTCATTCTCTCTGATAAATACAACAGCAACAGCCTACATTGTGAGAATTGGCAAAGCCAATCCCAGCCTTCATCAGAAACATAAAAACAATGAAAACCTTCTTCAGGATGGGTTCTGCATTACAATATTCTAATTACAATGTAAATACATCCCCTTCAAGTACTATTTAAGTCAAGGTTGGAAGCAGTACCTGGAGGTCACCTAGGCCAATGATCCTAGGTGATCAAGCAAGGCCACCTAGAGCCAGTTGCTCAGGACCATGTTCAGATGGCTTTTGAGTATTTCCAAGGACAGACTCGGTAATGGTGCATGGTGACCCTCACAAAAAAAAAAAAGAACAGTTCCCAGTGTTCACATGGAGCCTCCTGTGTTTCAGTTAATGCCCACTGCCTCTGGTCCTGTCACTGGGCACTGGCTGAAGAGTCTTTTGTCTTCTTTACACCCACCCTTCAGATATTGAAATACCTTAGTAAGACTTCCCACAGCACCTTGTCTTCTCCAGGCCGAACAGCTGTAAGCCTTTCCTCATAGGAGAGATGTTCCCATCCCTTCATTGTCTTCATGGCTCTTTACTGGACCTTCTCCAGAATACCACAGTGTCTCTGGTACTGGGAAGCCCAGAACTGCACACAGTACTCAGGTGTGGCCTCATCAGTGCTGTGTAGGAGGGAATAGTGATCCTTCAGCCTGCTGGCAATACTTTGTCAGAATCAGGCAGGAACCACTCACCTTCTTCACAGCAAGGACTTGTTGCTGGCTCGTCTCTGACCTGGTGTCCACCAGGACCCCCAGTCCCTTTTCTGCCAAGCTGCTTTCCAGCTGGGGGCTCTCAGCAGATACTGGTGCAGGGGGCTGTTCCTCCCCAGCTGCAGGACTTTGCACTCCTCCTGGATGAAGCTCATGTAGTTCCTGTCAGACCATTTCCCAAGCATGCTGAGATCCCTCTGGAAGGCAGTATGATCTGGCTTATCACTTCCAGCTGTCATATCAGCAAGCTTGCTGAGGAGACCCTGTGCCCCATCACCCAGGTCAGTAATGAAGCTGTTGAACAGGACTGGACCCAGCTCTGACCCTGGGGGTAGAGCACTAGTTACAGTAATAGTCTGCAGTTAGACTTTGCTCTGCAGACCACCATTCTCTGGGCCATAGTTTTCAGTTTTTACCCATCTGCTCATCCAGTCCATGCACCAACAGCTTTTCTATCCTGTGGGTCAAAAGGCTGGACCAAGATGAGTGGGGGTAACAATTATGCTTCTGTAAAATTTTGTCTTGAGACATTTCTGCTCAAATTCACTTATTGTTGAAAACTTTTGTATTACAGTACTGTTTTACACCAACACACTGCATTTGAACCATAACCTTTTTGCAACATGTACCTGTTCCCAACAGTTTTAAATACTGATTTGCTCCACTATTAGAAACCAGGGGGACAAGATCCCACACACAAATTCCCTGCTAATACTTGCTGTAGGCTGCCTGCTGATGTATGTTCAGATATGAAAATTTCTGAAGTATGAATCACAGAAAAATCTGAAGTCAGTCTCTGAAACCAACACAAATACTGTTTATTTCTGGGATGCCATTTTACAACAACACCAAGAAAAGACCTAAAAAAATCAACTGGATTAACTCATGTTAGGTGGCATAATAGTATTTTCATCATATTGTGAGTCACAGGAGTTTAGCACACCTTATTTATGTAATATCTAAGTAACTAAGACATAAAGCATTCACAGTTACAGGTTAACTGCTGTTCCTGCCACAGCAGGAACACAGCAGGTGCTATTTTGACACACATACACATGCACACACACACAGCGGGAGAGTGGGTAAGGATTTAAAAGTAAAAGCAAACAAAAAAAAGCTGAATTTTGGTCTCAATTACAGAAAACAAACCATTCAGTTTGTGGATGGATTCTATATACTTTTACAACAATATGAAAAGACAAAATATAAGGCCTAGAAAGAGGTATGTTAGCAGCTATAAATAGAACCAGGACACAAGCTAACCTTTAAAGCTGCCTATATAAATTCCAAGAGTATCAAACAATTTGTGAGACTTGTGATTGAGGTTCAAGAGAAATCTGGGAAAACCTTAAACACAACTGAAGTCCATTTCTTGTCCTTCAAAATAGTAACTTGGGAACATTAACAAAGTAGCAATAAGCTGTAACTAATTTTGACTGTGTGAGCATATTTCTGATGAAATAAAACATGTTTGTGGTAAAATGGGAGAAGCCTCTACAGAATTAGAAATGGCTACACAAAGATAAACCAAGCAGTTATTGGAGCTTATAGACAACCTTAAAGAGGTTTTAATTGAAAACTCAAGTACATAAATATTTTCAGTAATTTCTATGTTCTTCAGCTTGCTTTCCTTGGAAAAGATAAAAAGTGAAGAAATAACAGTAATAGAGACTTATATTAATACTTTAAATACTTAATATCACTTTTCTTCAGAAGGAAATTTAATTCATGGACTGTTTTGGTTACTAATATTAATAGAATCATTTAGGTTGAAAAGATTCTTAAGATTACTGAGTTCCAAAGGTTTGTCATCGATCAAAGAACATCAACTCCTGCAGTCTCTGAACACCGTTTTCCTTTCACTGTCTCTCAAATTTATATCTCCCAAATACCAAAAATTAACTGCAGATTGATGATCAAGTTTCTGCTAAAAGTTCAGTAACAGTACACCAGTAACATTAGCACAAGACCCAGAACACTTTTTCAGGAATGACCTCTCAGTGTCTTGTCCCAGAAAACAGCATGTTTTGTACATTACTCTTCATAAGGGTTGGGATGGGAGCCCACAATCAAACAAAAAAAAGTCTACATCAGCTAGATTATCAGCATAATAAACAAAAAAAGCAAATGCCACACTTGTACTAAATACAAGATTAACTGAGTATGTTAGTTAAGTTTCCACAACTATTAAAAGTTTCTCCAATATACAGGAGTAGGCAATGTTAGGATCTTCTGCTTATCAGCATATTTAGCAAAACCAACAGGATGGATAGCACAGGGAAGCTCATCAAACCACACAGGTTCATTTTAGTCCATTTGTTCAATATAAATGTCAGTAAAGCTGTCTCTACTAGCTTTAATTGAATCTGTGGTTTATTTTATGAAGATGCATGTTTATAAACCTGCTGATGGCTACAGATTCATACTGTTTCAAATGGAAGAAAAAATTTGCAGCATCTGATTCATTTCCGAACACATTCTTCCTTTCCATCACTCCCAATTACTTTTACCCAAATTAAAAAACCAAGTTTGTTTGCTTACACAGCTGAAATACTGAGTTTTTTTTTTCCCCTATTTATTTGCTTTTAAGTAATTTTTTTTATTCTGATAAACATTTGCAAAACTGCCAACACCTGGCTGAACCGACTTCTGTCAATCCTGTTATATGAAAGCTATACCTGTAACAGTAGATTAATAGATTAAAAGTGTCTTTGGCTCTTGCTTCCATTATTGGAAGCTCAGTTACAAAACCTTTTATACAAAATTGTATTTGTTGCAGGATTCACACCAATTTGTGCTGAACAGTTTCCTAGAGTCAACAGCTAGCTTAATGCTTGAAGAACAATTACGCCTATTTTCACTTAAAATCTTGGCAATCACAATTGGGCCTAATGTTAAAAGTTATATTGCTTCTAAGTTCATTCTCTGAAGAACTAAACCAACAGCTCCACTGGTTTCACTATGCTAATGCTATTGTAATATACACATTTACATCAGAAGCCTTAATAAAAGGTGTGTTTTCTTAAGAGCTTATTGTAAACATTAAATACCACACTCCACTCAATTTCTTGTGCAAACTGGCATCAAAAATGGAATTAAGGTTATGTGCATTAGTAGATGAGAAAGCACTGACTGTGTATGTTTTACCACTACTAACTTTAAAAACCACTATTTAGTATTATGGAAATCCAAATGTAACTATTTCACAGGAAAGGTAGTATTTTCTTCTTAGCATCATGAAATTCTAGGTTTCCTATATGCATGTATATTGTATATTTATGTATATACAAATATACACAAACAGACACACAGTTTTTGTCTTTGGCAGCTGAGCTTGAAAAACAAAAGCCAAGAACAACAACAAATAGATCTGAACACAACTGACCACCTGTACCACAACAATTACAACCTCCTGGCCCAGGGCAGCAAACTATTGTGCTTTTGCTAAACTAGACTTAATCCTGAAAGGAATCAAGTCAATGGCAGTTGTTCTTCACTTGATGGCAAGGACAGAACCTTCAACACAGAAGAGAATTTCACTTTCAACTTAAAATGCTTTTCTGATCTTCCCCTGGATGGCATTCTAGGGAAATAACAAAACTGCCAGTGCCTTGTAAAATATTTCTACAGAAAAGTAATGTTATTTGTTGTTCCAAGACACCCACTGGCCCTTTGATATTAAATGCTCCATGAATCAATAACATTTTAATAAATCCTTAGGGATAGAAGTTTAATAGCACCTGATACTTTAAGGAACTATTTATAAATATCAACACTAACATTAATAAAGAAGAGTAAGGCAAAGACAACTTGACAAAATTACAGAACTTAAACATTATTCCATTCACTCATTTTTTCCCCAAATAATCACTAGAACCATCCCATACAGATAGAGATGAGTGAAACAGGCAGTGGTCCCTACTAAAAAGTACTGTCACTTAATGCTGGTGTCTTACATGCCCATTGCCTGCAATGGACATTCTGCTAGGAAACTTTAATCCCCAACAGGAAAGGAAAAGTAATATTTTGATATTCAACATTGTATTTTTTCTGATATCATATTTTCAAGTACTTAGAAACACGAAGCTGGAGGTCCTTGGAAAGACTAGTGTTACAAACAAAATAATCCCCAAAACCTTTATTATGCCTGTGCTAGGGGTGAGCATACTTCATTCCCCAAACCACTTATTTCAGCTAGAACTTTCAATGTCATTGGGTCACTAGATCACAACATAGACCAAACACTCTTGGTACACCAAAAATTAAAAGGAGTATGCCAAAGGCAATTTACAAAAGTCTAAAACCCATTTTTAAAAGGTACTTTAATTTGTTCTTTTGTACCTGTAACGACTACTGCAGTTTTAACATTAAAAAGTCAGTACTTTTTTCTTCAAATGGAAATCATCTATGGCATGTACAACTATTACAGTGTTTAAATATTTATATGTATATATTTTTTAAGACACCAATGTTTCATTCCTATAAAGCATTAAGTCAGGTTTGGCAAAATCTGGTGAAGGAAATCACAGCATGTCTTCTCAGAAATTGGCATCTCAAATAGTAACATTGAAACCGTAAATAGTTCTTCACATAACTATGGCCAGAAAGACTGAAATGCTACATTTGAGACCAAAAGAAAAACAAAATAACTGAAGTTTCAACAGACATGTAAGTGATGATTAGAAATATGCCACGAAATTATTTTTACAATACATTTCTGCAGAAATAATTCCTAGGTGAAGCCTTTTTTTATACACATATACAAAATTTAGACAGCAATATACACATAATCACAGTGAAGACTCTGGCAAGTTCACCAATTTGAAGTGTAAATACAAAATGCAAAGCAGCCTTCAAAGAGAACAATGCTAAACAGCAAGCATAGCTAGCTTGTTAAATAGCAAACATCAAAAGTTCCTTGCCAAAGGGATGCAGTGCAAGAAAAGCAGCATGCACTTTGATACAGATAGCAGTTTATGGCTAATGGTTGACATAACTGTGGTAACAGTGACTCTTGAGTGGCTGTGCATAGTTAAACTCCTATGTCATCTGTTTTCCTTTATACCATTCCACAAACTCATCCAACAACACTGGCCCTGTGGAGAGATAAATAACTGTATTTTACCAAATATTGTAAAAGAACACTGACTGATTAAGTTCAGAGACATAAATTATTTCAGAACATCAACATATGGTAGTACTTACAGGCTCCATCTTCATCATAGTTACTGAGGTCAAGGTTAATTGTTCTGCTGAATTCAAGAACGTTACACCATTGGTCCTTATTGATAACTTTGTATTTTGATTGCTGCTTGAGGCAAGAAACAGAAATTACTGAAATGTATTTTCAACTGTCTCAAACTCAGATTTTCTAACAGAAAATTTAAACTTTTTGGTGCCTTATTATTTTAATCTGTATGCCATCTTAAACTAAAAAGGATTAAACCACCAAGTATCGAAACTAGTGTTGAATTATGCTTCTGATTAAGACATCTTTTAGAGGGCAAACATACAGCAATAAAATAAAGTCCAAAAGCAAATAAATAACATTCTAGTTTGTTCTGCATTACACAAATCTTAACAGCATATGGAGGAAAAAGGAAGAAAGGAAAGATAAGCAGCTGCATGTGCTGCTTTGGTGGTTACAGTTTCCTAAATCAGAACACAGCATTCTTAGCTGTTCATTCTACCTTGAGTTAAAAGCATCAGAGAAGACAGATTAAAAACCCCCATAATTCTGTTTCCAATTCCATACCTCTAGAAACTGATGAAACACTGGAAAAAGGGACCATGCTTTTCCTAAAAGAAGGCCCAACATACACTTGGCAGTATTGATATCTAGGCTGCGCTGGTCCTTTTCCTGCATGAAAAGGTCAGAAAGGAAAACAGAGCATGAATTCCAGATTTTTCACTTCCCTCACAGCTCACCCATGGACAAACTAAATTATCATGTAAATAGTATAGAGCAGTATCTAACAGTGTTTTTTAATAAAACACAACTTGCCAGTAAAATTTCCTTCCTTATAGGTAATGGCTTGTTATATGGAGATGCTGCTTTTTATAGATGTTCCCAATAAAAACATCACTGTTATGGCAGATGAGGCATAAGGTCATTTCTGACTTCAGACCTCCCTAGCAAGCAATGGCCACCACATTCCCAGCCATGCTGGCACTTATCCCCTGCACAGCCACACCTCTCAGAAGAGCAGTGCTGTCCCCACTTCCCACCCTATCATTACAACTACGTGACTGCCAATAGACACTCAGTGCTGACACCTTCCCTACTCGAGAGTGAGCCAAGGGAGGATCTTTGTTCTGTTATTCTGATTACGTGAAATTCAGATTAAATTATCAAATGAGCAGACAGAACACAGGACACACTAGCACATTGAGACTCTCCTCTGGACTGTACAGTTTTAGATCAATGTAACAACAGTATATTTAAGCTTGAGGGCTGATTTTGTTTTGTTCCTGCTAAGTAAGAGCAGCAGCATCTGTACCCAGTAGGTTTGTTAATCAGTGGCAAATATTAAGTAACATAAATTCTGCACATCTCAAAGTAACATTCCATTTTGTTAAGCAGTTTATTCATCTACATTCATTATCATAAAAATATACCAATTTTGCTGAGAGATGAGATGTAAACCCCCACATTTTTATGCCTTGGTTTTGACACTGTGCTACAAATTCACAAGTTAATGAAATCACAAAAAATAAATTTCCATATTAGCTAATGTAGACCTTGTTCTGTGTATGCATTTATGACAGCAGACTGCAAAGCCTAAATTAAGAAAATACAAGGTATCACAGAGTCATGGAATGGATAAGGGACCACAGTGGGTCATCAGGTCCAGCCCCCCTGCTCAAGAGGGGTCACCCTAGAGCACACAGCACAGGATTGCACCCAAGTGGTTCTTGACTATCTCCTGAGAGAGAGACTCCACAATCTCTGTGTGGTCACCTGTACAGCAAAGCTCTCCTTCATATTCAGGTGCAACTTTCTGCTCACAGCCTCATGTCCTATTGCTTGGCAGCACTGAGAAAAGCCTAGATCCATTCTCTGCCACCCTCCCTGCAGACACTGATAGACACTGGTAAGCTTCTATCTTTAAACCAACCTCATTGCCCTCCACCAGACTTCCTGCAGGATCTCCATGTCTCTCCTTCCCTGAGGAGCCCAGAGCTGGGCACAGCACCCCTGATGTGGCCTCACCAGGGCTGAGCAGAGGGGCAGGGTCACCTTCCTCAACCTCCTGGCACTGTCCTTCCTAATGCACCCCAGGACACCACTGGCTTTCCTGGCCACCAGAGCACACTGCTGACTCAAGGACAGCCTGTTGTCCACCAGGACATATCCCACACAGGGATATTCTGGATGCAGGGACTGTCTAACAGATCATGACAGCTTGCAAGACAGCTAGCTGCCCATGACAAAGGGAATTGTGCCCTGTGTTTCACCTGCAAAATGCACTTGTATGTATTACAGGATATGCATCTTTATTTAAAAAAAAACAAGCTCAAATCCTAACTGAATTGTCTTCTATCACATAGGAAGGAATTGACAGAGCAAGATCCCAGTTCTCAGTCAACAACTGAGAACTAGTCACAAGGTTACATTCATTTCATACTAAACACTCCTCAGTTCTAAAATTGTATAGACAGAATTTAATGCAGATATGTTTTGAAAGTAAAGTGGGGAGACCACAAATTCTGAAAATATGAGAAATTGTTTTGTATTCTGGGCACTAAATCCAAGAGGGATTTAGAGAAATAAAGTAAATTCCATGATGAACAAAGCTTTTCAATTAGTAATAAAGATGAAAAAGAAACCTGCAAAGGCATTTTTGTACTAGTATGATACAAATCTTTCACTTATTTCCAACCTCAAAAAGTTCTAAAAACTAATTCTCCTTCCAAAGCCCATCTACACTTCTGTCACAAATACCTTTAAAACAGAAATAATGCTGCTGTCAGAATACATTTTATTTTACCTACTGTTCATACTCTGAATTCTTCCCACACACTCAAGTGTTAATGAAATCGGGTTCCATTGCCTTTACTTTGGCCACACTGGTTTTTCATGCCTTATATTGTTACATTTCTACATTCTCCCTCTCAGACTACTGATCAGAACAAATTGTTCAGATAAGCCCTTTCTACCCACCTCCAAGTGCCTAATGGCACATCTGCCATGACAGATGATGCAATTGCATTCTTAGCATACATTCCAGACACTTACATTCCTTGGATACAGTTGAAGGACTTTATTTAACAAACTTTATTTTATCTGAGTATTTGTCTTACACCAATGACAGACAGTCTTCCTGACTTTTTTTTTCCCTTAATATTTCACATTAAAGATCAATTTAAGCCATGCAATAGATGCATCTGTATGTTCTCAAACTTGGCAATAACAAGGGCAAACATGGACTGAGGAATGTTATTTGTGCTTAATATCAACATATGGTGTTATAAATTATTTCCTCAAATCTATGCTGATTTAAATCATGCATGCCACATGAAACCCTGATGACACATTTTTATTCACAAACTAACTTCAAATGCCAAATCAACAGACTCTTTAAAAACATTTTCTCTTAAAACTTAGGAAGTTTAGACAAGTGGCTTTTTGCCATAGAGCACTCCCCTGAAAGAATTATCCTTAGGACAGAAAGTATACAATCTCCTGAATGTGAAACCATCAGCTTTTTTCTATCAATCATTTCAGTGATCCTGAAAAAAGTTACGCCCAGTTTAAGCTGACATCTGTAAATATACCTGGCCTTTGTTCTTCTCTATTCTTAATGGATGCCATAGACTTTGCCCATGTCTGCAGTATGGAAAGTTCAATAATCCTATTAGCCAAATATTCCCCAGTTTATACATCATTGACTTCCAAGTTCTTTAATCTGCAGGGGCTTTCAGTCACAAATGAAGTCACAGCACCTGTGTCTCAAGGTTTCAATTTTTTTTGAGACCACTGTTTGTCATACCAGTTTGGTACCTCTTGATAAGTGTACCTTTGGTACACTGCCCACCTTTGAAGTATCTGCACTTGCTTTTCACAGGCCATCAGCTGGCACAGGTTTGCCCTCTAGCCCAAATATTTCATCAGTATCTTGAACTTCTTAGGCAATGCGTTTGCATTTTACATTCAGCAAAACTAGCAGAATAAAGCTTCATGCAGCAAAGGAGGAATTAAGAGGTCAATATAGCTTTTCTTTTCCTCACATACTAACTAATCCCATGCATTTTTTTCTATTTAACTGCAAGTTTCCTGGTTTAAAAGTGAACTACCATAAATCTGAATGCTGAGATTCAGAAAGCACTGAAGTACTGAAAATCTGAGTTGCTAATGGGAGACTATCAGAACTCCTATCAGTTCAATTTATTCTTATTTGTTCTGATTTTCTCGTGCTACTTTTTTGGTGTAAGTATTCTTAGTACTTTTAGTTTTCTTGCACTGAAATCTGAGGTTGAGTTTTACCTTTTTATGTTAAATCTTCTGTACACCCCACCACATTAGCAAAATAGATGTCCAAATTCTATTTCAAAGTGTTATTTCAGAAAATAAAGTTCTCTTATTACTCCTTCCAAGTATGAATAATCTTATGTATATTGGTTCCATTACAGGTAAAGTCTCATCGAAGCATGTTTTATAGCAGGAAGACTAATATCAGAGTATTCCTTAATAAATACTGAAAACATCATTAAAGCCATTCCAACAATCTTCCTAATCAGAATACATATCCAGCTTTTATCAAGTTACCCATTTTTACCAGCTATTGAAATGTGTGAAGTGTCTTCCTGTTTTAAACAAGTTTATGTTCACAAAATTCAGAGTAAGAAAAACCACAGTAAATTATAAATTAAATTATAAATTATGGGGAACTCTGTGATAAATCTCCAATATACAACAGAATGGGGCCTAAATCATTTCCCTGAAGTCATAAAATAGCTTGATGTCACTAAACTACTAAGCATTACACATCCTATATACTTTTCCAGTTTTGACATCTTGCATACACTGTTTTAGATCACAAATTGTTCCATTTGTTCAAAGCAATCTTGAGTGGTACCTTCAGAGAAACAAACTTAGACATACACAGTCTTTCAATTATTATTTATGACAGCAAAGTTTGTCATTTCAAATGCACAGTACTTACCCGTGCGAAGTCAAAGGCATATCTATAAATAAGTTTAAAATTGGTAGGCTCATTTAATAAAGATCTCAAGTAATCCAGAGAATTTCTCAGTTTTTCTGTAGTATCACACCTACAAAACAAGCACCAAGTGAGTTTAGAGTCTGCATTCTTATTGAGATGTCTGATGTTCTCCCCATTAACATGTTCAAAACACACCACTCTGTACAGACACATTTTTGAGTATGTCTGCATAAAATGCTTTATTAAACCCATACTGTGAAACAAATTCAGATGAAGTAGCAAAGCCTTACGCTGGGACTCACTGGCTATGTAAAAAATTCACTCTCTCAAAGATAAAACTAAGAGCTTGTCCATGCATGGCAAACAAACATCAAATCAAAGCAGTGACAAATACTTCTAAAGTCTTGCTGCAACTACAGAACTTCCTACACAGTTTTAGTAATTCTCTTCTGTAAGTCAAAACAGTTCCTCCTTTCTCCAACACCCTATGAAACATGACTATTCGTGACTATTTATTTGTTAATTTTGCCATACAATTAAGCTCTTAACTAGAGAAAAAAACCTCTTAGAAAGAACAGAGTTACAGAAAGGGTTTGTATTATTTAGTGTTTTAAATCACTCTAACAACATACCAATATCTAAAATATATGTGCAATCCAACAACAAAGATTGTTGGTGTCCCTGGGGACAAAAAGAGCATCAAACCTCATGACATTTCTCTTTTATTGAGACTGCAGATCTTCTAATCCAACTGTATTTAAATGTGCAGTATCAGGTTTCAAGTTGTCTCTAAGTGACCATATTATCATAAATCAGGCCAAAAATCTGTGACTTCTACTCCATGGCAGAGTTCTTTGCTTTAGGTGTTGCGAGTCAAAACACTGAAGTGTGTTTTTTTCTGAAAAGCTGTGTTTACTATAACAAACATATAAGAATTTTCAAGGCACTTACTGTAGTGATGTCATTCCTTTTAACCATTCTTGTAACGTAAAGTAACCCATGTTTTGAGCATCCAACTTCCATGCTAACACAAGCATAACTACCTGTTTTAAAGAGAAAAAAATTGAGACTGAGAATTTAACAAAAAGATCCATGTGCTTTATAACTAACCACTGTTTAGTAGGATACAAATGCTTTTACCTGTATAAGTGGAAAGTTCAGAACTTTGCTACACCATGTTAGAAGTTAAAAAACTCCCTAAGTGACAAACCTGTACACAATCCAAATGAAGAGAAGGTAGCAGTACAAATATATAGAGTGAACATCTACCCAAGTTATCAGTCATCTCACAAGCAATACAATGGGGAGAAGACGAGTTGGTGTAAAAACTGCAGAAAAGGTTTCCCAAAGTAACTACAAAATTTCAGTATCAGTTTAACAAGCTACACAAAATCAATTATTTGAAAGCTAATCATGATCCCACAATTCAAGCAGATAAGTAAATCTAGATGAACTAACATTAATACACATCAAAACACAGGCTGATATACTTCAGTTTTGCCCAAAGAGAAACAGGCTTTTTCACATCTCACATAGAAGACCAAAAGTACTAAAAAGTATCTAGATAATAATAATATTATAGTATTGCTTTATCTTATTTATCAACTTAAGAAACCACTTTTGACAAATATGTGAAAGAAAACCCTGCAGGATAACTGACCCTGACAATCTGAAGAAAAAAAAAAAATCAAGTAATTTAAATTTGCAACTCAGCCATTAACTAGCTAAGGTTAGTACAACTCTATACAGCTTATAATGAGAAATCAGAATACCTGCTTATGCCTCCAAATGTCTGCATAAATCACAACATTTATTATTATCCTAAACTCTGAAATTAGCAAATTACATCTGATTTTCCAGTACATCTTTCAAAGCCACAATTCTAATTTACTTATATGAAGCTCCATGAATTCTGCAAATGACAGGACTTACAAATGCATTTAAAGAACAAAAATTAGGCAGTAGGAAAAAGCCTGTAAAATGCACGATTTTTTTTAGATTGTATTTATTTATATATATAACTATACACACCTCACATACAGAATAAGTATCTGTAAATGTATTTATATTCCTTATTTGTTTTTTGAAATGGTATAATGGTAGTGCCACTACTCCCCATAATATTTGAAATCTCTTTCTGTCCTAGAAAACCCAAAGGAAACACTACTTGCTTGTTAGTTGATATATTAAATTTTGAATGTCGTCTCATTGTTTCAGAGAAGACAATCATCAGCTTTTTCTTTTTTAAGATCTCTCTTTTTCTGGAGAGTCTGAAGGTTGGTGGTCTTAAAGTGAAAGAAGGGGTGGCAGTGAAGACAAATTGAGGTTTTACAGGGTGACAGTCTGGGATTTAAAGTAATGGCAAGTTGCTCCCAAATGTCTTTCAAAACCTCCCTGGTTTATATTTCTTGAATTTTTTTAAGCTCTCAAGAATTTTTTAATTCTTGGTGGAAAAGCAAGAACTGTAAGACTAGCTCATGTACACCACAACAGATGAGGCATTTTTAAAATGGATTCCAAACTTACATTTTCTGGTTCAACTCCAATGTCTTCACAAAATTTCTCCATACCTTCTGGCCCTACAATGTCATCCGTGCCTGCAAACAAAATGTATTTTACTCATCTCTAAAAATTAAAATAGCCTGTCTTTTACAGCACAAAAGAAGTGCAATCACATAGTGCAACCTTGCTTTCATACAGTTTGTTTGTTTTGGCATGAAATAAATATTCCCACACTTACTATCAGACTTGGATTCACTTAAATCTTTATCTCACCTTTGAAAACAGAGAAACTGTAAAACAACTTTTCATCCCTGCCAATCTTTCTATTCATTTACTGAGATAACCTTGGAAGTGCAAATTAGTAAGATTTTTTTTCATAACACACTTAAGACTAACAGAACACCCACATAATATTACCCAATTAAATGAGTGGACAATGGCTAGTGAAACTCATTCCCTGGCTGGAAGCTCTACTTTATCACAAGATCAAATGACATAAAAACATGATGTACAGCTATACAGGATACAAGGCATTATCATTCCCAGAACCTCATTCCTCATTGTCTCATACACTATCTTTATATAATGTTATCCTGCTTATTCATATTGCTACACCATGGTCACACATCATCTAACAGTAAATGCAACAGGAAGGAAATAATTAATTACAGTTATTTATTTGTCTACTTAACGGGAAAAAAAAAGATTCAAAATACAAATGCAATTAAAATGCACCACTAATAAAACATGCTCTTAAATCAAGATATTTGTAACTTCTATAACACTCCTGAAAAAACTTCACAGACATTAAGAACTGTACTGTGCAATTATACACTTTAAGTATTTGAACTATTTTGTTAGAATTATTTGACTCATGTTTAAAAGGGCTCATTTGAAAAAATACATGCTGAAATGACTACTTTCCTCCAATATAAAGATCACATGTGCAAGAAAAACAGGATTTATAGAGGGAAGATCAATCTGTATTTTATTATTAGGTGATTTATTCTAGAAATAACAAGGTTTAATTATATCCTTTCCTATCTTCTCATAACAGCCTCTCAGTTCTCATAGCATACACAACAGCCTTTAAGAAGACTCATTCTGTAATGCAAAAACACACCAAGGGAGGGAAAAAACCCCAAATGCTGTGTCAACTGTCTGCATACATAAAGAAGACTTTTGAAGCAAGAACACAAGAGATTATTCCTTGAAAATTCAATTTTTAGAATGTTACTCAATACTGTAAACAGAATCGTACTCTCTCCACTTTTCTGTGTTTTATCTTGGTGTGTGCATCCAGTGGAAACCCCAAAGTTCTTTCACAAACAGCCTTCCTTTCATCCTTTCTTTCCATGAAAGTCTTGACAAAAATGAGTCATGCCTGTTGCTAGAGTAAAAAAATAAATCAAGCTGGTCAGAAAGACAGACAATCTAACAGGTTAGATTTGGCTTGAATTTGTCTGAATCTCCTCTCACAGACTGCCACACACAAGTGAGATCTCTAAGTATTTAATTTCATTTATATAATTTTATTAGGAGAAAAAAAATGTTTTATTACAGCAAGTTAAGTCACTCTTCATTATGTTTAAAAAGTAGACAAAACAGAACAAGTTAGACATGTTATTCAAGACATCACCAGAAAACTGCAAGATTACACAAAATATCTATTTAATTTCTTTTTGGTCTTCACAGTCATGAGATCATTTTTCCCCCATATGCCAAATTTTTCCTTTCAGAAAACATTTGCAGGAAAACAAATACAACAACCAACTTCACTAATAAAGGAACATCTTCTGTGACCACAGACCATAATTAACATTCCTAGAAGTAATGCCTGAAGAAAGTTCTCATACACAAGGGCAAGAATAAATAATACAGGCTACCTTCACTATACCTTGTGATGGAAAACTATTTGATAAAACTAGTATGGGATATTTGAATTCATTCACTTCTTTGTTTGAAACCCTAAGCACCAGATTCAGCAGCAACAAAACTAGTTAGTGTCACTACCTCCCTCACCCTTTGGGTTCTTTTAATTAAAGACACACCACTTCTGAGGCTACTTCTGTACTATGCAGCACTAACATGACAGATGACAGAGGGGTAACAACATTTTCAACAGAGAAGTACAGCTTTAACTGTAGGTTTGAATAGTAACATATACATGTTCCAAAACATTTCAAATTACACACCTTCTGTATTTTTTTTATATGATATAGACAAAGACAAAACTGAACCTTGAACTCTTCAACCTCACATCACACAGGATAAAGGAAAGTTTTTCTACGACTTTTACAAGAAAATCTTTTCTGTTCCATCTTTTGAAAGCTCAGTTAATGCAATTTTCATATTCCAATATAAATTTAATTGTTATTGGTAGGAAATTTGCATTTCACACTTACCTGCATATTCATAGAACCATTCTAAGCATCTCTTACTTGAAAAGACTTCTTCTTCCTCTGCTTTTATTCTAGTTGAATCGTATTTTCTATACATACTTAGAAAAAATAAAGAGAAACAAGTAATTAATTCATCAACATTTTTTAAAAGCAATCTTTTAGTCAACAGCCACTTTTAGGAAAAACATTATTCCTTTCAGTTTACTCAACATTCTGTCCTCATATCCAGTCATTTGGAACACTGCTTAAGAATCAATGACACTAAATACTTGGTTTGCTCACTCTGTCATACTTCCAGCGATTCATAACCATTACCCATGTAAATGACCTGCCCCTAAAATTAATATAGCCTAGTTCAAATTCAACCCCAAACTGTTCAGTAAAAGTTCACAGTAAGCCTTGCCTTACACCACCAGTCACCACAGTCAACTGATGGGCTGCAATCCAGCTGTGGATCTATGGCCAGAGTAATTCCATGTCCCAGTCAACAAAGGTCCTACCTTAAGTGCACTTTGAATTATTAACTAAAAAAATCTGCAAACACTCTTTTTGCTGCCTCGAAAAGATTCTGCAAAAGGCATAAAGGCCAAAAGAGACAAGACCTACACTTATATTATAAGTAAGTTCATAAGGCGAAAGAATCACAGGAAAAAAAGGCTGAAAATAAGACCTACACTTATAAGTAAGTTCATAAGGCGAAAGAATCACAGGAAAAAAAGGTTGAAAATCCTCATGGAAAATACCTCAAGGAATGTCATTCATCAGGGAACAGAGAACCATCTGAAAAGCTGGCCCCTTCCCCCAGAGACTACCAGCAGAGTAATGCTCTTCTCCTTCAACAAGAAGTGTAAGGAATTTTAACGACACTAAGGAAACAAATCTAGTATCTGAAACACCTAAAACACAGAAAACATGACACAATGTGAAGGGTCCCTCCCCCAGTTAGAGCTTCTGAAACAGGCACAATATCATTTGTGCCTGCTAGAGTAAAGGGACTCAGCAGTCCAAGTAGTTATCCACTGCTGCATATGCATTCTCTGATCCATTTCCACCACTCTTCAGAGCTTGGGCTCATAAAGCTGAAAAGAGCAACAAACAAATGGTTTAGTCTAGAGGAGGTAGCCAAGAACAGCTCTGTGAGTGCTCCAAGCATGCAGAGTTTCCTCTCACAATGTCAAATCCTGATGGGGGAAGACAATGAAGCGGCTAACTGGTTCAAGGAGAATTTTGAAACCATTTGAATCAAGAAATTAATTTGGATCTGATTTCATCACTGTTTCGTCCTTCTAGAAAGACATGTAAAAGACACCGAGATTTATGAGCTTAGAAGACACTGATCCCACTATCCTCCACCTAGCTCAGCTATCAGCTCTGAGGAAGAGTAGCTAGCAGTAACAGCACACAGATCATTCTGACAGGAATTCAAAGAAATATTTCGTGTTTACTGTCATAGTTCCTTTAAAGCAGCTAACCTTTAGAAAAGTAATACTAGTCAGAACAAAATGATAAATTGCTAATTGGAAGACAAATACAAATGAGGCTCTTAAGAAATTTCTTATAAAAAATTGACACTGTACTGAATGAAACACACTGATCTACAACAAACTGGAACACTGCATAGAAATGTCAGCCATATGTGTTGAAAAATTGACACTGTACTGAAACACACTGATCTACAACAAACTGGAACACTGCATAGAAATGTCAGCCATATGTGTTCCAAACACATATTCATATACTCACAATTTTAAGTTTGGGGTTTTTCATTTTGAAAACACTTTTCCTATTTGAATTATCTATTTTGCATAAGCTTTACTGAAGCTGAAAAGGCTGACAGCATCACTCAGTGAGAGCTAATCCAGAAGGTATAAGTCTGAAGTGGAATAATTTTTTTTTAAATAGGTCTGATAACATTTTCATACTTGCAAAATGAACTGTGATTATGAAAGACCTAGCCTATAATTTTTAGGTTACTCTGAATTCAGAGCAATCAAGACAAAGAAAGGAGGCATTCTGCCACTTTGGCAAAAGTCTTAATTATTCAGTATCCCCTCCTTTGTCACAAACAAACGTGACAAACACCAAGTAGAATACCAAGTTGGAAACTGTAGCAGGAGCTAGTCAACGTCTTTATTCTATTCTCTTTATTCAAGAGGTCTGTAAGAGTACTGCTGGGATTGAGGACATGGCAAAGCTAACAAGGTTCACAAATAAAGGTATTTATCACACGACTCAATGCCTTTTCTTACAAGGGGATGATAACCAATTGTCTTGCCCTGCTTGTTCATGTAAATCATCAGCCTGTTAAGCTGCCAGAATGCAAACAGTGCATTTAAGGAGGAACTCTCAAGAAACAGACTTACTGACAGAGTTGTAAGTCATTCAGATATTTTAGGAAAAAAAGTTTCCTGCATCTACAAATAGCAGAGCTAAACACTGCACCTGAATAAGACATTGGTACCAGCAGTATGTATAATAGAAATGGTGAGCAAGAACAGAAGAAAATAGCCCTTTTTATACATTCTCTGCATCTGCACATAGCAGAAACATTTCGGACAACTGATATGAGATTGAAAGTCATTTGTGTTAAGGGCTAAGGTCACAGTTCAGGAACTGCAGGAAATAGCAATAATAATAAATTAAGTCCATGTGCCCAACATACGGCCAAGTAACTCCAATGAAAATGTTCTTCCCTCAACCTTATGATTGTTCCAAAAGCTCTCTACCTGACCACTGGAGTTTGATTTTTGAGAAACCAGAACTGATTACAGATATTCCAGCTTGTGCCAGTTCACAAGTTCAGAAAATAAAGTCAAAAGGGATATAATCTTGAAATATCCCACTCTCTGCTATAAGCTAATTAGCCAAGACCTGCATTAACAGTGCAGATGACACTGTATCATGTTTATAATGAAAACAGACTATGCACTGCCAGAATTAGAGATCTCATGTATAAAGACAAACCCTGTTCTTTCCCTGCTTACTCCAAACATTAAATACATTTCTCAACCCAGCCTAGCCAAGTCAACTATTTCTACTAGCAAGAGACTCCTAATTTCTGCAGTCCCTAGTGAACCAAGATGAGTGGGAGATGCAAAGAAGTAAGTAGACAAGTACCTGAGATTGCTCAGCCTAGGACAACCTGGTTCAATCTAGTGGTACAGAGTAAAGGTGTTTTCAAGGACTAAATCCACTGAATTATTATTAATATGGATTTGATTATCTCAAGAACCGTATTTACAGAGGAGAAAAACACAAACTTCCAGACACATCTGGCATCCATTTTATGTCTTGTAGTATTCCTCATCTCTGTGGAATTTCTCAGTATATACTCTGAAAGATGATGTGCCTTGTCTTTATTCTAATGACAGTATCTCTTGCTATGAAGAAAAATACACTGCCAGAGTGCACTGGGTAGATATCTGACTATTTTGGGAATATCAAACATCTAATGAACAGATCTCACAAAAGCAAGTCCTCAATGGCTCACAGCTTCATCAAGATGACCAGCACCAGTACTTGCAAGCAGATGCACAACCATTATGCCAACCAATTTCTGCTTTGTAATTTGCTTCTATATTCATGGTCTGGAAAAGGAAACTGCCAGTCACAGAAAAATGCCAGGAAAGTGTCAGTCACACACCAGATATGAAACAATACACTGCTCACACAAAAAAAAAAAAAAAAAAAAATGGAGGGTGAGAGGGGGCAAGGCAGGCACAGGGGGAAAGTAAAAGACTCAAAAAAATGCCTTCCATAAAGGAAGAGCAAATGAATATACCTGGCACCTTTGGAACTAGAATTTGCACGCTGTCAAAGAATGCTGGCACCAAAACAGGACTGCTAAAGGGCATCTTCTCCATCATCAGTTAGAAAGGTGCATGCACAGTTTTATCCCAGAGTGTCTGCTATACCCAGCACTACCAGACAATACCAAACTTAGAACCTTTGCTTTTAGAATTATCCTTCCATTTCTGACTCCTTACGTGATATCCATCAGGAACCGCAAGAAAAAAAAAGTTATTACCTACAGGCATAAAATTATGTATTTTCCTCTCAGATGAGACACACATATAGGTACAATAACTCAGAAAAATCTTCACTTGAAATGTAGCTTTTTTTTTTCTTTTTAGTTTAGTATGACACTGTGTCAGCTCAATGATAGCAACATGCAAGTAATTTCTAACAGGTTATTCTTTTTTATTATCTCTTTCTAACAGTCATTTTGTCAGCTAGAAAGAAGAAAGAATGTGGGACAGGGCAGGGCAAAAACAACGCGAGATAACCTGTCTAAATTTTGTAAAAGTGATTTCAGTTACTTAACCACATCAAAATGTAATCATTTTCTCAGAGATGCTTGCAGCTCCAGCGTGACCTAATAGCTGACTCATAACACCCATGTTCAAACTTATATATGAAATATTCATGTGAGCTAGGGAATTGTAATATATCAGCAAAAAAGGTAAGACAATGTAGTTTATAACTGGAAGTGCCATAGGCAAGCATCAAAAAAAACACAAAAAACCCCACAAACAAACAAACAAAAAACCCCCACAAAAAAAACCCAAAAAAATTAACAAAAAAAAAAAAAACACCACAAAAACAAACAAAAAAAATTAACCAAAAAAAAACCCACAACAAAACAAAAAACCACCCCCTGAGTGTCTAGGCATTTCATGCTTTGTGGGAACTTTAAACACATGGTCCACACCTTCTCCAAATTATTTTCTTCTCTTCCTAACTGATTTGGTAGGAAAAGAAAAGCATGAAAATTCCATCCAGCTATAATGGGGTGACTAGTCATGTGACTGTAAAAGTTGATGGTTGCTGCCAGCAAAAAGAACAACGTAAGGGCAATTCTCTTCAACCCAGGGCAGTCTGCAAAGCTGGGTTATCTGCTGCTCTGAGCAGGTTTCACCTGTACTGGAGTTGGTTAAAGCTCCAGCCACAGCCCCTCCCACTGCACCAACTCTGGGCACTGTAGCTCCAAAATACTCAAACCAAGATCAGTGAAAACATGGAGCTTAGGTCACACAGAACATTCTCTTCCTGGTAGAAGCTGGTAATAATCCATTGAGGAGTAAAAATAAAAAGGCAAAGGGAAAAAAAGCTTTGCTTTATTATGGTAAGTCAAAAGCCTCACATGGAGATCCACAGCCTGGTTATTTCAGATGGTCAGTGTTTACTGAATGAAGACATCAAGAAATTCACCAACAGAAGCTTTGTTTCTAAGCAAAAAGAACTTAGCCAAAATCTTTACCGATTTTTGTTTGAGTTTTGAACTAAGTAACTAATTGCTTCCAGATTAGGTTTTTTTCCAAAACATGCCCATTTTTGATTGAAGATGCCCTACACTACTTCCATTAATACTAATTAATTTAAAATTTTGTCTGAGAATTTTCATCAATGCAGCACATGGAAGTATTTGAATAAAGTCTTATCTATTCACTCACAATTATGATTCTATCATAATTGTGAGTGAATAGATAAGATTATTCTATCATAATTGTGAGTTTCATTAAAACTATTGCTAGAAATAGTAGAAAGAAGGGAGATGTTTTGCAATTTGCAAGACATGACAAAAACATGACTAACCTGACTTTCAAGTTTTATGAATGAATATACCTTATGTCTTCTCGTTTAAATACTTACAATCATTCCTAAATTGTTAAATGTTTGGAACTTTATGAGGCTTACTTAATGAGCAGTATGTGTAACAGCACACATGCTGACATGTCCAGTTTAACTGAGGTGTGCTGAAAAGCTGTAGAAAAAGGAAAAATTATACTTGTGTGTACCTGAAAACCCCTACTACAAGGAAAAGATCCACACACCTATGACAGCTGGGAACACAGATGGTCTGCAAACCAGTTAGTAAACAACAGCAGAACAAAAACCAAATCAACTCTCAACACTAAAAGTTTTGAAAACTTTGGAAGTTAGTACTTCTTATATTAATGACACTGTGTTTTCAAAAACTGCATTTTTCCACTACAGAGTATGGAGTTTAGTGTTCAATACAGAAAACCTATTTTTCATGTTAGTAGGCCCTTTTGTGGTTCCTAAACACATAAGGGTAAATTCATTGAAAACATTTATCTAATTGTTTGAAAACAAATTTCAGGGAAGTAAATAAATATTCATAGTTTTCATCCTCCTAAAGTGACAATACCCATTACTGCAAGGCTTTTGCCCTCAGTGTGATTCCAGAATAAGGAGCAGAATTACTTTTTAAATGAGACTGTCAAAACATACGGCATGATATTAAACAGCAAATTTTTCCCTATTTTGCTAGATACTTTGTAACAGATAAGCAACATAAAACAATTACCCACTGAGGACTATCATTTTACCTAGCAAGTATCTTTACATGAATCTTGCTTTACCTTTCTGAAGATGTTTAACATAGCAATGGAAGACCAATGCACAGAAAACGTAATTTTAACTCCAATTTGAGAATACTGTGTACTGTGACAGCTTTAAGTATAATAAAGTCAAGACTGTGATACTGACATGAAAATACAGACTAAGTTTTCAAGTTATTATGTTCGGGTTAGCACATGCTCAACTATTTACTTCCAACAGCTATTCTTTAAGGCAAGGTAACTCTTAGTGTTATCTACAAACACTGAGTTCTTTTTATTATACATCATCTGGTATAAAAATTCCCTCCCACTGAAACCCTGATTCATGCACGGCTCATGGTGATGCTGTGAACACCAATTAAGAGAATTCAAGTTCTTATTATGTAAGGGTGGAATAATGAACACAATTGGAGTCTTCTATACTCAGTTTATGCACTAGATCAGTATTTCCAAATAATTTCACAACCAGATTTGTTCCTATAAATGTTTTTCCTCAATGGCCTGTGCATTCCACTAGTATTTCTGAGATGAGGTTGTATTCCTATCAGCCTGAAATTAAGGGTGAAACACATGTTTAAGTTTATGACTTTAAGAGTCTTAAGAAACTATCTTCTCTTTCAGTATAGAGACCTGCTGAAACAAACTTTGTAGAAGAAGGCATATCTAAAAATATTCATATCAGATTTGAAGAGATTATAGGAATGAATAAAAAGTAGTGAAGACTGAAAATATCACTAAACAAAACACTCCATTACAGATTTAAAAAACCCACATTTTTTCTGATGGACAAACCAGAAAAAAATCATCAGCCTTCAGTCTCAGCTGCAGTAACACATTAATGATGACATCTCTTGAAAATCTTTGGACTACTACCCAATATTTTCACACTGAGAACAAACAGGAAACTTTGAATTACTGAATTTGTTAACATTGACCCTATAAGTATGCCACTGTAGCTGGGAAACACAAAAATTTATGTCATTCCATTAAGTATTTGAAGTGACAAATCACTCCTGTTAGGAAGCAGAGGCTCTTCTGGAGAGGACTGTGTAGCTCTCAGACACTGACTGCCTTTCTTCACTTAATACAGAATCCACACAGACTAATGTCCCATGCAGGCTTATCCTGACTTACTAGAATGCAGCTTCTAGGAAGTCTGTCTGTAAAACAGAAGCTCAGCACAGGGCCTAGGAGCCCCTTATTCTAGAAACTGGTATTCCACTATACTGTTTTTACTGTATATAGCATCCTCTGCACATAATGTAAGCAGAACTGGCTTTGCCAACTAGGTATGCTACAGCACACTGCTGTAGAGTTTCCTAATTTCAGACCAAATTCTGCTCAACTGAGATGCCTGATCCAAAAACTAAACTTGAGTTATGAACTCCACCTGACAAAACAAGCATGGAAGTAGGAAACTGCTTTTTGACTAACCTTTTCACAGAAGATTACAGGGGTAAAAATCCTTCCTTGAAAGAAAATACAGCTTCAAGACCAGGTTGAATGTGCAGCATATAATTTCATATTGTCAGTCATGCTGAAATAAAAAACTGTTTTCTTGGAGACCAAAACAAAAGAAACATTCTGGGACGCAGAGGAAGCTCAAAAACCTTTACAGGAAGTCAGTCAGATAAAAACTGGAACCACATCAGAGGATATTACCCCATGGCTCATGACTAGCAGATCTGGTTTCTCCTCCAATTCTAAAAGCAGGCTGAGATCTTCCTTTTAATAAAGACTTACATGGCAGCAAAATGAAGAATAGATCCATCAGTTATAAACTGAGAGGCAGACATTAAAAAATTCCTTCAAATTACATTAGCAACAAGCCCTTAAAAACCATTAATTATCTAGTATTCAGAGAGCAAAAAAATCAGGGTTTTATAATTTTCTTATGTAATTACACAAATCAGTATTTTTTACTTACAGGCAAGTTACTTTTTAGGGGGCTATTTTCTATCATCAGTGTCTTGGCTATAGTAGGTAGAGTTCAGTTTTATGAACCTCTCTATATTCTAGGAAGGGTCTTGTATTGCTTCCACATTGTATGTCTATCTTTGAATAAACTGTAATGCCCTCTATCAACTATTTAGCTTTTATATTTCATTATTTGTGAAAAGCAACAAAAATATTAAAAACATTAACTGCTTTTTTGTTCTAGTTAGTGTTACAAAGCAATGAAAGAAAGAGTTGAAATCTCTTTCTTCTGCATCAACAGATCATTTAATAAATTCCAGTGCAGTTACAGTTGTGCAACCCTATTAAACACAATGGAGTTATAGGGGCATGACCAGAGGCTTAATTTGGCTACCAGTATTTTTCTTACTCATGCTAGAGTATAAAAAGGAGAGAACCCAGCCTGATTTCAGGCTGACAGTTCAGAGAAAAATGCCTCTTTTAACTTCCCTAAAGGTACTTGCTATGGAAGCATGAGTTTTCTGAGACATAAGTAACACATAATAGAGCTCAAATTCTACTGATTGATGCAGTGCCAAGCAAACTTTCTAGTTGTATAAGCCACTTTTCAACATCAGAACAGTCCTGCATCTATCATGCAGGAGTGTGCTTAGTCCACAAAAACAGTGATTCTTGCACATGGAGAGCACATTCAATAGTTTCTGAATGACTCAACATACTACACATACTGAAAATCCAACACTTGCAGAGGTCTCAGCTATCCAATACCTCATGCCAAAAGAATACACTGTTCATGCACTCTCTTGAACCTATTTGGCTTCTGCTGTCCAGTGAGAAGCCCCTCAATAACTGCTGAACCTCTGGCTCTCACCTTACCTGGGCAATGTCCCCTTATATGTTCAGTGTCAAACCACAACATAACAGGGAAAGACTAGCAGGATTTTAAGAGCAGAGTGGACTATAATGATATTCACTTTTTTGACAGGCTAGAGATTGATAACAGCCAATCCAGACCTTATGCATGTATATGAGAAAATAGTACTGTGTCTTAGAGGCTGTTTTTGAACAAACAAGTACACATTTTGACAGTTGACAACTAGAGCAAGAAGTTCCCTACATGCTTCTTGTATGTCTAGAGAAAGGTAAGATGCAAACTGAACCTACATATATTTATCAATATCCCACAGTTCAATCACCAGCTATGGTTCCACATTGAGAAACCAAGTAAATTTCAATATTATCTCCATTAGTATTTAAACACATGATAGATCAGCTATTCAACTTTAGATATTCCATCAGTCTTAGCTCATGGTAAGATGACATACCCATCATGTCTACTTTTCTTAGCAGATAAATCATCTCCTGCTGCAGGTCTCCTCTTTTTCCTTGGAGGCATCACTTTACTAAAGCAGTCTGATGAACTGCAAGACCGAAGACTTCCTACAGAGGGAATTAAAAACACCAGCACAAAGAAATGAAACTGTTGCAGACCAGTTAAACTGTGTCCACTAATAGGCATATTACAAAGGGAAGGGAAGGAAGTTAGGGGATTTAAAAATAAAAAAATAAATGGTCTCCTTTCAATACCATAATCCTTCTCACTTTTAAATGATATTCTAGGACCGCATTTCCACTAAGGTCAAAAGTACTAAACCAAAATGTACACTAGACTAGCATTACTTCAGTCTAACAGCAGGCAAGAACTGACACTATCCTGAAGAAGTATTTAGGTCCTCAAAAAGTCATTCTTATTTTTAGTCTTTTATTCAAATCACAAGTTCTAAGAGCGGATCATTGCTTTTTGAAATACAGATGTGAGTGAACACCTATCTCTAGAAAACAGAACCCTTTCTTTTCAAGCCACAAGTTTTGTAAGGTCAAAAGTACTATACCAAAATGTACAGTAGCACTAGCATTACTTCAGTCTAACAGCAGGCAAGAACTGACACTATCCTGAAGAAGTATTTAGGTCCTCAAAAAGTCATTCTTATTTTTAGTCTTTTATTCAAATCACAAGTTCTAAGAGCGGATCATTGCTTTTTGAAATACAGATGTGAGTGAACACCTATCTCTAGAAAACAGAACCCTTTCTTTTCAAGCCACAAGTTTTTTGTGATAGAGAGAAAGAGGTAGGAAAGGTTTTGTTTGTTCTTTGGTGAGAGCTCTTTTTCCAGTTTTTTTTGGGAGGTTTTTTGTTTTGTTGGGATGGGAAGAGACATTCAGCAACCATCAGGGAAAAAAAAGTGGCTGGCTGGATTATTTGGACTGAACAGTTCTCAAAAAATTAGGGCCCCCAATCAGGAAATAGCCAATTCAAGACATTGATGCCAATCAGGTGGCAGTCTTTCCATCCCCTTCTCTCAGCTACATACTCCTATGTCTCTGGTAACTCTTCTGTGTGCCAATCCAGCTCACCAAACCTGTAGATAATTAACCAAGGAAAAAAGAATAACTTTCTGTACATTAGCACAAGAAAGAGCACAGGACCAGCCCTTTTGACCACAGCAAGTCATTAAATTGCTTTAGCTGTCTCATGAAAACAGTAGGCTAACACTCCAGGCATAATTTTGTTCTACTTTCATATGCTGAAGACCACACTGATACCTGAGAAAGGTGTGTGTAAGAGCAACTCAAAGAGCTATCACAGCTCTAAGTGCTACACAGAGAATTTGAAAAGAAAGGAAGAGAGAAGTGAGGTATAAAAATCCAGACATAAAGCGATGCCAAAGAAATTTGCAAGAAAACATTAAGAAATCCAGCATTCCTAAGCAATCTTCTCTTTGCTACAACAGCACCCAAGTTTAGCTATGCTCAATTAAGATGCCCACAAAATCTTTTATCTCACATCACAGCACAGAAGCAAGCAATAAAACTTTGACTGCTTTTTGACACCAAGGGAACAGACTGAAATCAGAGGCCCAATTCCCAACAAATACTGACAGCAATCTTTTGCTTACCTATTCTTCGAATCTTTGAAAGGCTCTCTCCTGTTATAGGAGAAACACAAGTAAGGAACCTTAGACCCTCACAGGCTTTGCTACACGTACATTATTTCAAACATGCACGGAAATGCTAACCCATAAGAAAGTACATATTTCTCTAGTATCATCTTCATATTTCTCTAGTCTCATATAAGATGTTCAACCCAATTTTTACACCAAGATGAACTAAACTGGTTTCAACTAAAAAAGCTTTTACACTAAGTATGCCTTCTTTGGTCTTATCTTTATATTAATTTCTATCTATTAAGAAGAAAATTAATCTCTCTAGTTCAAGAAATACTCTCCAATTCAAAAAATTCTTCCTACATATATATATATATATTTTTTAACCCTATAACTCCCTCCTCATTATTGTCCCAGGAGAGTACAGCCATACACTGTCTTTTTGAAAGAGAATTAACAGCATTGACAATTCAAATTACAATTTAAATAATCATCAAAAAACTTTCAAATATTATGCTCTATAAACTATTACCACCAAAAAAAAATCATAATGGCTGTGTCAGAAGAACATACTTCTAGAAGCACTGTCTAGAATGCATTACAAAAGGAAATTAGTGACAATAGCATTTATTTTCTTCTCAACAATATCAGCTATATCTTAAACAGAGACCATAAAAAAATTCAGAGTACACCCAAGGCATTTTGCAAACTAAACTAACTAAGGAATCTGACCTGCTGAATGTCACTTGTTCCATCTGATTATGCCTGCACATTAATCATACTGAAAAACTCTACTCTCATAAAGTTATTGAATCTGTAATACTTTATTTTTCAAATCAAATTTCTGAAGACTTTGCCAGTAAGTATTTCTGAAAGCCTACACAGACTAAAAACACTTAAGATGACAGCAGAACTCAACAGATGGCTAGAAAAAGCCAACAGACTTAAGACACACACTGAACTTAACAAATGAAAATGTGATAGTGAACACCTCTTTCTGGTAAATATGCATTTACTTAAGTACAACCTGTAGCTATTTCATTGCTTTGAGAGCAAATGGATTGGTTTTAAGTGCCTTTCTTTTAAAAAAAGTACAAATCCATTTGTGATGGCTACAGGCATTGGATGCTGGTAAAATGCAAGAAAAAAAACATACATTCCCCTCACTCCCCACAAATCTGTGCAGTTTACTGATCAGTTGATTGTGAAAAGAAATATGCAAGGCCTCTGGGAAAAAAGAAGCAGAGCAAAAGACCAAAAAAAAAAAAAGTAAAATAAGCAGTTATAGAACAGAGAAATCATTTTGTCAGACCTGCAACCCCATACAAACCAAAGAATTTAACTCAAGAATTCCTGCTTGGACTCTTTGCCTCCTTAAATGATAGAATGTTTTTAAGAAGATTGGTGAACTTGTTTTAAAGGCTTAAGCTGATCACAATTCACTACACCCCAATTTCTCCAATGACTCCTATGAAAAACTTGTATCCTTTTTGGTTTGAATGTATCTAGTTGCAGCTCTCAAGGGCACAGAAAAAGGAAGAAAGGAGACAGCTCAGAAATTGGTAGGTGGCTATTAAATGCACATACACACACTGCCCTCACACATTGACAGCACACAGACACCAGGTGGACAAACATATTGTAAATGCTTTCCAAGACTTAACATCTTAATAACTGAGATTTGGAGCAAGTCTTCACTAGACTTTAGCTGTTGAATAATCTCTAAACTACTAAAAAACACAGCATAAGGATTTTAGTTTCAAAGCATTTCTTTTGTTACTTAAATTGGTGTGTTAAATTTGAAGTGCAGTTATAATTTCTCTGTAACAGGAGTATTTATTTCATTTTCATATAAAGCTAAAAATTATCAGTTTGGGTTTTTTTTACTTTGAACTCCTGCAATTTCTCAATTCACAATACAGCTCACTAAATAGCAATATTAACCCTTCCTACACAGAGCTTTCTAATTCTAAATGTAATTTTAGGTCTAGCAGTGCACAACTAATTTCTCTTCCCAAAGGTCTGACCACCTGCAAACAAACATGCAGCTACCTCTGACTACATGCAAATTTGACAGAATTTTACTTACCAAAAGCAGCTTTGCTGATGTGATTATCTTCAAAGTTTCTCACTCCTAGGCCTCAACTCAAGATTGGCAGAACCCTCCTAGTTCTCACTGGTTTTTTGACACTTGAAGGTCGCATTTGCAAGGTAGAGCTCCAAATGCCTACTGAATAGACCACCACCAGCCAAAAGCCTTTTGAGTTTAAATGCTGTTTGCCAAACATCCTATTGAATACTTCCAAATTTGCAGGAGACAAAGCTTTCAAAGGGAAGTATCAATTCAAGAGCTAAAATTCACTCCAGGAAATTTAAAACAATATATAAAATAAAACCCACAAGGGAAGGACAGTCCTAGAATAGCAACAAAACCAGAGAAACAAAAGAAAAAAGCCAATAAAGAAGAAGAACTCTACAAGCTGTGTCCCTACAGAAATTATTTACAGGCATGGAATTTCCACCTTCCCCAGCTAAAGCCTGTGAGGAATGCTGCTCTTCTGATGCTTCAGTAGAAGGATGCTTCAAAGGAAAACTAATTAGAAACTGTGAATGCTGAAGCAATTGGGAAGATATAGCTGATCACTTCATAATGAAACAAAATGACCACAAATGCACTTAACAATCATCAGTTTTCAGACACAAGATGAGAAAGCAAAGATACTCATCAAAACATTAAATAACTTGCAATCCTGTTGCAAAAGGAAAACTCATCTTCTCTTGTCTTGAATTCTACACTACAGAATTGCTCTGGACTCGAGAAGGATTTCATCTCTAATCTAACAAAAGCAAAAAAACAGCAGAGGCAAAAGCAATTTCTCTCTCCCAAAGACTGATGAACAGCAATGAAGCCTTCTTTTTGTTGAAGAGATAACCTCACTGTTTTAAACAAGCCAGGTGACAACAAGAAGCATACTTTTAGACTTTTTAGTCTGATTAAGTAACTCGCAATTTAATTACCAAATCATGGTAAGAGATTAACAAGCTGCTAGATTTGTAGTTATGACATAAAAACAACTTATTTCAAATGTGAGTTTTCCAAGTTAATGCATATACATACTAAAAGAAAAAGAAATTGTTTACAGAATCAGAATGTCTGCTGTTCTTCCACCTACAAACAGGTGAAAAGGCAAAACTCATGACACGTTTGAAGTCTATCTCATTTTTCAGACAGATATGCATACTGAATGATAGCACATGACAGTGCAATCATTGTAGGGGTCTGGAATTTTGAAACAAGATCCATCTTATCTCTCAAATCACTGAAGGAATTTTGAAACTGCCACTTCCCTGTAGTTCTTTGATGTTTTAAGGGCTGGTTTCAGAAAGGAAATCAGACTAATACTTAGAAAAGATACAGTTTGCTTCAAGTAATTCAGATGTCAAGACATTTTTTGTTAGTTTAGAAATAACTGCTTTGAAGTAAATGTGATATGCATTCAACAGTTAATACTCTTATTAATAAATATTAACCAAAAACTAAGAATTTTTTAAATCGCTTTTAGAAATTCCAATCAAATTTAGATACATGTACATTGAGTCATCCCAAAAACAAAGTCCACAACATAATGACAATAACCCAGATAATTATGGCAGAAAATGAACAGCAATCTTTAAGAACAAGGCTTGGGCCAGAAGATTTAGTGTTAAAATAATCTCAGAACTATAAAAAACCTTGACATGGGTTTGGCAACACTCAAACCTTTTGCAACAGTTCTTAGTCTGACTTTGAAATGAGTTCTAGACACAGAATCTCAAATTCACAGAACCTATACAGTTCTATAAATTGTGCAACAAAATTAATAGGTCTTGACAACTTCTTACTGGAAAACAGAAGTTCCACAAGTTTAGGCACATTGAAATCAAAAAATTTTCAAAAGTAACTCCATAGATTTATGTGAGTCTCTCCAAGTAAGATGTTCCGGAAGTGTTAAGTTCCATACAGAACAGAAACAGAAGACCTCACTGTACTACTCATGATGGCCAAAATAGCTCCTTGCATGTGTATTTGTCCTCATATGAGTCAAATCAAACACACATTTCAACTGAACATGCCTGGAACTTATGCAAGCATCTGGGCTTCATCTCTTCCTATAAGGAGACATAAAACAGGGCAGAATCATAAGAAACAGTGGAAATAATATCTGAAGATGAGGAGGGAACCTGGCATTATCAACCTCTACTTTTGGCTCTCATTTCATAATTGTTTCTGGTTTGAAAGGTTCTTTACAACTATTGCAAAAAAAATTGCACTCTTTAGAGGGATTTTGTGCCTCAACTCATTGAACAGGCACACTCACACTTTTGAAACAGTGTAATTCAAACAACAGCGTGCAGGCAACAGGATACTGGCTTCGATGAACAGTTTTACACTGACACTGATGGTAACATGCTCAAGCACCTGCCAATGGAGGTAATGAGAGCACCAAGGCTAATTTCTTATACTTTACAACAGAAGTGCTAGGCAAGAGGTAAGACAAATTGCAAATACCTCAGGTACATCAGCGCTTATTGATGGGGACTACCTCAATGCTTCACAACAGGTCTTGGTGATCAAGAGTAAACAAAGATTATAGAAGACATTTTCATTCATGAAATCAGTATGTAGCCCTTCAGTTTAGAGCAACTGGGTCATATAGGAGAAAATTCCAAGTCTCCATCACAAGATGGGAGAAGACATCAGTTCTAAAATATGGACATTAAAATCTCTAGCTGTCTTCAACTATTGGTCACAACCTCTTTTTCAGAGGCTTTTCATTTACATAATGAGCTAATTTCAGTATCAAATCACTTACCACACTGAAGGAAAGTATTTCTGAGACTCCTTTTGTGGCTAGGGTAAGAGTTCAAGCATGAAACAAAGTCACCTGCTTGCTGTACAGAGGAGGGTGCATAATCCCTAAATGAGCTCTGTCCAATCCCAAGCAATGCAGTCCTATGCATCTCTTCTCATTGCTCTAGGCTAAGAGTGTGCTAGATTTTTAAGAGTGTGCCAGAAATCTCCAGGAGTAGTTGACAGCTCTCTCCACTTTTCTAAATGCTCAAGGTAACATCAGCAAATATAGCCATCACCTCAGGACAGTGGAAAAGCTTTGAGTCAGATGGTAGGACAAACATGGTCAGTTTTAAAGAATAGTTCTGCTGAGTGAGTGATCAGGGCTTGAAGGCAGTGCAAAAGGAGGTCAGAACTCTTGCAAAACATCAAATCACAAAGCTCAAATGCTGACAAATCAAGAATGACAGGAAGCTGGTACCAGGCACATGAGAAGAAGGCTTAAAAAAATGGTAACACTTTATGGAACAAAACACAGATATTAACTCAAAAATAGATAGTACTCAAGACATTGACTGAAAATCTGCACAAGAACCAGAAAAAACCTGCATCAGAACTAGTCAAGGAAAAAGCAGGTTGTTTGGAGTACAGCATTTAAACTTGGTCACAGGCATCACAACAGCCAAAAGAGGCCTTGCTTCTGTTCTGTTCTCGCTAATGCTCTTTCAAGACCCAAAACACTGTATGAATATGGATATTTTGTGGCCCAACAAGCTGAGTCCCAGGAGTGAGAGAAATTTTTCATTAAGTCTTCTAAACTAAGACAGTAAAACTGCTGAAACCTGTTCAAGTCCTTCATAATTCGATAAATTAAAAGCACAAACACCTATTTTGAAAAAGACTAAGAAACCCAGGCACTTGTTTCCTGAAACTCCTTTAGCCTTCTAAAACATCCTTTTCAGTTATGTTAGAGACACTTGTTTAATAAAGTGTGTTTAAATTGTTTCAATCTGTTTTTACTCCATTCCTATTAAATACCTGTCTGGTGATCGTCTTGACCAACGTCCTCTGTCAGATTCTGCAAGAAACAGGAATGACACAGTTAAACAAGATTCTTCTGTACTATTTTTAAATTTTACTTGATATTGGTATTCATCCTAATTACTTAAGGATCATCTACATAAGACTGTAGTCTCTGTGTTTTCAGCTCATATTTATCTAAAAAGTTATGCTTGCAAATTTATCTAAAAAGTTCAAGTAAATTGAATTTGATAAATATTTTTGAGGGTTTTTCAATCAAAAACATACCAAATTATTTCAAGAGTGGAAATACCCATCAGGTGGGGAACTGGCATTATTTTACTGAATAATTCCACCAAAAAATGCGGCATTAGAAAGACTGAATTTACCATTTAGCACAGAAATGTCTTTGCTTAAGGATAAAAATACATATGTGTTCTAAAGGAAACTGATTAAAAACCAACTGAAATCTTGGAAACAAGTTTACCCCCTTCTTCAGGCAGGGTCTTTTCCGCTAAATTTGCAGTGTACACACAGAAGCCATATCACCATTTCCAGCTATGGTTGCAATAAAACAAATGTAAATACACAGCAGATAAGCAGGAAGAGCCTTCACAAAAACATTGTTTCACTTTCTGCATGGGTGTAAGAGGACAGCTTGCTCATTCAATATGTTTTCCAGAAGAGCTGCAAGAAACTGGGTAACTGTGATGACTACCATCACTAAATGCATCCAAGAAAGCTTCTTGTATGAGGCAACATCTAAATCCAATGTTCAAACAAAGCTCAAACTCCACTCTGACTCCGGAGTATAATCTTTCACCTTTTACTAATACTGCTTATCTCTTCACCAATTCAAACCAAACAGCCTTCCATACAACAAGGCAGTTATAATTTTTAGAAGTGTAATCACTTAATGATTTCAGTCATGAAATATTCTGGACCAAAACCCTAACTATTCTGCTAAGAGAAAATGGCAAGTCATTACCAGCCTATTGAGGGTGTGGTAAATCTTGTGAATATTTGCCAGTGTTGATAGATGAGAATTCAGTTGAAAATCTAGAGGGGAAGGAAAAAAAAGGGTTTTAAATTTCTGGTTTCCAAATGCAGCAGTCATGATCTTCCTACATTCTGGCCACTTAATAAAATCATCACAGAACTATAAACTAAAAGTAATCTCAACATTTTCAGCACCGACATTTACAACATTTGACTAGAACAACTGAAATCTTCAAAAAGATATCCTATGTATGTATTTTTCTTAAGGCATGGATGACCCTCAGCAGAACAGAAGTATAGCTAACTATAGATGAATGAAAAAAAAGATTTACAACTTTTTTTCCCCCTGATATTGGAAATCTTTATAACTTGATGTTACCCAGTCCTTCTGTTTCATCTATTCCAAAACCAAGTTAAGTGCCACGTAACAGTCTAAAATAATTAATAAAAATCCTGGATCTAAAAAAAAAAATCTGATTTTATTAATACACATGTACTTGCCTTTATACTAATTTTCTTGCAAAAATAAGTGACTAGAATACACTTGCACAGTTGAAACATGGCTTTTTAATAACAAACCAAAGGTTACAATACAGCAGCTGTTAAGAAAAGAACCAAAAAAACTGATAATGAAATATTCTGACACTTCTTGGAAGAAGCCACAGCATAGCTGTTAATTTTACTTCCACACTCCAAATATAAAACACTTGAGTTTGCTTCAGTTACTAAAGAGCGAGAAACTAATTTTTCTCTATTCTTTTGAATTCCCTATTTTTGCAGGAATGTGGCAAGAACAAAACTGGAAAGTAATTTACAAAAGAACAGCTGAGATCCAGCTAGACAGCAGGCAAACAAAAAAGAATCTCAGAAACTGAACACAAACCAGCCGAGAGGGCTTAAAGACAGCCAACTACTACAGAGTATATCCACTTCAACTAAAAATAAATTAGCTACCCCACTAGAACTCATGTGCCAAAACACTCTAGAGAAATGTAGTGTATGATAAGCCAAGTATTCCAAGCAAACTTCTATATGTGAAAAGCTTCTGTATGTGCCCAGCATCACTACCCAGCTAATGCAACAAAGCATTTCTAATATGAGACATTTAATTTGGCTTTGCCCAGCAGCTGATGCAAGTGAGGTCAAAAAATAATTTCCTTATTTCCATCCAGAGCATTTCAAAGGAATGCTCTCAAGATACACTTAAGATGACCCAGATAAACAAGAGTCACCATTAAACATCCGACTGCCAAGTCAGTGAAGCACACTGCTATGAAGTTAACAAGTGGGACTGAAGAAACTGCCTGCTCTAAGTGAACTTGTTACACACATCACTGTGGCATTCTCCTACCACAGTGAATTAAAAAAAATAAAAATCAAAAGATACTTTCAAGAATTATACATTTCCTTCATTGTTAGCCAGAGTATCACTTAATTAATTGCTACCTATTTCTTAGCATGTTGTCCCCATGCACCACAGCAATACAATTGCTCTAAGTCAGAAGCACCAGAGATGGAATTTCCAACTTTAGCTAACCTTATATATACAAAGTCAAAGACAATCCAGATCTTCTTACCAAGCTACAAAAAGAAGCTCTTGAACCTTGAACAGGATGCTAGAGTTTTTCCTGCATTAAGAGCTCAATAAAGTTCCTTTTTTGCTAGTCAAACAATACTAAGCAGAACCATTCTGCAAGAAAAAAATAATCCTGAGTTTCTTAGTCAATCCTCAATTCAATATAAAGCAATGAGAAAAAACAAAAGGAGATGGGGGCAAACAGGGATGAGCACAATAGGGAACATAAAAGCCATTCTGAGGAGGGCAAGATTAAAAGATTAATATTTGATTTGTTAAATGACAGATCAGATTAAACTTTCTGGAATATGAATTTTACAGTTTCCCCTGCTGCTTAGTCTAAAATCTACAAAGAACATGAGCAGTTAGAGAAACCATCTGAAGGTAAGAAAGAAGCTGAGAACACTAAGCAAATATTTATTTATTCTAATCTACCATTAACTTTAGATAGCACTCTTAAAAATGGTTGAAAAAATATTCTAACATAAGGATTATATATATATAGGTATCACCTTTGAAACAAAACATTCCTAGGTACTTCAAAACACATAGTTCATGCCAGTGTGTTTTACATGTCCACTGAAAATAGCTGTACAATTTTAAGCTGCTGCCTCAGAAATAGGTTGCATAATTATGATGGACTTAGCAGGGTTATACAAATATATTTTCCAGTTCTAATACAAGAGATATCACACCATCCACCACTTGAATATGGAGGACCTGAGTCCAAAGTTTATTTCTTTCACAGGGGAAGCTTGCACAGTGTAGGGATATTATCTAAAACTGAAAACAGGTTTCTTTTACAGTTATAAAAGCAAATGCAAGGAGCACCCATTAAATTAGGGAAGTTAAATTACAGTTCAGGTTATTCTCTGTATTGGTCTGTGAGTCAGTGTTTGCTTTATATTTCAAGAACGATACACAAAATATCCTATGCCACCGTGAAAAAGCCTATTTTTGAAAAAAAAAAAAAATTGGTTTTTTTTAAGAAACAAAATCCAAAAAATAACACCTCCCATGCTCAAATGACACTGTCTGGGAAATTAGCAAAAACAGCACTGATCAACAGTGGTCAAGATGGCAAGCAATTGGACAGCTGGTTGAACTGTATTGCTCATGAAGACACTCTCTCCTCTCCACCTCCCAAACTTTCCACACATACTCATGCAGCCTCCAAAGTTGTGCTGCTGATCCCCTTGCACACATTGAAAACTCATCCACAGAATAAACAAACCCTGCCATCCCAGTGCTCTGAATCAGACCACCAAGGAGCTGCAACCAGCTGAGTTAGAGGAAGAAACAGGAAAGTTGTTCTTTAGTGGGAGCACAACAGTGTCTCGTGGCAGCAGCAATGTGCTGCATTAATCCCCTGTCCCTCCCAGCGCCACCGCCAGAGGAGCGATGCATCACACGAAGCTGCACACTCCACAGCTGGTCCCATGAGCTTGACACAAGCAATGCCATCACATGTGAAGCTATTTTTCAACTGAAGACAACAGTTTCAAAACACATGAATTGGTCTGAGGTTTTGGTTTTTTTCCCTACAGAAACTGCATCCAGGTCTGTGGTCCTCAGCACAGGAAAGACACGGATCTGTTGGAGCAAGGTCACAAAGGACAACTGGAGGAACACCTCTCCTATGAAGAAAGGCTGAGAGCTAGGGTTGCTCTGTGGGGAGAACAGAAGACTCCAGGGAGATCTCACAGCACTTTAAATGCACTTATGGTACTTTAAGGGGACGTTCAAGAAAGCTGGAGAGGGACTTTCCAAAAGAGCACACAGTGACAGAACAAGGAGGAATGGCTTCAAACTGAGAGTAGGTTTAGATCAGATATTAGTAAGAAGTTTTTTGCTGTGAGGGTGGTGAGACCTTAGCACAGGCTGTCAAAAGAAGCTGTGGATGCCCCAACCCTGAAGTGTGAGGCTGGATGGGCTCAAAGCAACCTGGTCTTGGTAGAAGGTCCTGGTGCCCATGGCAGGGGGATTGGAACTCTTATCTTTCAGGTCCCTTCCAATTCAAGCCATTCTAAGATTCTGACATACCACACAGTTTACTGACCTCGAATCAGAAGAAGAAAATCTGCTTGCTTTGTAAATAGTGAAAGATGAAATGTGGAAAGTTTCCTATGACTTTAAGGAGTGTATGTCAAACATTCATATGTATTTTGTTAATTAAATTATTTTTCATGCAAAAGGTAGCGGATCTTCAGTGAGGTCTGAAGTAATGAAAATTCCAAATGTTACTAAATACTTTGCAGTAATTCAGAATGTAATGGCTAAAAAAAAAAATCTGAGTAAAATAATTACAAATCCAGAACCTAGAAAGGAAAGAAATGACAGAGCCAACCCAGTTTCATGGAATTTAAATGTTGTCTGCAGTATGTGATTAATACAATGTTAAGGGTTAAAGGCTGGGTTAGTCAATTAGCCACAATCATATACAATTTAAAATTAAAAAGAAAACAGTTTAAAAATAATTTTTAGAATATTATAGGTTAAGGTTTAAACTACGGACCTGAGAATTACAGAGAGGTAAAAGAAACAAGAGCTAGCCGGGCTTGCTTCCATAACTAACAAACTAGAGAAGAAACATTCTACACCCTCTCATTAATGCACACATGAAATACAATACAGAAAACGAAAAAACTCAATGTATCTTAACTATAAACAAAGTATACAGGTAAACTGGACTCAAATACTTTACTTTCCTGCCTGAAATGAAAAACTTTAAAGGTTAAATCCCAATTTTTTTATTTTTCTTATCAGAAGGAGCAATGTGTTGCCAAACTATTTAAATGAACATCTGAAAACAAAGGAAAAAAAGTACCTGCCTGAACAACCAACCTTTAACTTTGTTCCTGCTGTAGACAAAACACAGCTACAAGGTGCAGTAAAATCTATTAAAAACCTAGTAAAAAATTAACAATAGTAGTAAACAAGATCAGCTGACTCCAAGTTTCCTTTAAAAGCTGCTAATTTTTTAAGCAAATAGAAGATCTATAAAAAATCTCACATTTAACAGTAGATCTAAAAATAGTTATCCCTAATAGATATGTCATATGTATAAAATTTAAATATAGAAATAGCAGTAGTAATAACATAGTAGTAATTATCATTACTGCTAAGACATAGGTGTAAACTCCTTAGAAAAAAATTAACAGAAAACACACATCACACAAACTCATACCTAAAAACCAAAATAGCATGCTTAGGCTTTTAATCAATTTTTTTTCTTTGCTTTCAAGTAACAGAGATTAAAAAAACTCAAAAAAAACTGCAATAATAATTCAAAGTTCTGTTGCCTTACTTAGCTTTAAACAAATTTTACTTACTCAAAAAAGAATCATTTAATCTTCTACAAAATATACCATTTTATGCTCTCTAGTCTACTTACAGAATTATTCTTACAGCAACACAATTTATATTGATGAATGATGAACTGATTAATGAACTTAGAAGTTCAGATCTAAAACCTACACTTGGTGAAAGCCCTCAACACTCATGTTCAGGAAGCAAAATTTTTGTATTCATTTCTAAATACAGAAGGCAAAAGAAAAATGTACATCAGTCTTATCTACACAAAAACTTAATAACACACTTGAAGACTGAGAATCCCAAACTGCAGCACAGAGCAGACAGGAGCTGACTCTGCACTCCTGTCAAAGACAGGATTCAAAACCTCTTTCCAGTGTGTCTGCAGCTGTATCCCTGCAGGCACAGACACCCTATACCAGGGTCACCCTTTCTCCTGGTCCATCATGGGACAAGCCTTGGGTCAAGGGAGACAGAACAGGCTTGAAAAGCAGGGTCTCCCTTGGTTTGGTGTGGTCAAATAAAGGGCATGATTCAGAAAGTAAGGAAAACAGAAGTGAATTCCAGCTTGGAAAGTAAGGACATGCAATTAGATGGGATGACCCAGCCTATCTTGAGGAGCATCAGGACCGAGCCATTAAAGCTGAAGACGTGATACTGCAGAATGTTTCTCCTGCCCACCTGCACCCAGAACCACACCAAGCTCAGAGCTACTGCTGACACCAGCAGTATCCAAAACCCACAGTTGCAAATTTGTGTACATTTTGCAAACACAACAGCCTAAAATGTTCTGCAGCAAAACACAGACTGACTTAAGCTAGTAAATAAAAAACCCTACAGAAAACCCAAACCCAAGCAACAAAATATGGTAGGAGTTACTACATGTACGCTAAAATAATTTCAACATAAACATTCACATTCAACTCTTAACATTTGGTATTACCACTCAGAATGACAACTGCAACAAAATATTTTTAGATCACTGCATGCTACATAGATAGGAAAAAGTATAATTCTTTTTTGCCCCCATAGGAACAAATCTTTATTCTACCTAGGTGTTTTTGGAGTACCCTAATCTGAAGGCTTGTTTATCAAAAGATCTACTGCAGTTTAAAGTTAACTGAGAAATTTAGAGCAATTTAAGCAGTGCAAAATTTATGTAACTTTTACTTCATTTTGAATACATTTCCATTAAACTTAAATTGAACAAATAAGAGCTAGGGTAATTCTCCTATACTAACATATAGGATAAAATACTCTGCACAACTGGCTCATGGTAGGATTTGGGTTTGCTTGAGAGGGAGGTAATTTTGGTTGGGTGTTTTATGCTATATAGCAAAGACAACACTAAGTGGGTTTCTGGTGCAAAACATCTGCTTCTGTTGATGAATAAGAGTTCATCCAGTCTAACACTTATTCCACCATCAGACTAATTCAAACAGGTGTCAGCGTGCTAGTTTTGCATCATTGGCTGCCATGACCTGGGAGCTGTTTGCATTACTTTTAACTTCATGCCAGGTGTCATGGGGCATCCTACAAAGGGCATAAAGCTCATTCAAACTTTGTATCTTGTGCTCTAGCTAATTCAGCAGAAATGCAACCCCATCAAGCGCCCGCTACTAGGGTATCCAGCAGGGTGCACATCTGGTATGTGGCTCAGGGTGGAGCTGCAACAGCCTGGGAACAGCTATGCCAGTCAAAAGCATTACTGCCCAGCTGCTTGTTCTTCCTCCCTGCCAAAACTTACTGACCCCACAGCTCTGCCAGCAGCACAGGCCATGGCCACATTCCCTAACCCACTTCAGGCAAGAAATCAAGCTGGCAGTTCAGACAACTTAAGTAAGTGGCAAGAGCTAACCCAGGTACATCTGACTGAGTGGATTAGAGAGTGCTCCTACAAACCACTCAACCAACAGAGCAAGGGAAGCAGTAATCTACAGCTAATGAGCAGTAATGAGCAGCAGACCCAGTCCCACAGCCACACATCTGCATCAAGGGGGTCACACCAGCCAGTTCCCCAAAAGCCTTGCAGCTCTAACTATATATAAATATATGTAACCATCTATATACACACAATTTTGTATGTACATACATACTGAATGAACTGGTAGTTGTTTCTATCTCTTCATGAGCCAAAAGTAAAAATTCTGTTTAACATCAGACCATGACTCTAAATAAAGCAATTTAATTGGACAGTACAACAAAAATGCTGGCACATATAAATTAAAGGTTCTGCTCCAAGCCCCTGTTAGTAGTCTTACTTCCTCTAGAAGAAATAACCACACTATTAAATGCTCTAATATTTAAACTGGATACAAGAGATGAACACTTTCACAGGATGTACTGTACTTCCTATTGCTGTGCTTTTTGGCAAGCTCAAGACAGACAAATTAAGTGAGTTATCTTCTTCTGCTTGAAGACACAAACAAAACTAGGAACTAATGCTTTGAAAAAGCCCAAAGTCTTTGCTTTCAATACCTGCAAAGAAAGTGTGGGAGGAGGGGAATTAAAGAAAACACAGGATTAATAATTCACTAAGAGCACAAAAAGTACCCAGACAAAAATAAATTTAAATGAAGTGCTGCAATTACACAAATAAGAGCTCACCCTGATACAAGAGAATGAAGAGAAGCAATGAAAAAAACTTTACCTGCCTAATTCAACCTATTACATGGTCTTATACAGAGAAGACTTTTCCAATTATAGCTACAGGAGATACAAGAAACTTTTCAATAGAAAAAAGGAAAGCTTATTTCCTCATATAAAGTGAAAGGTGTGTATTCAGAAAGTAAAACTTAGACTGAGCAAAAACATATTAATGGAGTTTATATCATAAGAACAGATAGGGATCTAAGAAGGATCAAAAAGGTGGCTCAAAATAAACCTTCAATCAAGAGACTACCATAAGCCAGCTTCTGTATGTGAAAAACTATGCTATGAACACTTCTTGCTTCAAGCATTTAGATCAATGAAAAAAACCCATCCAGTATGAGGTTACAGAAAATGAAATTAGCTAATTGAGGAAAACAGATCTATTTAAAATAACACATATAAAAGAAAAACAAAAAAATTGAAGCATAAGATCTGATCACTCCACAGCACATTTTTAATGAAAAGCCAGTAACAGCTGAAGGCTGAGGAACACTCTCTTACTGTTTTCTGAAGACAAATTAAAAATCACTATGTCGCCTAATCATCCTACGTGAGGGAGGCCTGGAATATGTGAAACTGTAACTCACACCTGTATATAATGAGGACCTGCATTTTTTTGACAGGGCACATGACAAAAGACACTGAACAGAAGGTATTTTCTAGAATAATTGTCTTTCTACTTCTAATATGAGGCAATTATTTCTGCTTTAATGGCAGCCCTCACCACCAACACATAATGACCCTGAAATATAAAGGTAAAATAAACCAGAACCACTAAAAAAATTATATAACCTTATGAGTTAGAGCCTTTACCAGGCTGCCCCTGTATGAGATCTCATTCTGAGAGACACAGGAGGATTCAAGAAAATGCAGGCATTATGCAGCATTTCTTTCCACCACTGCTTTCAGGACTTTGTCCAAAAGTCGGACCATCATTCATTAACTCATGATCAAAGCTTCAATTTTCATTATCTCTCCCACAAGCAAGTTCTACAGCAATACAGCATCTCAGGGCTGCCAATCCTCTCGCAGGGAGCACACGCTCCTGGGAGGTTGCACAGGGAGGCTGTGCAGGGCAGCGGTGTGCTCGGCACGGCCGCCAGCTCTCTCCAGCGGACCGTGCCTATCCCTGAACCCGGCCACCCCACGGCCACGCGACGCGTGACCCCCTGCGCCGTGCAACCCGTCCACAGCAGGCGGTCCCCGCAGCTCGGAGGGCACGGCCAGAAGCTCATCGCGGAGACAGAGCCCTCGCCGCGCTCCCCAGTTCAGGAGCCGCGGTGCCCCGCGCTCCCCAGGGCGGGCGGGCACGGCCGGGGGTCCGCGGGGCGGGGGCAGCGCGCCGCGCCGCCGCAGGGCCCGCTGGGAGTTGTAGTCCGCCAGGCCGCCTCCCACCGCCCCCTTGCGTGGGGCCGCCGCCGCAGGGACTCCACCTCCCACCATGCGCCGCGGCTCCAGTCCCCCGCACCAGCAGCCCGGTTCTCCCGCACCGGCCCGGCAGAACCCGCAGAATTCACCCCCGCCCGCCTTCCCTTACACACGCAGCTCCGCAGCCCGCGCTCCCTCGGCAATCCCGGCTCTCTCACAGCCGGCCACGAGGGCCGGCCGCAGCCTCACCCGCTCGCCAGCTGGGTCGGGCAAACTGCGTCACACCCTCCGAGCGCCCCCGGCCCTCTCCGGTGCGGCAGCCCCCGCCCGCTCCCGCCCCCGCCCCCCGGGGAGCGCGCTGAGGCCCGCGGGGCTCCCGCTGTCCCCGCGGGGGCCCCGCCGCCAGGCACGCACACGCCGCCCCGCTCCGCTCCGCGGCGGTCCCGCACCCGCGGGCCCGAACCCTTCCCCGGCACCGGGAGTCCCGGCGGCGCGCTCGGCCAAGCCTCAGGGGTCAGGGGCAAGAGAAGCCGCCCCCAGCCGGGCGGTTCTTTCGGCCGGGCAGCGGGGCGAGCGGCGGGCCCGGCCCCGGCGCTACTCACTGACAGCGGCGGCATCCGAGTGCATTTTCGAGCAGCGCTGCACACGCTGCCGGCCCGGCCCGGCTCCTGCCCTGCTCCCAATCCAGAGCCTGGGCACGGACACCCCCACCCCGCCCACCGCCCGCGCCCATTGGCCCGGGCTGCCGGGGGACGCGACGAGTGCCGTCCTCTTACTGGCTGAGGCTGCTGCCACTCTCCCCCCGCCTGCCCCCACCACCGCCCCGGCCTCCCATTGGGCAGAAGGCCGAGCTGGCCACGCCCCCCTCCGCTCTGACTGGCCTCTGGCGCTGCCAGTTTTTCCCGGCCTTTAAAGCGCGTGCAAAGAGCACCACTTTGTGTCACCCGCGGCGCTGATTGGCTATGGGAACCAAGGGCCGCGCCCATGCTCGGATGCGATTGGCTGAACTGGGAAGAGGGCGTGGCCTGCCGGCTGCCCCGCCCTGCAGGGGCGGGCGCACTGCGGCAGTGCCCGGCTGCTCCGCGATCCGAGCGCGCTGCGGCCAGAGCACGGTGCGGCTGCCGGGAGCGATGTCCTTATTTCTTCCGTCTCCCCCTTCCAACGGGGAAAAACGGCAGGCTGCCAACGGCAGCCGAGCGCACACAAGTGTCAGGTCAATGTTAGAGCGGCGGCAGGTGGGCAGGGCTGGGGCCAGCAGTGCTCCTTGCGGGACGATGGCAGCGGCTCATGCCCTGCCTGGTGTTCCCGACGCTGGAACGGGAGCGCGCGGAGCCGCCCTCCTTTCCCTGCCCTTGCACGCGTTGGTGGAGGCGCCCTGCCGGTGGTTGCTGCTGGGCGGGCGAGCGCAGCACCCCGGCTCCTTGCCGGGGTCAGTGCCGAGCCTGGCACCGCCGGCAGTGAAACACAGGCGGGCAGACTGCTGGAGCGGCGTCTGTGCTCCGCGGAGATTGTAACGACAGAAATGAGGAATGAAGAAAAGCCCCTCCCGCTAAAAGGTTAAGTTAAATGAAAGTCAAGGACTACGAAACTGAAGTAGTGCCAGATCCAAGGTAATTGTCCCTTTGGAGTAATGCACTAACATCCAGTCCTGAATTAACTGATCACAGGCCTGTTTGTGTTTCTTTGGGGTTTTTTGTAAGCTCTGCCTTACTCAGTGAGTCAGAATGTGCAAGTGAAGATTATTTATTTTCCTTGTTTTCCACTGCCTGTTTTACAGCAAAGAGGGTGGAGTCCTCAAGAAAATGAATCCACTTTTCAAAAGTCATGTAATAAAACCCATGTCAGAGCAATGAAAGCTGACATTATTTGAAATTCTTACTTACTCACTAACTCGTTGAAGTGATTTCTATAGAACTTCCTGCATGTGTGTCAGGATATTTTCCTATTTTCATCATCTTTTCTTGAGCTCAGTTGGTTGGTGTTAATAACACTAAGGTTGGAGTTCAGTGCCCATATGCACCATTTCCTTGAGAACTGGACTCTCTGATCCTTTTGAGTCCCTTCCAATTCAGAATATTCTATGATTCTGTGAAACCACTGAAAAAAAAATATATATATATATAAATTATAAAGCAATGCAAGCTAGGTTTCACTTCTTTGGTAGTTCTATAATATCCCACATGCCAGACATTCACATTAGTATGTGTCATCCCAAGTTCTTATACCCAATAGGGGCACCATTGAGTAGCAGTTCATCTGATCTAATTCTGGTTTAAGAGGAACAATTCCTTTAGGGGTGTCTGCTTGTTCACTTGACCATAAAAAGCATGCAGGCTGCTAGTTCAGAATAAAAACATATTCAAAAAGAAAACTTCTTCCATGCCTGACAAAGCTGTAAATTGATACAGATGTAAAGAAAGGTGGCACAGAAAAACCCTTTTTGGTTGAATCTGAAGACAGAAAGGTTTGTACTTTTCCCCCCATTTATATTAGTCTAAAATGAAAGATACTATTTGGCCTTTAAAGTATTTCCTTAGACTACAGCTTCTGTAACTACTTTCATGTGGAAACCCAGAGCACCGGGAATATTTCTGTGTCTGCTCTGGGGTGCCCTGACCCCCAGGGCAGCACTGACTTTGACCCTCATTCATGGAGAAAGTTTCCTAGACTTCAAGATAGACTGGAATCCACAAAAGTGTGAAACAGATTATAGAGAGTAATGTAGGTGTATAACCTGGGGAGAAATTTAGGTTTTGAGGTTTTAAGTATGTTGTGGATAGAAGCAAGATGGAGGGCACAAGGTGTTGCTTTCATTCTAAATTGTAGAGCAAATAGGTTTGACAAGAAAAACTTCCATATATTTTTGAATGCATACCCTGACCCTTAAAAATGAGATCTGAAAAGAAATCCATAGAGAAACATAAAAGAAACTTTGTTTTCCTAACTTCTGTCTGCTAAACAGGGGATTCAGGCATCAGCCAGAAGAGGCCTGCCCCATGAGAACAAGGCCCATTAAAACATGCACCTTCATTCCAACCTCAAGAGGCTATAATTAATCCCCTTTGTTACCACTGGCTGTAAACGACTACGGAGGTCTCCAAGCCAACAGATGCCACAAAATCAGGCCTGTATTTCCTTTCTAAAGCCTGAGTTTATAAAATGCAGAAATGCTTCATTTTACGTAGAGCAGATCAAGCAGGTCATGGCTGATCAGTCATTGTGCCTTGGGAAGGTTCTGCTAGCAGAAGGATTACAGGAGTGGCTTCTGTATAGAGCAGATCAATCAGGTCATGGCTGATCAGTCATTGTATTGGGTGCCTTGGGAAGGTTCTGCTAGCAGAAGGATTACAGGAGTGGCTTCTGTGAGAAGCTGCTAGGAACTTCCCCTATGTCTGACAGAGCCAAGGCCACACAGCTCTAAGACAGACAAACCAGTTTTGGGGTAATGCCTCTGTGGTAACCTGCTAAAGAAGGGAAAAAAGTTAATGCACATTAATGTGATTAATGTAATCATGGCCAGAAAAGCGGGGAGTGAGAATATGTGAGAGAAACAGCTCTGCAGACGGCAGGGTCAGTAAAGGAGGGGGAGGAGGTGCTCCAGGCGGCAGAGCTGATGTTCCCCTGCAGACTGTGGGGAAGCCCATGGAGCTCCATGGGCTGCAGCAATCCACCTCCACAGCCCATGGAGGACCCCACACTGCAGCAGGGGGATGCCCAAAGAAAAGGTGGGGGAAGCCCAGCTGGAGCAGTGTCCTGACAGGAGATCCGTGCTGGAGCAGCCTGTTCCTGAAGGACTGCACCCCGTGGGAGAGTGGCCCATGCTGGAGCAGTTCATGAGGAGCTGCAATTGATGGGAGGAACTGAGGCTGGAGTGGTTGGTGTAGGACTGTCTTCTGGGAGAGACCCCACCCTGGAGCAGCTGAAGGACCCCTCTCCCTGAGGAGGAAGCAGCAGCAGAAACAACACATGATGAACTGACCATAACCCCCATTCCCCATCTCCCTGTGCCACTGTGTGGAAGGAGCAGAAAACTGGGAATAAAGTTAAGGCCAGAAAGAAGGAAGAGACAAGGGAAAGGTGCTTCTAAGATTTGTTTTACTTCTCATTGTCCTGCTCTGATTTTGATTGGCAATAAATTCAATTAATTTCCCTGAGTCAAGTCTGTTTTGCCCTTGACACTAACTGGTGAGTGATCTCTCCCTGTTTTTATCTCAACCTCCAAATCTTTCACTATATTTTCTCTCCCTGTCCAGCTGCACAGGGGAGTGATAGAGTGGCTTTGGTGGGCATCTGGCATCTAGCCAGGGTGGAACCACCACATGGACTGAGACAGCTTAAGCAGTTCCACCATTAGTGTCTTAATATTACTAACCCTCCTGGTATCCTTTATTTTGTGCCAGTGCAATCATTTGGACAGCTAAATAGCATGGTAGGTCAAAGAGCAAAACTATCCTCAATGCTCCCAAAAACCAAAAAAATCCCGAAACAAAACAAACCTCTCAACACTTCTTTAAGTTTTCTTTCTTTGTTTGTTTTCCCAGCCAGCTGAATATCCAGATGTGGCTTACTACACATATGTGCAGGTGCTCCCATCAATGCACAGGAGAGAAATAGCAAACCATGGAAGTGAAGAGTGGCAGTAAATGCATCTGCCAGTTTGCACACTGTTAGATCAACCTTGGAACTGCAGACTTATTTTCTTTTTTTTTCTGGAAAAGACTACCATTGTTTGCTTTTTTATGTTTGCACTGCTTTTTTAATTGATAGCTAAAATGGCAACTATATTTTCAAAAAACTTAATTGTAGACTGTGAAAAATACTGGATAACAAGAGAAAGAGGGGCCATTTACTTAGTTGTATCTTCTTCACTATCAGAAACTGTGCAGATGTGTCTGAGAAAGAATTTCCAAAAGGAAACACTATTTCCAAAGGATATTAGACTCCAGATTGCTAAAGCCATTGTATCTCTTGAATACTTCAATTCATCTTGCTTTGCTTAGAAACAAGCTTGAAAGTTAATTTTAGGCACCAGAATCATATGGCATGATGTGTTTTACAAGTCAGAGGGGAAAGAGAATTGTATTAAAAGAAAAACATTACAAAGAAGAATTTGCTGAACATTAAGAAAGCAGATAAAGCAGCAACAAAGCACAGTGCAGGGTACTGTAAGAAAATAAACAAAGTGCCTACAAGAAGCCCAGCAATCACAGTCCTAAATTATTTGCAGATACGAAGAGGTAACTGATACTCAAGTCAACACATGCTTGTGTAATGCTTCTGAAAAGACTTTTCACCCTCAGTTACAATGAAAAAAGCTAACACCTGTGAGTTACTCCTGTATTCCTGCTTGGTATCAGCAGACTGTACCAATTAGGGACAAAAGAGGACCTCAAGTGGCAGAAAGCAGCAGCTGCAGATTACACGAACTGCTTCAGAGCACTACTGATAAAACAGTTCAGCACATTTTAATCTCCCCGTCCTATGGACCCATACTGTGTTAGGTGGAAAGGTCTGTTCTCTAACACTTGCTCCACGGGTACATTACTTTGGCCCAAAGGTCCTTCTGTAACATCCTGCAAATAAATATATGTTTATATATATATATATATATATATATACACATACACACACTTTTTATGTATACATAAAAAGTGAGTACACTCAAGTGCATATATATTACATACATGATAAAAATCATGTTTCAGGGCTGTTCATACCTAAATTCTTACATTCCAGTTATAGGGTTTTTTCAGCTTCAGTTTTAAATTTTGCATTCTCTTCATTCATCATGAGGCAACTCTAAGCAGCGAAGCTTGAGAGCAGCTAAGAATTTCTTCCTGAACCCTGGGGATGCATTAAAACCAAAACAGCCCCTCTCTGGGGCCACAAATCTCCCTCACTACCAGCAGAGGACCATGAACATTCTCAGTGTTCTGTTCCAGTGAGACAGGTGGGAACTGGTTACCTGTACACTTAAGCTGCAACAACTTGTTTCAATCACATCAAGTCTGGTTCAAAACCAAAGGGTGTGTCCAGCTTTTGCTCAGCTTGTAGCTGCAACACGGTTTTTAAAAATGGGAAATAACAATTTCAGGTTTCTCTTAGCCCAGGAAGTTTGAACTGCAGCTCCCAGGTTTTGGAGTGCTCTGTAGCAACACCAGAGTCACTTTGCCTGAGCCAAGGCAGGAATATATATGTAAGAGGAGACTGGAGTCTCCACCCTGCTGAAGAATCCAGCACTCTCAGAAGTTGCTCTGATATTTGTCACCTGGAGTTGTTTTTTATTCCAAGATACACACTGACAGGCCCCTGATGCACTGCTGTCTCTTCCTGTACATTCCTACAAACTTCAACAGACCTGCACAGAATTTCAGAGGATGGGATTTGGAGTACAACAGAATACTTATTATTTAGAAGTCAGATATATGTAATCTAGACCTTTTACCACAAGCAGAGTTCAAACCTTTAGTAAATACTGCTTATTTTATACATAATTTTCTTTGCGTGCCATCTCTGAATGCATAAAGATATCCACAAACTTCTTTCATAACATACTTTTTTATGAAAGCTGAGATTAAGAGTATGATTAGAAAACTAAAAGATTAGTCATACACCCCTGCAGCAGGACCTGTTCTAGCACATTTCTGTCATAGTTTGAAACAATGATTGTGACTTAGATATATAATGCAAATTTTTCTAAACCACTTAAATATCAAGGAATGAGATCAGTGTGTAGATGTAAGGACAAATAAAGTTTTGTTTTAGTTTCCCAATTCTAACCACAGGTGTAGAAGTAGTATATAAACAGTTTGTGGTCATGTTTTTTCTCAATCATTCAGATAAAATAATGCAAATGTCAACAAATATTAGCTACTAATTACATACATTAAACTACACAAGCTACTTAGAAGAAGAGAATATTCAAACTTCAGATTTTTTCACTGTCAACATGAACCTTCCTAATAGGGTGAGCATGTCTAAATCCTGTAAAAAATCCATTAAAGTATGCTCAGAGACTTTGAAGATTACATACAGATATGATTTATAATCTGATCTGTTATGCAAGTCATGTTATGCTGTCTGGCTTCTTGAAAAATAGCCTCATCCTATTTTTTAATTTTAAAAAATTAGGAGTTTTCAAGCTTTTCGTACTTACACATATCATTTCTTGCATTTCACATTAATAATCTGCTCCCATTACAAGATATTTGCAGAGTCAGCCTGTGGAGAATGTTAAATAATGTGGCAAGGTAATGTTAAGTGTTCTACAGACTATGAAAAGACAAACCTGTGGCTGGACGTGCAATAGAGTTAGCATGAGAACATGCTGAAAATAAATGAGGATACTCAGAGCACTGTGCAATGTTGGTGCCAGTGCCAGCTACTTTTGCAAGATGGGAGAAAGAAGAGACAAGGGCTATTGGTGTTTGCAGAAGAAAACTGCTAAAAGTGCAAGAAAATAATTTGTATCTCTCCACAACATTTATCCTGTCTTGCTGGGGAGGCACACAAAGAACAAGTTCAGAGGGCTTGTAAAGACACACAAGGCACCCATAGGTGAGAAATTAGTTCAGCAATGGCTGGTTAATTGACAGCTACATCTGAGATGATGAATACACAACCACTGAGACTTTTAAATGCCTTTCAGATATCCTCTGTCCACAAAGACCAGTGATCAGTTTCACTCTCAGAAACACAGCTCTAAATACAAGGGAGCAAAATGATAGGTGATCCAAATAAAGCAAAATGTGTGGTGCTGGCAGCAATTACCTAACTCCACAGAATAAGAAACCCTGAGTAAAAACCCATCCTGTATTTGTTTACATAGAGAAACAATCAAATTGAGTACGCTCAAACTGTTCTTAAACTTATATGGTAAAGAATTAGAGGGAGAAAAAAAAATCCATCCTCTTTCCTGCAACATATGCTATTCCTTTCAGTTGTGGTATGCTTAGATATTACTGGAAAGACACAGTATTAAATACCAACATCACAAATGTGGTTTCCAAACTGAATGTGTGACTTAAATTATCTGACATGCTTCTCACAAGCAGGAAACATCCTTTGGACAACACTGAAGGTGTCCTCATTGTTAAAGAGAAGCTCTGCACGTACAGTGAAGGATCAGAACCTAAATATAAAAGACATTGCCAAGAGACCATGAGAAGACACAACATTTTACATTGTGTCACATGTGCATTGCATAACAGGGAATTCACTGCCAAGGTCAAAAAAGCAACACCTCTATTTAGTCCTACTGAAGTGTAGTGCTAGCAAAGAAACAAAGCTTTTTGTTTTTTGCCTTTATTATGATTCATTTTAAATAAAAGTTGCAACCAAGTTTTGTCCCTTCTCAGAAACCTTGTTGTGTTGAACATGATTGGTTTTAATTCTTTGTCAGTGTGTTCATGCAGGTGTCTCATAACCATCATTACTCAGAGGTACTCTACTCTTCCCTTTGTAAAAGCATTGAAGTGTCCAATGTCCAGCTAATAAAATGAAGTCTGTAAAAGCCACCTCTTTTTCTCCAGTATTATGAATATCAATTATCTGCAAAGTGTTGTAAAACTCATTTAAGAATAAAATGTAGAATAGCAGCAGATGTAAATACTCTTTGAGTTGAAAAGGTGCACACTTCAAAGACATACTTACTGCATATTTCCCAATTAAAAAATGCACTAGTTTCATTCCTATTTTTAAAAAACCTAGGTCAATCTTTTTATTGCAGTAGCAGCAATAGCACTCTGAAACATCATGATATACAGTACCTCTACAAAAGCTGAAGAAGTTGTTGCCAAAGCAAGTTGCCACCCTTGCTTTGTTGCATACAAAGCAGGTATCTGGCCAGCGTGGATACCAGTTTACCAAAATGCATGCACCTTCCTTCCCTCACAGCCTTGGCAGCTCATTCAAGAAGAAAGGCACCAACTCTTACATAGACATTCACAGTGTTGTGCAGCATGGCAGTTGCTCATCCTTAAACAAAGTAGTCTTTTTGGCTGTCAATTCAGTTTCGAGCGATATACCTTTCTTGGTGGTCTCAATAATAATTTTATTTTCTTGCTCTAATTTGTCTGTTTAAAATATTTAGGAGGAGTAGTCTTTTTGGCTGTCAGTTTCGAGCGATATACCTTTCTTGGTGGTCTCAATAATAATTTTATTTTCTTGCTCTAATTTGTCCGTTTAAAATATTTAGGAGTGCTCATATGAAAGTGATGAATAGGCACATAATTATGTCCATCTTTATAAGATCCAAACCTAAAAAAAAAATATTCAACAGAGCAATACTATTACAACATTATTTAACCCGTACAATTAAATCATACATTTACTACCCTACTTCTGAATGTTCTAGACAATTTATTTCTGAAACAGGCCCCAACTCTATTAAATGTAAATCAGGTTCTATGAACCCTCTCCTGCTAAAGGTCTTTGAGTATACTGGAGACAATTAATTACATTGATTCTGCTCATGCTACAGGCAGTCTATAATTGGAACTCCAGATGAAAAAGCTGAGTGTTGCATTTATCTACTTAAATTCTAAGCTATGTTTTTAGTCCTAATTTCATTAGAGATACAATTTAAACACCCACAGTATCAAAACAGTCAAACCTGTTATTAATACTGTACATCTTGCTTTTGCAAATTATGATGAAAATTGTAATTTTTCATGCCAAATTTAACTATGAAAGTTTTGACAACTGACTATTATGGTAGACAGACTTGCAAAAGTAAAATGGAGTACTTATTTAAAATATCAGTGCTAAGTAATATTTAAGAGCACTGCCACTGTATTTCTAAAGAAGTACAGTTAATCAGAAAAAGTTGAATACATTCCAATAGGGTAAACAATTTCTGATTATAGGCAGACAAAAGAAATTAGGACAAGATTCTGTACTGAAGTCAACTGAGAAAAATCTGAAGGTGAATGCTAGCTGTAGGCAAGTTTCATCATGTGGAAAAGTCTGGGCAAAGCCCTGCTTAGACAGGAAGCCAGTGGCTGAGTGGTACATAAAAAGTGAGTACACTCCACTGTCAGGTCTATATAAGAAAGTAATATATTCTGCATTATGCATGTTAGGAGTAGTAAACATGGCACATTACTGGGAATTATTCTCTCTGTGGCAACATCTGTCACAAGCTTCATAGCTCTTTCACTATTAATGCTTAATACTAGAATAAGTATCTCCCTCTGTATATCTCTTCCTTATGCAATACCAGTGGAAAAATTATGGCAATTTAGAAATACGTTACTCTTTTACATTAAACCTAGTCCTGGCTTTTTCCTTCTTGACACATGCAATATACTGCCTCAGACATTCTCTTTAATTTTTGCTCCAATTATATGGTATGTTTTAAAATGCTTATGCAAAAAGTATTTAATATATATATATATATATAGTATTTGATATTTTAAGTAACAGTATATTAAGAACCTAATCTCCAAAGTGCTGAGAAACATGGGAGACCTTTCATCGTCTATCAAATGAGTCACCACACCACTTGGCAAATATCCCTATCAAACAACCTCAGAAATTGTCTGGGTGAAATGAGCATTGCAATTTATGCTGTGACACAACAGACTGATTTTCCCAGGGTACATGCCAAATCAATCGAAAAAATTGAATTACAAATCAGAAGTTCTTGACTTCTACCCTTCTGCTCAGTTGGGTACTGATCAGCGCCTCTCACTTTAGAAATAATTTTGTTCCTAGACTTCTCTTTTACAAGATGCCAGGTACATCATCCTCTTCATTTCCTATGAGACACACTGACCTGGGATTGAAATGGATGTCCTCAGGAACTTGGCTGGGATCAGTGACAATTCTGTCATTGTCAACATAGCTATCCACGTCATCTGGGATCCTAAATTTGGCCATCTGGACTTCTGAATCACTTAAACCAGCATGAGATATGCGGGCATAACCCAGCCTATCAAATATGAGAAGAGTTAGTTTGAAGAAGTAACTCACCACAATTTCACCACATTCTTAATGAACGTATCTTTTTTTCCCCCAAGAGTTATGCTTTAACTTATCAACACAATTTTCTATTTTTGTGACTCTCACCCTCCAAAAACTGAAAGTGCTCCATAAACAGGATCATAATACAGTGTCACAAGCATAAAAACTTTAAAACTGTGTTTGAGAGTATGTCTAAAAACCTTTTTTAAAATGACAGCTTTAGAATATGAGTGGAGGTATAAGCTCACCAAATTTTCACTGAAAAGATTTCAATAATCAAGAAAGAAACTCAAGCATCAATTGAATGCATAATGTGAAAAATTCAAATTGCAAATAGAGTTTCAGCTGAGTTTTTTTACTTCCCTTTTTTCTTTTTTACTCAATACTGTTAAGACATCTATCAAGTTTATGACTTGTGAACACTGCAAAATTTGCATAGTTTCTTCAAAAGAATATGAAGTCCATTCTGGTACAAACATCACCAAGAGAACGATTTATAAGCAATTTGGTATTAAAAGATATGGAGTGCACAGGTCCTGTGCCTCAATATGGGTTTACACAGTTCAAGTTTCTACTAAATCCAGCATAAAGATTGGCTGGATTAGATCAGCATTTTGCTTCAACAAACCCTGAAACATAGTTCAAAATTTGTATCTTCTGTGTCACACACAAATTAGGTCTTAGCCTTCACTTGCAAAGCCAGAGCTTTGGAAAAACGTAGCTTAATGCTACCAAAGAAGAGTAGATATGAAGGATTTTGACACAGAATGATGAAACCTGTAATAGTGTCTTTGTGAATTATATTCAGAGATACACCAGTTCTTGTGACCCTAAGATCAATGTTTCACATAATTTTGTGATAGATCCAGCTGCCCATAATAATTGTTTAGGGATATAAGACTCTTCCACAATCACTTACAAAAGATTATAAAACTGATAACCATAAAGATATTTAAGCCTACAAATAAGTTACTCACTTTAACATACCTTATTACTCCACGATACATAATATAGCTACACCATCTGTCCCGGTCTGTACTGTCAATATCCTAGAGGGATATTGAAAGGGAAAAAAATGTCAAACAAATATGGTAAGTGTTCATCTGGCTAGGCTTTTAATCAGCAACATGACTAATGTGTAAACTCACTGCAGAAAAATATTTTGCCTAAAACATTGTAATGAGGTAGAAAGAAAAAAGCTCGCTGTTAGACATGGACAAATCAGACAACTTTTTGATATCTCTTAATGCAGAGCTCATTTTTAAAAGAATCACAGAATTAGAGGCTGTCTGGAGGTCACCTACTCCTAACCTTGGTCAAAGTCACTTCAGGCAGGTTGCTCAGGGCTTTATGCAGCTAACTTTTGAATATTACCAAGGATGAAAGTTTCACAACTTCACCAGGCCCTTGTTCTAATCCTTTACAACCCTTTTTATTTCTTCTAACTGACATTGCCCTTGGGGCAGCTGCTGTCCATTGCCTCTTGTTCTTTCACTGTGTAACTCCACCTTCTCTGCAAGATAGCATGAGGTAGCTAAAGATTATATTTGAAAATGGGCATGTGTTTTCTTCTTTGTCTATATTTAAGTTACCAATTAGAAATATTAAGCTGAGTGTTTCCAATGTTTATATGTTCTCTAAAGATGCAGTATTTTTATATTACCTGCACATTTCCATTTTTTATTAATTCTGTATAGTCTCTGGATCCAGGAGCTGAAGTTATGTATCCTAGAAACACAACTTGCTTAGAGCTAGTCTTCAACAGGTTTGAAACAGCTATTGCTTGGAGTTTTCTGTCCAAGTCCTCTCTGAAAAAATGAAAAAGACTTTAAGATATATACATTTGAACTCACAATCTTTGTGCTATGACATACTAAACCACAAATCAATCTGGTACCATTTTTGTTGCTGAATATTAGAGAGTATGAAAGTTCACAGAAAGCTCATTGATTCAAAATTATCACTACATTTGATAAAAGCCACATGGTCATGGTAGATGTAATTCACATTCTCTTTCTATCCATTACAGGAATGACATTTTCTATTGCTGTTTTGTTTTTAATACTGATACCATCACTAGGAAATGTGAATGTTAGTGTTTTGCTAATCTAAGGCTTTGTCTGTGCTTGCACTTAAAATTTAACTGTTCTAGCATGATGTGGTGCATAACAAAGAACTTACACACTAAATAAATTTTATTATGGATAGATCATGGTAAATAAAGTCTTAAAGTCTGGGTCCCATAATTTATGAAATGTAACTAAAGTTACATCATCCCATTAGCATTACTTAATCACATTTGGCATGTATTTCACATCTCTTTAACAAGATTTACACAAGAGTTCCAACATGACCAAAAGTGATAGCATAAGTGAAGCCTAGTAAAATACTTCATTGGATCCCATTCCCTGTCCTTGCATTTGTCATAAAATAATGAAAAAGCTGTTATCTTTCTATAATTCTTCATGTTAATGACTTTAAAACAGGTGTGTAAATCATGTTGTCTTCTAGATTTTGACAGTCTGGGCTAACAGTGAAAACACTGACAGAGAGAGCTGATTTTGGAACCTGTAAACCCTGAAGAAGACAACAATTTAAATGCAGCTATGCTTTCTAAATAGTGGTACTTCTGACTGAAGCAACTGTATTAGGGAGAAAGAGCACACAGACAGGAGACAAATAATCCCCAAACACTTAATTAGAAGTCTGACCTAGGTATATGTGAAGTTGCATGCTCAGCTAGCTGCTCTTTCCAGAATGCACCTCTCCAGATGATGGGAACTTTTAAAAGCACAAGCATAATTATAGTCCCACACTTTAAAAATCCTATTTAAAAACAACCCTAGTTATCCAGTATTCTATAGTCTATGTCAATGTAAGCAGCAGAAGAAAAAATATTAAAAATGAGCAGTTATGTGCAATATTTAGTTAAAAATTCATTCCCCTCTAAAACACAATCTAATTTGCACTCATTTCCCATGTGTCTCCTGGTATTTTGTCTTTCATCTTTATCTCATTTCTTTGCAAGGGTATAATACAGTGTTATTTTCTTCTACATTGCCAAACAGTTTCTCAGACAGGCAAGTCTAATCATCTGTGTGAGGCAAAGAATTAAATTGTGTTCTGGAGTTAAAAATAGGGAGTGATTTCTGACAATTATATTTGTTTAATAAATGGGAAATCTATAAACAATTTGCAGGTTTGGTGCAGTTTCTACTCAGGGGAAGGAAATGGGATACAGAAAATTCCTTTGGCTTTCTGAGTAGCTTCTTTGTGTTACAATATTCTGCACCCTATCCATAAGCTTGCTGCTCCATGAACTGTAACAATTTTTTTTTTAATTCCAGACCTTACTACATAGCTACAAACATACTAGATATCCCATCAAATATAACAGAAATAACAGCTACATGGAGCATTCACAAAACTATCACTTATTAATATCCATTACACACAGGTAAAACATTGTGTAAAACAGTTTTCAAGAACTGAAATATATACCTTATTCTTTTCCATCACTTATTTGATTTATTGGTATAATATTGCTGTTCTGAATTCAGAGATCAGATTTCCTATTTCCACTTGCTTACTCTCAGAAGGACACTGATGGATATTTTTGCTGCTGTTTCAACCCTGTCCTTTCTTGGAAGTTTCAGATTTGTTATTTAAAAAAAAAAAATCCATTAATGCTGTCTATCTCTAACTGTACATATCTGCATTCATTGTGGAATGTAATACATCTACTCCACATGCAAAAAGCCAGAAGGATGCTGTCCTGGGCTGAGGTGCATCTGCAGCCCTACGATTTGTCGTGACTTTGCAGAACTGTATCTTTAAATCTCTAGTAATTCAGATGGTAGGGTCAGCTGAGTTTTGCATGACACATTCAAAAATGCTTCAAAATTTTAAACCAGTAGTTTAACCAATTTTTAACTGTCATAGTATTTCTTCAAATGTGCGTTGCTAGAATCAGTATTACAGCAGCAGATTTTAAAAAGTACGAAATAAATCCTGGAAGTTCGCAAATTACATTACATGACTTTGTACACTCTACGTAAAAATAAGTGAAATACACACTCTTCATTTCCGAAGTGAGCAACAACAAAATCAATCAGCTTCCCTGTGAAGTTGACAGTCAGGGAGATGGCAGGTGCAATCTCTCCCTCTGGAGATGGAAGGAGGTGATGAGTTGATTTTACAATTGGATATCTGGATAGTGCCATAATCCTACGTGAGGAGAGGCAAAAAGTTACATTTTGTGATTCACAAGCATCAAAGGTGTGAACTAAGCAGATAAATGTGAGCAGAAGACTAACAGTCACTGAAATAGGAAACTATAATAGCAGAATGCAAACCCTATCTAGTGGATTTTTCTTAATATACAAAGTTTCCCTCAAAATACTGCTTAAATGCATGTCTAAAAATATATTATCAAGTTAATTCCTACACTAAGAAATAACATTCCATAAATATGAAGTCTTTCACTGAGGTTTTCATGATCTGTATTTCAGACAAAACAGAATTTTGTACTACCAGAAATTAAAAGGTATTTTATTAAAAGTAGAAGTAGGTAGAAATACATCTTTAAAATTAGAGATTTCTCTTTTTTCAGGTACTGCATTTTGTATCACGTTTTCAATGTATTTCATTTTAAAAATCTCAGAGTATGACTTTTCTCTCCCATTCTGCCTCAAATAGACAGGGTCTGGATGAAGAAAGTTACTAAATGCCCCTCATATATGACAAAAATTAAACAGCCATAGCAACATTAGCAGGAAGTTCCATCTGCCACAGAGATGTGTATATACCCCTGAAAATAAAAAGCTACATTATATGCCAGTATTTTTCTAGAGGACAAAGATATTTAAAGATATGCAACGGGTAGGTGGTCAAGCATTAAGGTAAACTTAGACACACAATATCTGGTCAAACAGACATGCACCTTTCTAGTCCCATTTCCTGTTATACAGCCCAAGCTAGATATGAAGTCAAAATTTCTCATACCTCCTGGTGTGCTACATTTTCCAACTGCTATCAAATTTTTAAGTCTGAAATATAGAATTCTCATAGCCCATAACAAAATAATGTGAGAAGGGCATCAGATGCAGTACTTGGAATGCTAAACTTCCAAATCTGTAAATTAAAGGGCAGGATGCCATTCTCTACATCACCAAGATCAAAGCAGCTTATGGGGTCAGGCACCAAAATCTGATCATGTTTAGCAATGAGAAAATTCCATCCACATTGCATGGTAATGTTAGTGAATCAAAGCCTGTTGCTAATGGACAAACTTCAACAAGAGATTATAGTAATAACTATTCCAACTATTCTTTGCTTCTGTATTAGTGCAGTTTGTATTAGGCAATATATTTACATCTATTTACTGCCACTGTGCATGTAAAGGTGACTCACCCCCAAGTGTGATCTCTTGTGCTTGGACCAAAATCTGTATAAAATCCCAGTCTTTCTCCAAGCCACATGGTTGGATCATGGTTTCCAATGAATGGTTTAGAGGCATCACTCTCTATAATAGTGATAAAATCTGCTTCTACCATGGAAGGAAAAAAAAATAATATATATATATTTTCACATTTATAACTGTTATAACCTATAAATGGGACTTATAAATAACTACATAATGTCAATGATTTGATTACAGAGGGATGGACACAAGCCCTTCAGGGGTCAGTCACGGCAAATCAATGCTGGCAACAAAGTCATGCCCAAACTTTTGGCTACTGCAGGCCACACAAACTCTGATGAAGATGCACTTAGTGTCTGCTAGCCATGGCTCATCCCTGGTGCATAACCAGAGACACATGAGACTGCAGAATACAGCTGGCCTGAGCAGACCTCATGCCATTTCTAAAGCATTAGAGATACTGTGCATGCACTAATTAACAGCACAGTAGCAAGTCTACTGCTTTCAATTTGATGAACAAACACTACATAGCAGATCTGCACTTCCCTTCATCTACCCAACAGTATTGTGCTTCAAAGGGTCCTGTGCATGACACAGCTGGATGCTGTTGCCAAAATAATTATTCAGCCCAGAGCACCATTGCATCAGCCCCAAGGCAGGGTAACAGAAGGGTTTACAGCTCCAGTGAATTGCTGACCACCTGCAGCCACCTCACTTCCTCAAAGCTCTGTGGTCCCTCCCTGTTCATATGCAGAGGCAACACTGTTGAGTCAGGGATGGAAAGAAACACTCCAGTCTTCAGGTGGATCAAAAGGCTAACTTTAAAGAAAGTAGCAGGTCTTTCATAATGTGACTCACTAAGGTGATACTTGATTGGTTTCAAAGTAGAAACATCTCACACTATTGGTGCGCTATGAATAGCAACTGTGGAAAACTGTAACTATAAACAATGGTTACAGAAAGAGAGATAATTGTTTTACTTCTTTCCTCTAAAATTCCCAGGCTTAGCCTGGGAGAAATTGTCTCTGTTTTTTCTTTGACTGAACTGAGAATCTCCACACAGCGGTGTGGTTTTGCCAGGGGAACATGATAGGGTCCCCTATATTTTAACTGCAGGATACAGAGACAACTATGCAGTTCCTTGAGGAGCTGGCATCTGAGAAACACCTGCCCATGCCTGAAGGAAGCTGCCCACAGGAGGGATGAACCATTCAGAGTCAGCTTGAGCAGCAGGTCAGTACAGCTGCAGCAGTAACAAGTGCTCCAAGTGCTCCCTTCTTGCTGCAATTTTGCCCCTCTTAGAGTGCTCCCTACACAGGAAGGCAAATCAAGTCACCATTTCATCCACGACCCTTCCATAAGGAATTATGACCATCCAGCACCACAGAAGATTTTTTGCTTTTGAAATATCATATGCAGCAGTGTAAAGCATTGTCAGGAGGGAAAATGGGAGCTCAGAGTTCTTAAGGGGACTCCCAGGTTTTTCCTTCTACATCACTAGCATACATGCTGATCACAGAAATTGAAACCATTAACAAGGGTTGATGTTGGATCCCTCCAGGGCACACAGAAATTCCAGTCACAAATGCCATTATGTGTGGCATCTTCACTATTCCAACAGAGAGGTGAGCTCAAGGAATGCACACACCACACCTTCAAAGGCAACTCCTACCCTAAAGCAGATAGCCACTCTTTTCTCTATGGCCCTCAAAATCAGAAACTCTTCCTACAGGAATTTCTAGACAAACTCTGAATGCATTTACTCACAATGTTAATGTAGTATTTTATATAACAATATGCATGTAACATAAAACTCCAGAATACCATTCCCACCTATTATAAATTATTATTTATTAATTTATTTTTTGGAATTTTCTACCTTTTTCACTCACCGATTGTCTTTTTTAGAAGTGATATTTTATTAACCTAAAGAAATGCCAATGGACATAAAAAGGTAATCACTTTTTCTAATATTCATTAACTTCAACTATAGGTACCAGGAATTAATGCATTCATCAAAATTCTTAAATAAATATGCCAAGATTAAATAACCATCCAGACGTGAACTATGGAATCAGTTATGTAGAAGAATGCTCCAAATTTCAATTATTAAATGTCCTGGATGTTTTCTCATATCACCAGATAGGCAATATAGCCCAGCTCTCTGAACTTTTGGTCATGGGACAAAAGAGTGAACAGGGTCAAAATCAGTTCCTTCACTCTTCACTAACTCCTGTGTATCTCTGCCATAAAATCAAGACTTGCACAGGAGCACCTTTTCATTGCTTGGGTCTGTGAAGCCTGAGCTGCTCAGGAAAATGCTGTGGTGGACCAGAGAACAACAAATGCTGGAATGGCAGCACAGACATTTCCTAATTCCCTGAACTGCTTTAGATGCTAAACTGTCTGTCCCCTGTCTACCCTGTCTCATGGGTATTGCAGGAAAAGAGTAACACCTACAAGCACTACTGCCAATTCCTTTCAATGCCCTCTGCAGCAGCACTCATCTTGAGTCCAAATGTTTCATTTCCTATAGCTAATTTTCCAACCAAAATCCTGCCCATGAGCAACAGTTTAGACACTCTTCTTCACAGTAAAATCATGACAACCAAGCTACAATTGTATGCAAGCTATTTCCTTGTATACATTGCTGGTTCAGTGATGGAAACACACTTTTCTGTTTCTTCTCTGTATTCATTGTTAAGGGCACTTGAATTTCACACCCTTTAAGAATTATATAATGTTTCACATTTTAAAAAACCCACATAAGACTTATAAAATACTGTATTTTATCTAAAAGTATATTTACCTTTGTAAATACCACTGCATTTTATCTAAACTTTCCTTGTATACATTGTGCTGGTTCAGTGATGGAAACACACTTTTCTGTTTCTTCTCTGTATTCATTGTTAAGGGCACTTGAATTTCACACCCTTTAAGAATTATATAATGTTTCACATTTTAAAAAACCCACATAAGACTTATAAAATACTGTATTTTATCTAAAAGTATATTTACTTTGTAAATACCACTGCATTTTATCTAAAAGGATATTATTTCAATTATGCAAAGAATTTCTCTATAGACAATCACATAGGACTTATAAAACATTGTATTTTATCTAAAAGTATATTTACCTTTGTAAATACCACTGCATTTTATCTAAAGGATATTATTTCAATTATGCAAAGAATTTCTCTATAGACAAGTAACTCATCAGCAATATGAGAAGAAAAATCCAAATAAGAAATGTTTATAATATTTGTAATTTTCCCTCTGACCAGAAACTTCTTTAAAACATATTAAACAAATTACCACCTCTGCAAATGGATTTTTGACTGAAGTGATTGTATTGGAACAGTTCACAGATTGAGGAGAAAACCACTAAACACAGGTTCTTTTGTTAATGCCTCAGTTACCAAGGGGTTTACACATGTCTCTTCAGATGAATTCTCTCAAATATAAATGAAGTAGGGGAAAAAAGTTACCTGTCTGATTAAGCAAATTAGCTGATCCTTCCAAATTAGACCATCCTTCATTGTCAAATCCAAATCTAAAAGGCCAGATCATAGCAGAGAAATCTTTTTTTGGAACCTCAAAAAAATAAAAGGAAAAACATATAATAAAATTTGAATTTTTACATATTATAGCTTTGCAGTAAACAACACCAGACACATGGTGCCATAAAAGACATAAAAGAAGAGATGTTTTAACCAATACATTTTCCTAATAAAGATGTCAGAATTATGAAAGATTAAATCTGCTGTTAACAAGGGAATAAAAGTCATCATAGTTCAAATGAATTTGTACAAGTAACAGTAAAAAAATGAAGATGAAAGAGACAATGCATTTTTTCATCTTACTAAGAGGAACTAACCACATCTTGCCACACAATAAGACAAAACCTGAGTTAATTGAAAAAAAAGGCCCACCATATTAATCTGTGTGCATTTGTGAATCTAACACTGAACTCCACGACTGTTAACCATCTTGCTATTTATTACCTTTGCAATACCTATTTTCTTGCAAGATAGAAAATTGGAATCTTCACATTTTTATCCAATTTCTACACCTAGTCTAAGTCTAACCTATGTCCACTAACTTTTCAGATAGCTTCAATTCAGAGTTTTGATATAGTATAGAACCATAGAATTCCTTCACCTGGAAGAAACCTCAGGAAGTTATCTGTTCAAACTCCCCCTTCATGAGATCAGGAAGCTCACAGCATTGTACAGTTTGAATACCATTCAAATAAATTAATTTATAAAAGTAACGTTCAAATTGAACATATGAGATGTGAATCTCTGAAATTTTCAAAATATTTTTTTAGTTCATAGCACCATTATAAATCTCCAAAGACCTGGACATTTCCATTGACATGAATTTAAAAATTAAATTTTTGCATCTTCAATTATGCATTAGCTTTCCTGAAAAATTGGTTGCAAAGATTTCTTCAGCCACAATTAACACACCTAAGCTGTTACACACACATTTTACTGTATATTTGAAAGTTACCATTCTCACAAACACCCTACTCACCCCTAGGCCCAACTTCTTCTGGTAAGTTCTATAACGTAAACCCAATCCAAGCAAACCAACACCAACAAGCAGCCACAACACTTGAAATAGAAAAACACAGAAAAATGTTTTTAATTAGAGAAAAAATAATGCTATTAGTGCTGTTAAACAGGACACTTATTCAAAGGTGTGCTATTCTCAGAACAAGAAATGTGTTCATATAAGTGAAAACAGCAGATCAAAGCAGTATGCATGCAGAATGTGTGTATGTATGCAAATACACTCTCCAAAACACATGCTGAGCAGATAGAAAGTACCAAAACTCCTTGGAATAGTGATGTAAAAATTACACCTACTGAAGAATTCATTATAGTACATGGGTAAAAGGATCATGTAAACCCTTCAGTGTTTTCCTCTCCGTGTGCAAGTATGCCTCTGTAGTACACAATTTTTATCTTGTATTAATATAATGTGTGGAATAAAATTTAGTTTACTTTGCAAGCAAGTCAGAAAGATGTGGTGCCTGCCAGACTTACAGAAGGGTCATTTGTTTGACATATTCTTGGAAAGACAGTGCAGCTTCATAGAAAGCATATTCAGAGCTTTCTAATTGCTCCTGTAGCATTACAAATAACCACTGTGCACTTAAGAGCTCTCACCATTCAGCACAATATAATTTGATGATCAAAGTCCTCTGCAGTTATTTCATTGACACAGTGGCGTATGCTATCTACAATGATTTCAGTAACTCCAGTTTATTCTTTCATATATTTAAAAACATATGAAATAATTTTACTGCAAGTTTTCTGGAATGGTTTTCTGCAAAATTTAAATACATTTTATAACGGAAGATGTCAGAAAGAAGGACATGCTACTTATAGTAGCACATGTCAAGCAATTTCCTACTCTGCAAGACACAAAGGTGCTTAGAGTGGAAGATGAGAAACAGTACAAGTGTGGGTATGATGAGGAAGTACAAGAGGTACTGTTGCAATATTACAAGGCTAGCTGGGCAAGGGCTGTGCTTTGTGACAGGTAGTATTTTGAAATATTAATTTACTTTTGTGAAATGTTTCTTAGCAGTAATATTCAAACCACTTGAAATGGTGCTCATGTTGTCTCTGACGCATAAACTCTTACAGGCCACATTCTTTTGGCTCCTGAGTATACAGGGTAAAGACCTCTATAAAGATTCCAGAAACAGCTCTGAAAAACTGCGAAGCACTATTGTCTTCTTTTTCCAAATGCAGCAAAATGTACACAAATGATAAGTGATTTGATCCAAAGTCACAGAAGAAAAGATGCAGGAATTGCAATCTTCAGCATCCTGATCTCTGTAGGGTTACCATGCCCTGATGCCTAGCACATCTGAGCAAACACTTCACAGTATTATTTTTTTCCTCAAACAGTATTCCTAGAACCATGGAGAAAAGGAACTAAAAGGAACTAAAATTATACTTACATAGTTTAATATAATTTTTACTCCTTTTGAAGAATGGTTTTTGATTGCTTTTCACTTCAAAGACAGAGCTAAGGTCTTTCTTGGGTCCTGTTAGAAAGTCTACCCCAATACATAACATTATAAAACCTGTAAAAATATAAGTGATTAGTTTTTTCATAGACCTTTAACATATTAAACATTGCTCATAAACACATTTTATAAACTCCCAGCTGTTGTGTTACAACATAAAAACCTCATGGTTCCAACAACAAAGAAGATTCAAAGCAAAATGCAGTTAAATGTCATACCTAATGAGGCAATGCAGGAACTATGAGATTTATTGGCAGCACTCACAAGTAAAGACTGATCTGCAGTACAGTTACAGGGTATTATGTCAAAAAGGCAGACAAATGGCAGATAAATTATGCTAAAATCCTTCCAGGCCCTATTGATGGCTACAACGCTCAGCTGAGCCCATTGTTTTCAAAGTTTGCTGAAATTAACCTGGAAAAGAACAACTGAGCTACACCTACATATTATAGAACCTTAAAATAACAGCTTGATGAAAAAGTATACTGATGATTGCACATATCTATTATCTTTGACAATGAACTGCTCTGTCACCAAAATAAAAGTAACACATTTTTCATATAGGAACTACAAAAGCAATTGCTCAACACTTTGTTATAAAACAGGGCAAGCAGGTTGGAAGGTCAATTTAACATGGCAGCAACTTGTATTCTGGAGCTCAGAGCCAACAGAAATCTGCTTTGTGAGAGCAGAAAACTAAACACACCTACAGATACATTTTAAAAGCAACTTCAGTGCACAAACTGTTGCAATGTATGGAAACAGGAGCTTTTCAGTAAGTGGTTCAGACTAATAGTACAAGGTCTCTTCCAATCCCTAATGAGATAAAGAATCCAATTATTTTCAAAAAAAGCATGGGAGGATAATGAACTGGATAAGAGCTCTGCTGGAGAAGATATATGCCCTTAATATCTTTGTGGCATAGTTAATTAATTATAGAAGCCATATTTTACTTCAGGGTAATAGCTAACTATTACTCAGTATTTTTTAATTTCCCTTACTTGTTACATTAGCTGTAGTGAAAGTTTGCAAAGCAGGACACTGGGTCTAGAACAATGAAGGGGAACATACAAAACCTTTCTCAAAGTGTGACTGATTCACAGCCATTAAAGTTGATGGAGATCAGGAATCTGACCCCTCAGCATTATATCACATCACAGTGAAGTAGCACAGAAGTTTTGAATTTAATGATCTTACTTTCATTGTCACTTTTCGTGGTGCAGTTCCCTACCCAAACTGCAGCAAGAGAAAGGCAGGATATTGGACAGGAGAAGAAAGCAAGAAATAGCACTTGCACCTGGAAGAAACCAGAAGAAAACGAGCAGTTTGCCAGAAAGCCAAGCTGTAAAAGCACAGCAACAAATAAACAGTCTCATTGTATAATCTTTCTTAAGGTATGAGATGGCATAAAAAATATAGAAATTGCATTCCCAGATGGAAGTTAAACTCATGAAGTGCCATCAGCTGAGATGTGTTCCATTTATAGTTTTCTTTGCCAAAGAGAAAATTAGGGCAATCTCTCTGTTACTACCAAGTGGTCACACCAAGTAAATTAATCAAAGTGTGCATTTCAAAGGAAGTAATGGAGAGGAATTTTGAATAAAATATTTATTTTGTGAAAGCATTACTCAGGAAAGCATTTGACACTTCTCTACCACATGTTTTCTTCATATAATTTTAAAAAATTAAATTTAATTACCTAAGATAACTGTTTCTAAAGACTCCTCAGAGTGCTTTCAGAACAAAGAAAGTAATGCAATAATGGAATTAAATTCTTGTAAAACATAATGAACTCAAATCCCTCATGTGAATGCTGTAATATAAGAAACACACATGAAGAGTAAGAAATTGGGGTGGCACAAAGTAGTTGCAAAGACATTTATGAAATCTAAAACCTTTGCAGCAACAAGTTAAGCACAGTCTTCATTAATCCTATCCAAATAAAATATACTAATGCGTCACATTTTAAAAAATGTCCCACATAATGAGCCCAAGACAATGTTTGGCATTGTTCAAATGCAGTTAGTGAAATATGCCATTTAAACATGTTAGTACCTATTGCAAAAATATTTCTGGAGACAAAACCAGGAAGGGTTGGTTTCCTTTCCACCTCTCCACCCTCATCAAGTCATCATTTTGCTAAAGCCTTTATATGTGCTCAACTCAGTTTTTCCTGATTTGCAAATACCTGACAATTCCTTTTCTGCCTGTCCTGTTCACGTGTTTCTCATGCTACAGGCTCATCTGAAATCCCTCAAACATGCTGGTGTGTCCACAAAACACAAGGTAGAGCCACAAGGGAAAGAAGGTCAGGTCTCCAATGTAGACTAGCTAGATCAGCAGGATGCTGCACTTTGCTCTGCAGAGCAAGGTTAAATAATGCACTGAATTACATTACAGTCCCAGCAGCTGTTACCTGAGGCACTGCTACCTTAGGTAGCCAGCATATTTGTGCATTCACACCCTGGATTGCAGCCATATTTTTAGGGTGACTGGATAACAGATCTCTTCCTCCACTGCGTACTTTAGTTATCACACATTTTTCCACTTCATCATTTCTCCTTAACTGAATTCCATTTCCTGTCCACATTTTAGACTATTTCTAACAGTAAAGAAACAAGCAGAATATTTTTTGCATGTCTCATTAATTTTTGCACTGAAACTCTTACCACAGTAAGTAATTAAATAGTAACCAAGCACTTGAAAAGACTCTTTATACACTAGATACATTTCACATCTGTCTGAAGCTAAAGCAAGCATATTTGTATTTGTTCATTATCACAAATGTACCTAGAAGAAGATGGGAGCTTTCTCTAATGTAAACTCCTCCAGGTACAAATTTATAAGCTGTACACCATACACAGAAGAATAACTCAAGAACGTAGGCAAGCATGGCTGTGCTCATGGCTTTCCCAGGATGCAGACAGCTAACAAAGCGTGCAGCTAGTGGAGGCCACACACACATAGTAAAGATACCAAGAATGTTGCCTGCAACAGCAGCACTCCAGGTATGCAAATAAAGGAGACCAGCTGCAGATGCCAAACCTGTGAAGGGATAGAAAAGAAAAGAAAAGTCTCAGTCAGGTGTCTTACCCACCACACTCATTTTCATGTTTTGGCTAGTGAAAAAATAGTCTGGGAAATATAATTGTGCTTTCCAGCCTTAAAAGCTGCATCTCTACAAGGACAGGTACTACCAGTAGCCAAAGACAATATTTTATTTTTCCCAATATCTCATTTTTTTTAAACATTGCCTATTCAGTTGAAAACAGTACAGCAAAAAAGAGGGCAGAGAAACATCACCAAGAGCCAAAACCAGTTTTTTCTTACAGAGTTCTTTAGCACAACAGAGGAGTGATGCAGCTCTTAAGAGAGTAACAGGTCTGTCAGTTATGAATCTCTTTAATCGTAATACAGAAAGAATCAAATAGATTTATATGAAGGGAAAACATAATTTTCTGATCTTTCCCTGTAGATAACCATAGGATGGGCAAGACAGCAACTATTAATTTTTTATTAACTGCAAGATCCTTGAGTTACCATGCTATTTTTGATTTGGAGATTTGACTCTAAACAGAACATTAACAACCACAGAGCCTCTCTATAACAGGACAACTTCATTTTAAAACATTATTGTAGATATGAATATTTACTGTCACACCATGACAGCAAATATATAGAAACACTTTTAATATTTAACTTTAATACATCAAGGTTCTGAGCATTTTAGAATACAATGCTTGAATCAACTAAAGAACCTTTCTGTGCCTGTTTTAAATAAGCAAGGTATGTGCATCACAAATCAAATGTTCATGCTTACGTTACAATCTGCACGCACATTTCTTAACACTAAAACCTGCCTGTTCATACTATTTTACTGCCTGAAGAACTTGGCAAGTAAAGACACAGGAGGCAAGCTTGTCTCCAGGGAGACTGCTTGTTAAATTACAAGTTATTTTGCCTCCTGAAAGGCTTGTGTCCTCTCAACCCCATAACCCTGGATGTGGCCTTATCACAGAATCACTAAGGTTGGAAAAGACGTTTAAGATCACCAAGTCCAACTGTTACACAATGCAGGTGGTCAGAACTGAGACGCTGCTCAAGGGAACAGAACCTTAACAGGGATTCTGAAGACAATAACTCTGCTCTGCAATGGCCTGGAGATTTGGCCTGTAGCCCTCAGTCAACTGGTGCCATATGTGTACTACAGTCAGTGGCAAGAGACAAGGAGGCTTTGATTAGCCACGCTCTTCTGAGATGTGGTGTCTGGTTAGAGGACTTGAGTAAAGGGAATAAGGTAACAGACAAAAGTTCTGCTCAGGATTTGCACCTACCTATAAGAAACAAGGCAAAACTGATGATAGAAGACCAGCTCCAAAATGAAAGCATCAGTCCATGAGCAAGGCCCAACAGAACTGTACCTCTGATACAACAATAAGGAAAAAGAAAACATGCACTAATGTGATTTTAAAAACACCTGATATTAAAAAAAGAACTTCTAGATATACAGACAAGGGTCCTTGGTAATATATTTTAATTATTTTACTTTAAACAAAGCAAAATTTTGTTCACACCCAGCTACATTTTCTTCCCTTTATTGAATGTAAAAAACATCCAGTTGAAAATAATGGCAATTTATTGTAATGTATAACTCACACCCAACTACATTTTCTTCCCTTTATTGGATGTAAAAAAACATCCAGTTGAAAATAATGGCAATTTACTGTAATGTATAAGGGAGCTGTGTTCAGCAGCAAAAGCAGTCCACTGAAATCTTGGTACAAAAGGCAAAAGCAACTCAAGGCAAACAAAAGGGAAGAATCTACCCCAAACAGAAGTATTTTCTTCATGTCAAATAAGGAATCCTAAAGTATCTAACACTGCTCTCAGTTTTGGGGAGCTCTTTCGTATACCAATTCCAGAATACAAACTCTGTCAACTGCCATCACATGTAGTTTACTCAGAATAAGTAATTTGTTTTCTTTCTAGATTTTGGAACCTGAATGAACTACACACAGCACTAAGACTACATCCTTACTAAACAAAACTTCTACTGAAGTATATATTTTAATAGTGCACACAGTTTATTTATATTTTGTGCATGTGTCTCTGACCATCTCCTCTCTGAAGCCAACTGCTAGACTAATTTACTGCTTATTATAGATGCACTGCATTCATAAGTCCTTGAACCTCAGTCCTAATCTAAAAATTGTTTTGAAATTTTAGTGCTGAAATACTAAGATTTTAGTCCTGAAATAAAAATAATTCTGTATTAGAAAATTTTATGGTCTGGGCAAAATGCTTACTGATATCTCAAAGGGAAGAATGAATCCTCTGTATTAAGTACCTTGTACCCACTTTTTTCTGTCTTATACGATCATCAGGTTGAGTTTTAATTTGTCACCCACTACAGCACTGGATTTTCATTACAATTTTGTAATCATCATCATGCACTTACCCATATGGATTAGGGTCTGGACCTGTATGTGGATGTCCACTTACTGCCCATCTGGAAATTAAGGAAACCTCCCCAAATATCCACACAGTGAGGAACATGAGGCTGCCAAAAGCAATCCCTGATAAAAACCAGTGAGGATGGGAAGCAGCCTCTCTAATCACATTACCAGTTTTGTTTGTTTCTTGTTTCCTCTTGTCTCCACCTAGAATAAGAATAGAAATACAGCTAAGCAAACTGTCAAATCCTATTAGCAAGTGTTACTGAGAAAAAGAAATAGCCAAAATCACAAATTTACTAGAATAAATTGCATGCACAAAAGCTAATTTATCTGATTAGGATTGTGTTATAAGAAATGGATGATAAAAAAAAATCTTTACTAAAAACTCGAGGTCTGTCAAGAAAATATACTCACCATAAGTGAGTATATTTGGCCAAAAATGCCACCTGGACATCTGATTATTTTCTATAATAAAGTTTAAATGTTTAAATTAGCTTTGAAAATCAGCAGAAAAGTTATTAGAATTTGTTCAGAGGCTTCTGTTCTCTGAAACCCTAAACTCTGATAAGAACAAAACCTGACACTTCCAAATAAGCCAGAAATAAACTCCCTTCCTTCTCCTTTTTTTCCATGTGCTTTAGAATCTCTCTCATCTAAGGAGAAAGCAACACCTTTAATTGTGTAGACATATCATTTTGTCACCCACAAACAAGACAGATTTCCTTCCTAATCTCCTGCAGCAGATTCCCTTTCTAAATTCTGCTGAAAGCTCAGGCTTTAGATCATGTAATGCAAGCTTACAGACAATATGCATGATGCTAATTTATACCCACTTACACATAGATAAGGTTTTATCTTTCAATTAATTCGTTAAGGTTATACTGAGAAGGAAGGATATTCTGAGGATTTAACATGAGCTGCCTTAACTAACCAATCCAGCCTTGCTGTCTTCCTTGGCAATATCACCTCCACAGTTTAGCCTATGTCAGCCCCCACTACTGTGTACTCTGTGCAAACACTTCAAGAACTTAGGCAAAGTTTAACTGGGACAACTTGTCCACTCCAATTCTTTCCCTTTATTTTCACATATCAGCTGTTCCCCAACTATGTCTTCTCTTCTCTGTTAAAAGATATGCACTGGCAGGGAAACAAAAAGTGCAAACTGAATTAACAAAACAAAAACACCACAAATGTTTCATGCTGGAAAGACAATAATCCATTCTGGTTTTATTGGTCTATCTTATGCCTTTGTTTGTGTTACTGTCATATTCTTGGCACTGCAATAAGGAAAAAGAGGCAGTTCTGGCACCAACTTATTACCACTTGTATGAATTGTGATACCAGTTCTACCATATTATGGGCAGGTGGAAGTACCTCACGACTTCTAAAACCTGCAATGCTCATGGAGCAGGTCTGAAACCAGACTGTGTTGGGGTGAAAAAATCAAAGAATCAAAACCCTGTGACACTTAGCTAGGTATACTTTAGGCTCTTTTCATAACCACCATCTTTGCTGTAATATACTTACCTGAATGGATTTGCTCCACTGCTGCTACAAAACCAATTGTCAGTATGACAGTATTGGCAACCCAGGAGCTCCAGACTGGATTAAGTGATGTGTACCAGATACGAAGAACAAGGAGCATTATCTTGCCTAGAATGAAGCCCCATATTCTGAGGAACCTGTAAGAATCAGTTCTTGAAACAGTGAGACATTTGGGGGATTAAAAAAAAACAAAAAAACCAAAACAACAGCTTTTAATATAAAGAAACATCAGTTAAATTCCATCAGTATAAGAAAATACCTTTGTAAACTGTTTCCTGACCACCATGTTACTGTTTGAACCAGCAATGAAGAAGAAACACCAGCAGCCAAGATGAGCAGTCTAATTGAAGCATTTGGTGCATGGTATGATGCTAAGCTTCCTACAAACAAATACACACACACAGAGGGTACTTTAATGATCAATAGAGACTTGGTAATAAGGATTTCCTGTGCATTAGTTCAACATTGTCTGTAATTTGAACAGCTACACCACTTATCTGAAAACACATGACACTACACATTTTTAAACAAGCCAAAGAAATGCAGGTATGCATAGAAACTGGGTATACATGACTTCATATCAGTTATAATTTTCAAGGAAAAAAATTATAGGCAGCAATTATCCAACAGTATGAGTGATTGCCTTTATTTAAGTATTTTTGGTGATGGATTCCATAGAGAGGATATATGAATAAGATATCTAAGCATATACAGATATTCTTCAACCATGCACTTAGATAACTCAAAAGCCATAAAGTTCTATGTACTGTGACTGTTCCTTTCTAAAAAGGATATGGCTTTTGCTGCAGTAGACTTACAAAAGTAAGCACACTGTGGCAAAAGCCATGTTCTTTATTAGACAGGAGCAGTCACCATACATAGCACAGGGATTAATAATCAACTGCCTCAGTAGGGGTGAACAAGGCTTTCTCTGGCTCAGTATCTGGTCTCAGAAGTGGTCAGAACCAGCTTGTGCCATTTTATTACTGAGAACTACCACTTTCCCACCACTTGAGAGAGCTTGTGCACACACCTTTGCCATTTCCCAGGGCACAGCGACCCCACATTACCAGCAGTTTTAAACTCTGCTCACAGGTTTCCAATTCAAGTGACAATGGACCACATATGTTTTCGTAACCTCAGTCAGTGTGGCAAATTCTGGCCCAGGACCAGTGACAAACAGCAGGAGAAGCAGCAACACTGTTATGATATCAGCCATTTGCTAAGTGAGTATGAGTCAAACTTGAAGAGATGTTAAGCAAGTAATGTCAGAAATGGCGCTGCAGATTCTGGCAAGTCGTGCGAGGGATCCTCCAACTGTTTACCTGCTCGTTCTGCTCACAGTAACAGATGCAAAGCTTAGAGCCAAGACAGTAAACAAGACCAATGTGCAGTGAAGGTGTACTTGCATGAACTTCAACAGAGGTTTCATGTACAGCACACACAGATTTCTGTCACTAAATTGTGCTGGCAATCCATAAACTTGCCTCCTCAAATATTTCATCATGTGTGCTACCCTGATTAAAGGTAGCAGGGGTTTGCCAAGTCAGAGCAGACACACCTTTAGTTGCTGGGCAAGTACACCCAAGACTTAAATATATCTATCCAAGCACCCAAATTTAACTTAAGTAGTCTGAAGACACAGATGCAAATAGACACTACCACAGGGTACTTTGCTGTTGTTTGTTTGTTTTCAAATAGAACACAAAATCAAGTAGCATGAAAGGATACAGAAATTAGAAGTTGCAGGGAAAAGAAAGCCTCCTGAAAAGGCAGAAAGAAACAGAACAGGAATATTCTGGTCTTAGCTAAGCATGACAAATTTTCTTATTTTTTGATTGTGAAATTGAAGACTGAGTAGAATGGGGTGGAGCACACATGGAGTAGATTGTTCTGCCTGACAATTCAACAAGTCCCAGAGGAAGGCCATGGCCTTTTTGAGAAGGAAAAATGATCAAAAAGAGAATGAATAAAATTGTCTCAGTATGAAGGAGCAAAAACACAGGAAGAACTGAGAAACAGGAGAATCAGCAACACATAAAAGATCATCATAGGTCTGTCACTGCTGTTTATTTAGTGAACAAAAATTACACATTTCTAAGTGATTTCCATCTCTTTTGGTAAAGTGAACTAGTAAACACAGCAAGGTGATCTGAAGGATCAACCTTAAATAAACATGGCAAATTTTATGTTAGTGTCACATCTGAAGGAAGGTAAGGTGCAATTTTAAATGCTTATACTCACTCCTACTTTCTAAACTAGAAGATCTTGCAGAAGGCAACACATGAGGCACTGCTGCAAGAAGCTGAAGACTCTGCCCACTGAGAAGCTTATTACAAATCAACAAGACAAGTACTAAGCAACACATGAGGCACTGCTGCTTAGAAGCTGAACATTCTGCCCACTGAGAAGCTTATTACAAATCAACAAGACAAGTACTAGGATGGATATAATGGAAATAACAGGAAAAGAAAAGAACATGGTAAGACTATTCTTCATAACAATCAATGACACCAACAAACTGCTCAGTTCTGGTAAATTTCTAGAGAGAAAGAACAAGAATTAATTTTTAAAAAAATATGCAGGGAAAGTAATTCTAACAGCAAAAGAGAAAAACTATAAGGAAAGTGATTATCTGTCTATCATCTTATATTGACAAATGAGAAGCTAGGATCTGCTGCTTCTGAAACACATCACTCAGCAGCAGCATTTTCACCTCTACTCAGGATGGAGACCCTTGTCTCCTCCGAGTCCATCGGAGGCAAACTCTCACTTCTGAACGTGGCCGTAGCTGCCAAACCTTCCCCCAAAAAACTTTCAAAGAATCAACAAGAGCTAAGATTTGCACCAGTTAGCTGAAGACCAAAGTGAGAATCCCAGCAAATCTTGGTTTAAGGAGGAGCCTGTGGAATGGGAAATGGGGCATCTATTTCCTGAGTTTATTTCATATTTAGGATGAGCCTATAACCCCTCTACAGGCATGCAGACAGATAGATTTCATTTTAAAAATACATTCTTAGAAGAAAAAACTGCCTCCAAAACTAAAAAGAATGTTCCACTCATAGAAACTAGCTCCAAGTGGTTCTGTAATGCCTCATCCCTACCCATTGTCACAATTCAAAGAACACCTGCTCTGCTGATATTTGAGTGACACTGAAAATACCTTTCCTATTGCACATCACTCTTGTTAAATTAAAAGCTACTAGAAATAAAAGTGAAATTATATTTTTCTGTATTTATGCAATACAATGGCTACAAAAAATATTTCTCTGACTGTAGCTAAAAGCTTGAGAGAAAAAAATGAAACCAGCAAAACATGAGTATGGGGAGAGTGAGGACTTCTTATTTCTGTCTCTTTTTGTAATAGTCTGAATTTTAAGGCAATTTGGAATGTTTGTTCTTATGCATTGATACCAGAACAGAATCTATAACTCACTGCATTGAGTACTTACCAACCATAGTCAATCTCAGAAAGGCTAGGACATACTCATTTTTAGCCAACCTCCAAAAAGGGCCAATTGTCAAGAATATTGGGGAAAAGAAGGCAACAGCAAAAACTTCTAGGCCTGTGAGTGCCAGCGTCTGAAGAGGGAAGTAGTAGATCATTGGTGGCAGTGCATGGTAAAGAGACCAAGAAATGTAACCTAAAACAAGAACAAACCAAAAAGAGAAAACCCCATCACGTATTTTCAACAACAAGATTTCCTGGAGATTACTTAAAAGGCACCATTTTATACTTTCACATACAGACTGTCAAATGTATTTGAAAGCAGTTCAAGCAACAACAGCCACCTTCTTTGAAGAAATGTTTGTTATTTCAAGTTAAACAAATGCATTTTACAAGGAAATGGAATTATGAGAATAAAACAGCTCTTCCCCCACTCAGACCGCAGTTCCTACGTTGAACCTCAGTGAAGTGCTCAACTTCGGAAAGGACTGGTGCTCAGAGGGCTGGCGGCTTAAATAACAGCCCACCCTCAGTCTCAGGGCTACTCAAAGGTAGACTGGTGACTAAAGGAATTATTCTAGTAAATCGGTGGGCTGTTCTCCCCTGGAGACACCTTGTCCGGGCACAGCAGCACTGCGCTGTGAGTTTCCCGGCTTTGCAGCAGATGCAGCGAGCAGACACTGCGGGTGCTGGCCCTGGCGACCTCCCTCGGCGCCCTGCCTCGAGCCGGGCAGCAGCACCGCCTCTGCAACACCTGCACAAGCACCGGCCCGACACAGCAGCAGGAAATTCTAGGCTGGTCCAAGAGACAAAAAGCATTCCAGCAGTAGAGGAGAAAAAGAACCCGAGGAAGAGCGCTCAGGTGTGAGCACTATTTACTGGTTCCAGAGGGGAGCTGTTCATCGGCGGCTCGCCTGCAGGCACGGCGAGCCCCGCTGCGCCCTGCCGGGGCTGCCCTGCTCCGGCCGGCCCCGGCTCAGCCCCCGCTGCCCGCAGCGCGGCCCCGAGCCCCCAGCCCCTTCGGGCGGCATCGCCGCCACCTACCCAGGAGACTCTCCGAGAGAACGGCCTTCCACAGGGGGGACATCGCCGCTCGGCGGGGGCTGAGTCCCGCTGCCGAGTGCCCGGCAGGGCGCGGCGCCGCCCGTCCCGCCTCACGGAGCCGCGTCCCCGCGGGGGCGGGCGGCCCGCACGGCCGGACCGCACTGAACGGCCCGCGCATCTCGCCCCGCCACTCACGTGCCAGCGGTTTGTCCCCTGAGCAGTCACGGCAGCCAGAAAGATAAAAGTGAGAGGTTGTCATAGCACAAGCTGGCGGGGAAAAGAGGAGCTAACCCACCTGGCAGCTTGTACAAACACATGGCTGACTACGCCGGGTTCGGGATGTCCGAATTAGTACTGTGCTCACCTTTGTGAAATGTGTGTTTTTCTATAGCAGAGTAAGGACTTCTGATAAGCAATGCTATCTACAAAAAGCACCAAAAGAAGCGTTTCGTTTGCTGAGATTCCTGAGTAACCACGTTTGTTAATTTTAGAAAAAAATCATGAGTTAAATCTAGCCAGCTGTGATCAGAGCTGCCAAGCTCTGGCAAAAAGATTACATAAGCAAAATCTCAATTTTAGAATTTTTGGGGGGGGCATGAAAAGTAAAATTTTAATTATAAGTTAAGAACTAAGAAGTCCTTTTGCTCTTGGAATATACCATCATCTTAAATTTTAATAATCTGCATACAGCATCCTATATAACCACCATCTGTACCTTCTCATTTGTGTTAAAAAGACTGTTCCATTCTAAATAAACCTTACGGTACACATTTTCTTTCCCCAGTTTGTGACACTCTAAATCCATAGGAGTAGTAGACTATAAATACCTAACATCTATATCATCTATTATTAGCAATAAAGTCTGGTCTAGACATTTGAGAGGACACAGTACTAAACTAAATTTTGCCCTAGAAGTCTCAAAGTCAAGTTATTCATTTACCCTGCAGTATGATGGGGTTTGGCTATTACAAAAACACTGTTGAATTTTGGCTGCTATTTGAAAATGTGTTTTTAAAAATGGAAATATGTTTTAAATGTCCAGAAAAGAATTAAAGTATTTTGATGGAAAAGTTGACCTCAGTAGGCAAGGAAGAATGAGACTCATAAATTTAATGAGCTTCTCTGTTTTCTCCAAGTTCCATGCCATTAAAGGCATCTTTCTTTTTCTTCATTAAAGAAAAGTCATACCAGAATAGTCACCAAGCTCACTTATCACTGGATATCAGAATTACGTGAGTGATGACACCATTTCATCTCGCTGTGGTGATGCAAATGGAAGATGAGATCTTTGGCCAGAATAAATGCAGAACATGGCTGCTTTTGGAGCTGCGTAGCGGGAGCGTGAGGCACACAGCATGTATTCAGCCAATAAATACTCAAAAAAATTTTGCAACCCTTTTTATAATTACAGTATCTTGCTTCATGGTTCAGAGGTGGAGTTCCAGTAAAACAAGACATGACTGGAATTGTGAACCTGATATGCTTGTGTGGCTTCTATTAAACTCATAATGCAATGAAAACAATGCAAATCCTGACAAATTTACCAATTGTATTCTGGGTACTCTCTCTGACATTCTTAGGAACTATTAACTTTGGTCTCACTTGGCACAAAGTTACACTCTGTTGCTCTCAGTAGTGCTGATATATGCATGAGCATCAGAGCAAAAGAGGAGAGAATTTTCAGGTGCCATGTCTTAAATACAAAAATCCATGCTTGTAAGGCGCTTAGTCACACATATATGTGTAGTAATGGCTTTCACTACATTTTTTTTATTATTATTCCTGGAGTACCACAGGTGTACATGACAAAAAATATAGCAAAAGCATTTGATCTTTAATGGTTTGACATCATTGTATTCTGTAAAGTCAAGAAAACACTACAGTAGGAGCTTCCACTCACAGAACAAGAAGCATTTTCATTCTACAGTAATATTTAAGGCACCCTACCCCAAGGCAGACATAAAAAGTTATCTGAATTTAACAGCCCCATAATTACATTGGTTGACAGGGGTAAGCTGTTCTAAAGCTAGCGATTGTAAAAAACACTGCTTTATTTGTGTTCAAACTGTAATAGAAGTATGTTTTGAAACCCAAGGAAACACATGGCACTTAAAAGAACTTTCAGACCCCCGTGAGAAACTGTCCTTACATATTGCCTGAGATGCCTGAAATGAGCATGATGAAGAAGCAGAAGTAAGTGCCAGAGAAATGGGGGGGGGAAAGCATGAAAGTATGAGGACAGATTAGGATTAAAACCACAGCTCTGAACAAAGCAGGAGTGGGTGAGTTTACAGTTAGGCACTTGTCACAATCTCATGGGAAACACAAACACATGCAGGTCCCTGCAAGCACTTTACTGGGCTCTTCACACTGAGAAGGGGAAATCCTGTATCTTAAACATTTCATAATTACCAACTATTCACTTCTCAAAGACAGCCCAGGCCAAGTATAAAATAGAAGTACATCCAAGAATCAGCCAAGACACAGAAAACTTACATGATTCCTTGCAAGTAGCGAGGACAGTTTAATGTTTTACTCAGAAGTATGTTGACTGTTTCCTGCTGTGGCTTTTCATGCCTTTTCATTTGCTCTTAACTCCTACTCCCATCAGCATGAGAACAATGCCCTGTCGTGTAATTCTTACTTGGTTTTCCATGCTCTGTTATGGTTACTAAGCAAGGGGATGGAGCTTTGTTTCACAGGGAATTTTCAAGCAATGAACAGGATTTGATTTTGTAACAGACAGACAAACCATGTTTAACAAGTGGTAATAGTTCCTCCTGCTGGCATGCACTGCATACATACGTGGAGTGTTTCTGTTAAATATCACTCCAGAAAGGCTTTGCCTTGGTGACTGTGGTGGACCTCAGGACCCTGGCAACCCTTCAGTGTTTTCTAAGAGGTTCTTCTCTCAAGCAGCCAGAGCCTGTAAACCTTCCCAGAGTTTGTGAAATCTCAGTCCCTGATCTGCCTCCACTCTGACAACAGATAATTCCTCAGCCAAACATTCAACTCCATATTGGTCGTTTTATTTTTGGTATCCATTGGGGTTTATTTCTTTGATGTGTAAAGTTTGTTTTGTTCCAGGAGTGGTAAGAATTTCTTTTGCTTTGTCTTTACTCTTCCAAATCACTAACATTTACTGGTTTCTGTATTACCTTTTCCCCATTTTTATAACTCTGAAAATGATTCAGGTAAATCTTGGAAAGAAAAAGTGTTTGAAAAACATATTCAATTGTGATAACCAACTTTACATTTAAAGTTACAATTAAAAAGAAGCTTAAACTGATTTTTAAGAGGCACTTTTGCACAGAAAGATGCAAGAATCCAAACAGTCCTATCTCTAGACAATCACTATCCTCAGGCACACAGATGAGAAAATTATCATTCCAGTGCTCTTTCACTTTATGTTCAGCTTAAGCTGGACCAGTTAAGAAGTTATTGGTTATGAAGCACTCACTCCACATGGGATTCTCTTGTATGTTGTATTTTTCAGAATAGCATGCAGCCAGTATCTACTGAAGAGTTTTCATGTATGTTTTCAAGAATACCTTTGAGATCCCAGGAGGTATTAGATACACTTTCAAGACTTGTTTTAGGACAACACTCTTGCCCAGCCTCCATGTGGAAAGCACATTCTGCAGCAGCAAAGTCTGATCCTCTGGCTGGGCAGACAAGAGCGGGAGAGTAGCCTCATGAAAGGGGCTTCAAGCAGCCAAGACTCATGGAAGCTGAAAGCTTTCTTTGGACTTAAGAAAATTAACAACGATTTATGTTTCTTATGAAACTGAGATGCCAAGGTCATGCAGAAGGAGGAAGTGTAATGGTGATCTCAGAGGCTATTCATTTCATGATAAGCAATGAAGTGTCATATCACCATTTAAGATACTCTACTGAAAACTATTGTCTTGCTGTGAAAAAATAAACAAAACAAAACAAAATAGAAACAGAGACCTTTTAATTAAAATAAAATGCAGAATAAAAGTCAGTTTTATAGTTTTTGTTTTAGAAAACTTATTCTTAAATAAAGGCATTGCATTTCTCATTTCAGAGAAAGTAGAACCATTTTTTTCAATATTCCTAGAACAACCCCTCCCACATCCAACTGACATTTTCAGAATAACTTTTTCTTGCAAAATTATTTTTGCTTGATGAAAGTGCCTTTCTTATTTAATTCTTGTTAATATTAAAATTTATTTACTTACACGAGCACTGTAGTATTAAAATCAAAGTAGATAAGCAATGCTTTTAATTCCAAAATGGTCAAAGTAGAATTTGTTGTTTCTTTTTTAAAGAACACTATTTCATTTCCAGAAAAAAATATTTTCAATTTGTAGGACAGACCCCATATGTGATATGCTGGGCTCCTCACTACAAGAAAGACAAGTTACTGGAGAGGGTTCAGTGGAGGCCACAAGGATGATGAGAGGTCTGGAGCATCTCTTGAGGAGAGACTGCAGGAGCTGGGCCTGTTTAGTCTGCAGAGGGAAATCTGGGAGGGGGTCTCATCAGTGCACATAGCTACCTCAAAGGCAGGTGCCAGAGGATGCTGCCAAATCCTTTTTGGTGGTGCCCAGGGACAGGATGAGGAGCAGTGGCCATAAACTATAACCACAAGAAGTTCCAATTCAGCTTGAGGAAGATGTTTGCATTGAGAGTGGCAGAGCACTGAACAGGCTGCCCAGGGAGGTCATGGTGTCTCCCTTTCTCTAGGCATTCCAAACCCACCTGGACACATTCCTGTGTCACCTGCTCCAGGTGGCCCTGCCTTGGCAGTGGGCGTTGGACCAGACGACCTCCAGAGGGCCCTTCCAATCCTAAAGATTCCGTGACTCTGCTACCTTCGTTAACACATACCCTTGCTGAATGAGCGTTCTGAATTTCCCTCGGGAAATCCGAGAACGCGGGAAGGGGCCGGTGTGCCCCCGCGGGGCCGTGAGGCGATGGGGCCGGGCCCCGCGGCCCCGCTGTCCCTGCGCCCGGCAGGAGGCGCTGGAGGCCGGCAGCCCGGGCGGGCCGGCCCCCGCCCAGCGCGGCTCAGCGCGGCAGGCGGGCACCCGTGGGCTGTGCGGTCAGCCGGGCCGGGCCGGGTCAGCCCAGCCCGTTCCGTTTCCTCCGGCGGCCTGCGGAAGGTAAGCGCGGCGGGGTCCGCGAGTGTCAGACTCCTCCTCTCCGCGCCAAGCGGTTCCGCGGGGCCGGATTTCTGCGGCGTCACGGCGGGGGAAGGCGGGGGTCGGGGCGCGGCTTTGGGCAGCCGGCCCGGGGCAGGCGGCCGCTGTGGGGGCTGTGCTGCCGGCGGCGCCGTGCCCGTCAGTTCGGGAAGCACACTGAGGTGCTTGAGCGTGTCCAGCCGTGGTGTGCTGAAGGGTCTGGGGTATAAGTCCTGCTAGGAGCGGCTGAGGGCGCTGTGGGTGTGTTCAGCCTGGAGAAAAGGATGCTTGGGGACACCTTGCTGCCCGCTACAACTACCTGGAAGGAGGTTGTAGCCAGGGGAGGTTTGGTCTCTTCTCCCGGACGACTAATGGCAGGACAAGAGAACGTAGCCTCAAGCTGTGCCAGAGGAGGTTCAGGTTGAACATTAGGAAGAATTTCTTTACTATAAGGTGATCAGACATTGGAACGGATGTGACAATACCATGGTTCAGTTGACAAGGTTGTGTTTGGTCACAGTTTGGACTCAGTGATCTTAGAGGCCTTTTCCACTCTCATTGGTTCTGTGATTCTAGGAAAGAAACGCTCTGTGCTAGCCGGGTGTGCAGTGCCCTGGGTGGGGCACTGCGCCTGCTGCAGGGCTGAGCAGGCGTGGGGCATTCAGCAGCTCTCGGCTTGGTGGTAGGGACCTTTTCATTGACTGCCCACTGCAGCTTCTCTGTAGACTCACCTTTGTTTTAAACTCAGGCTCTTCTTTCAAAAAGCCAGTTCAGATAGGTGTGAAACATCATGTTGAGGCTTGTCATCTTCCTCTTCCTTGAGGTCCCTCCCTGAAATCTTTGATGAGTGGTGCCTGCCCTCGGCATCACAGCCCACTGCGTGGACTGGTTAATACGTGCAATTTTGGCCCTCCCTTTCTTCCCCCAAGTAGGCCTGCGAATTATGGGGTCATTATTCATATTCAGGAGGAGGCTTTTTCTTGAAAACACAGTGTATGAAGCTGACAACTCTCATATTTGAAAAACTTAGCTATCTTCTTGCATACTGCTTCTTTGTCATCCCATTAGAGGTATTCAAACTGTGAGATTTTTTCAGGAGCCTAAAATTAGCATTTTCTTCTGTAAATGAATAAATTATCCAGAATATTTCTTGTAAAAGATGAATAAGTTTTTTGACTATTTGATCCTTGCAAACCACATTGATTTAATCCTGTATTACACAGGCATTTAATTTAAACAGAATAATATAATTGGAGAATTCTTCCCAGAATATACACTTAATTGTTGCACTAAGAATTACATGTAGGGTTGAGAAAACAGCAATGAGTGTTGCAGAAAATTACAAGAAATTATATTTCTCCAGTAAGCTAATGGAAATAAAGTTATTTTTTGGGATAACAGTTGTCTTTCCGAGACACAGGGCCTTGAAAAATCAGAACACTTTACATTCCTCAGATAGGAGACAGCTTGTCTACTAGGTATGAATATTAAAATTCAGTTACATAATATTTTGATGACATCAATTCTGTCTCTTTGTTTCATTTTTGCCAGTATAGCTCTCAGCTTTCATCCCATGTGGAAGCTGTACCATGAGGCTGCTTAAAGGGCTAAATATTTTTGGGGTCCTTCATTATGTTGAAGCAGTAACATAGCTGAATAACTTCTAATTCAGGAGAAACGTGTACTTAGGACAATATAGGAGGCCCATGGCAAACTTCAAATAGTTGTAATCTTTATTTATACCCACTCTTTTTCCTTCATTTTATTTCGTTTATTTTCCTCCTGTGACTCAGCTGTTTTATTATCATGAAAAAGACAAGCACTTTAAATCTGTTGCAGCATTTAGAAACTGTTTCCAGTGATTATTTTATGCAGCTGTCTGCACAAGTAGGCTTTCTGAGTAGATAAGAATAAGAAAGCAGATAAGAAAAGAAAATACGATTCACTTTTGATTGACACAAACCACTTTAAAGTTTTATGCATCTTTCTTATATTTTGTCATTTTTTTGCATTAAGTGACAAGAGACTGATGAAAATTAAATTGTTCTCAGATTGAGGAAGACGGTGTAGAGCTGTGAGCTTTCCTCATAGAATATAGGTTTTCAAACTTACAGTTTTTCAAAGACACAGTGATCATTGTAATTTTTGTGAGTGTCTAAGAATGAAGTGCAGATTGGTGTGAATTCAATGCTTTATTTAAGTTTTTTTACCAAAGGGATGGGAGGTTGTGTTGCTTCTATTGCTTAAAAAAAGCTTTGCTGTCTGAATATCTAGTGTATATGAAGATGTTTCTTGAACTTCATAGCTGTATAACTGACCCCAAAATAAGTGCAGGAAGTGGTTTATACCGTAATATTATGAATGCAAGAAAACATTTAGGTCAGTAAATTTTTGCATATCTTTTCTATTTAACTGTGCCCTTTGCAGTCACTTTAGCCTTGCTCAGTGCCACCATTCTCAGAAGGTACTTTCAGAAAAGGAGAAATGCCCTTAATGTTGATAAAGTGCCAGACCATGCAGCAAAGTGCTAGGTAAAAAATCACAACTTAGATTGTTTGAAGTACTCTAGAAATAAATGAGTTTCCTTATTGCTTTTCCCTAGCAGCATGGCTCTCAAGCATGGAAGATTGCAACTCTAAAACTCTTTGGAATCTATTTATTCTTTTGTGTTATTTTTTTAAAGGATGTTTGTAACTGAATTGGGGTTTTGGAGATACAGATGTGGTTTGTGATAGGCTTGCTTGGTGAGTCCCATGGAATCCAGGTTTCGGATGATGGCAGTGAGGATAGAAGTAGTGCAGTAATTCTGGACAGCACATTAAAGAGGCTGTTCTTGGACCTGCAATACATTAAAAAATTAGAATTTCTTTATGATTGAATATACTATACTAGGTCATGATTCAGCATTTAACTGTAGTTACTGACTTACCTGTTTAAGTTACACCCAACTCTGTGTTGCTGATAAGTGATAAACTGTGCTGTAAATTGTGTATCAGGTGACTGGATGCTATCTGCTGTAAAAAATACACTCCTTTCAACCTGGTCATTTTTCTTTCTAGATGAACATTGGACTTACAAATGTCAGTATGATATCTTGACTTTTTACCTTTGTACCTAGCAGAAGGAGAAGTAGCCAAGCATAAAACGCATAGCTTCTGCTGAACAAGAGCAGTAGCAGACTACAAGGAAAGAGAAAATGTCTTCTGAAACAGGTCAACAGGGAAGTCAGACGCCTCCAATAAAGCAACCTGGATGGGTAAGCTGGGTTTCCTTCCTTATATTTCAATGCTATTGCTAATGAATAACAGATTTTACCTCAGTTGCTCTTATTGAAGAGAGAAATGGGTGTCTGTTAGCTTAAGCATATAGATGAAGAGAGGAAAGGATGGTGTGTTATTTTTCCTGGTTCACTGTGCTCCACAACAGTGGAGTTGTGAATCTTAAGGCTCTGATTTATGCCCAGTTATGAGCTGGCATGGCTGTGGTGTCTGAGTACAAGTCCAGTACAGCCTGTCCCCATCAAGCTCTGCATGCACATGTCAGAAGGGGACAAAGGAACAGTACAGCACAAGAATTGGGTCTACAGCTCTACAGAAGATGAACATTCTCCTCTAATGGAGACATCGAGGAATTTAAATGTGATACTTTTTGCTAACCAGTCACTACCAGAGGGCAGCAATACTGGGCTGATCTGCAAGGAAGAGGCACAAGTGACAGCAGGGTGGCAGGGGCTGGGGCCTCAGGTACAGGGAGCACAGTATCACAGTACCCAAAAAGAGGAGGAGAGCAGATCCAATGATGTTATACCAGGGTCAGCTTGCAGTCAGTTCAGTGATTGCCAGGCAAGTCTGATGCTAAGCTGGGTGATCAGGCTAGCAAGGCAGGGTAAGGATCTCCATGGTATAGCTACAGCACAGTTAAGGCAAGAACCTGAGCTTATATACAGCTCCTGAACTGAAGGGCAGAGGCCCTGGGCAAAGTTTCTTGCTGCTTTCTGAGCTTTTCTGTTTTCAGCAGTCTAACTCGGTGTTACACAACTGTGCCATGGTAGAGCTGACTCTGAGCCCAAGCAACTGAACAGCTGGCAGGGTGTGTATGGAGGCAGAAAGGTTGCAAAGCCTGTTGGTGCACTTGGGGCTCTGACATGCATTTCCTTATCTTTCAGTCAGCCTGTTTGTATTTTACTGTATTTGTTATGACCTTGCTCTGAAACCAGTTTGAAGCGGTTCTCTATGATCTGGAGTGGAGCCAATTCTGCATTGTCTACCCAGCACCACCATTAACTTTTCTAGGAACAGTGCTTGAAAAAGGGCTGAGATATCAATTATCTGTAATGTGAAATGTGTGGCTATGGCCAATAAATGCATTTCCTCATTATGGCTATAAAATCATGCATAAAAGGAGTCAGGCATAAAAGGAGATAGAATCCTGTAATAGATGAATGTGCTCTTCTTTCCATTTTCCAAGGCATTGCTTTTTCTATGATGCCTGCTTTTTCTTTCAAGAATGCATATGTTTGAAGATGTTGTGTTTTTACAGAAAAAATGTTAAAATTTCAATTAATTTTAACTTAATGATGGCTCCTTTGCCTTGGCTTTTCTTGCTGAGCACAATGTCACGATATGGAATTGGAATATTCTTTGGATCAGCTGGGGTCAGCTGTCCCAGCTGTGTCCCTTACCAAATTCTTCTACATCCTCAGCCAGTTTGCTGTTGGGGCAGCCTGAGAAACAAAAAAGGCCTTGACTCTGTGTAAGGCCTACTCAGCAGTAATTAAATATCCCTGCATTGTAAAGACTGGTTTGGTCATAAATCCAAAACCTAGCACCATACTGGTTACTGTGGAGAAAATAAACTGTCATCCAGTAGAAACCAGTACACCCATTTATCTCAGATGTCTGATAACAGCACTGCAAATGCTAACACTGAGTCTTTTGTTAAAGAAAGAAAAATAATCCTCATATGTTTACATGTCAATACCCTGGATAGCAGAATGCAAGGGAGAATACTGTCACTTTTTCCTTACAATAGGTGAAAAAAGAGCTACCTTCAGGAAGTCTGTTGGCAGCATGATTTGTACTAGGGTGAAGCCAGTATGGTTGAGTTCAGTTACTGCCATGGATATATTTAAATTGCTCAGAGAGCAAGTTCTACTAGTGAGGAGTCTGGCAGAATTTATGTTGACTCTCTTCTAAATACTTGCAAAATCTGCTCTTATTGAACTTCAGTTGTTCAGAGTAGAACTTGATTTTTGAAAATTGCCACTCTGCCTTTGTTTTCCATCATTTCTTTCTGGGGACATAATGTAGCTCATGAGAATGAAATGGCTAACAGTTATAAAACAATATGCTTCTAGGGCAAGCAGCAGCTGAGCAATTTTAGGAAAGTAAAGATCAACAAGATGGGTTGTTTAAACTTAAAACCTATGTAGTTCTTTCTGTTTCTGTATTGGGGTATCAAGATTTCATCACACTGCTAGCAACAGACATAAGGGGTTTTGCTTGGAGGTTTTTGGGGTTTTTTTGGTTTTTTTGGTAATTTATCTTCTTTAATTAACTCAGTTTTTTTCTTCCTGTGAGATTAAATTTGGTAAACTAATCCAGGTTTATGCTTTCAGCCAATGTTATTTTGTCCCTTGTCCCAAATTCAAGACAGAGAGATTGCAAGGATTGTTAAAGAATGCAAACAGGAAAGTTTTTGGTACAGAGGTGAGTGATCCAAAGTCATTCTTACCACACTTACCACATAGAATGACTTCTTGATGTATGTATGCAAAACTGTCTGCAAAATGTTTTTTGTTGGAACACTGTTGTGGGTTAACTCTGTCATATTAAGTTAAGTGTTGTATTCTTCAAGGTTTAATTGAATTATTTGCATCATTGTTGTAGGTAAAGGTGGTTGGATTGAGGTCTTGCTTAATATGAGCTTCAACAGTTGTAGAGTTCGTTACAACCACCTAAGGAATGTTTTACTTTCTTACATACTTATCCTTGCCTTTGAATGGAAGGCACACATGGCTATGTGTCTTTGATTTGTGAAATTCCAAGTGTGTTAGGAAAGCTAAAAAGATCAGTTTTAGTACCTTTACTTCCACCCTCTCAGTTTGTATCTAAATTACATATTTCCTGAATGGAGAAGATTGAAAAGGGTTTCAGCATTTTATTGGACTGCTGTCATTATAAGTGTTGCAGTAGTTAGATGAGATATTCAGATTGTGGAATCTATTATTTAATAAATATATATGTATTGCATTAGCTCCAGATGTTACAGCATGGCTGATGTCTGGCACTGTGTGAGAACATCTTGGTTTTGAAGAGAATGTAATCTGAATGAGCAGATGTAATAGGGGATTAAGACAGTAGGAAAAGTTAATGTTTAGAAATAATGTTTTTACATTAGAAACAGAAAACATTTAATGTATAAGAGAGTATTTACCAAATACATAGCAAATTTTGGCTGATACCAGCTACTTTCCTTTTCATTTTCACAGCTCTTCCTTTATCTCTTGGGAGCATGCTTGTCACCCAGGGGCTAATCTCAAAAGGTAAAGATAAAAAAATATATCATTAAAGTGCTGTTTTTCAAGATCAATATTCTTCTCTCTCATTACCATCATTGCTGTGGTGATTTGATTATTATGTGTGCATTGCTACAGTTATTCTTTCACAAGAGCATGAACTGAAAAGAGAATTTGCAAATCCAAAGACTGTGATGGCTGGGTTTTGTCACCATGATCACGTGTAGTTGAGTAGGGTCTTCACTGGGGCAGCTTGCAGGGCAGAGCATTGTGCAGCCCGAGCTGGATGTTAGAATTGGGTACTGCAGCTCTGACTGTTGTTCTGTTTGAAAATGCTGGCAATGTTTTGACAGTGACCATGTGTCAATGGTCCTACAGCTTTGGTGCAAAGGGACAAGGAGTACTGCCAAAGTGGGGAGACAGAGAGCTTTCTGTAGAAATGGCTCACGATCTGCAGGCTAACACAAAAGAAAATTGTATTCTGTTTTTCTGGTGGATGTGGCTGGTTCTGTGCATGGCAGATTCAGTTTCCCTGCTGGGGGCCTGGACTATGTATAAGGTAGAGGTTGGTGTTTTGGGGAGAGTGTGAGGGACATCCACCCTGAAGTCTGCTAAGCTGTATCACAAGAGGCTGATGTGGGTTCCCTACTCCATCCTTGACCTATGAGCTTGTAGGGAGACAGGGAGGGAAGGAGTAAGGGTGTGTCAGAGAAGGATTACACGTTGGAAAAAGGGTGGGCAGTGACAGGAAGGGCACCGGGGCTGTCTCTGTAGGTAACATGCCAGCCTCTGGCACCAGGTACTCTCTCAGTTTCTGTTCATTGTACTTGGATGTTTCTGATCAGCTGTGAAATAACAAATGCTCTTATTAAATAATCATTACTGTGTGTCACCAGTTGGAGGGGGTGATTAGAAACAAACAACACTTTTGTTCTTCCCTCCCCCGAGAGATCCAATATAAAATTGCATAGATGACAGTGGGCAAAGGCCCTTGTGCTTAGCATAGGCTGAATACTTCTCTGTCTAAATTCTTTCTTCTGATGGCTGCACACAGTACCCTGCCTCTAGAAGATGCTGGAGCTTCTAAGCCTCATTATTACTGTCTGAATGCATGTAACAGTGCAGCCAGTGTTTACTTGCCTTCCCTTTGCCACGGTAATCGTGCTGTGTGGAGCCCTCCTCCACAGCATGGCATTCCTCTGCCAGATACAGTTCTCAGAGGAATACTGGTTTCACCTCCTGAGATCAACTGGGGGAATGTGGATTTTGGTGGAAAAGCTAAAGATAATTTTTTTGCTTTTCTTGTTTAGCACACTGTGTTCTCCTCTTAAAGGCCAAAATGTGTGATCTTTCCTCTCCAGAGGGGAAGTCTAGATATCAGTTTTAATTGATAGCCACAGAAAGCTACCAAAGAGCAGTTTCATCCTGCTTATCACAGCACAAGGAGCTGGACCCTGTGTGAGAGATTTAATTTTGCTGTTTTATATGCAGGGTTGGTTTGTGCTGAAACATAAACCACCGTCACTTCCTCTGCAGTGCTGCAGGTGTCACCAGTGGCAGACATGCTGCTTTCATGTTGGTTTACACTCTGAACTCCTACCTGAACTGAATCCTGCAAAGTCTAGATTCTCTTCCTCCTATGACTCTAAGACTGCCCCAAAACACGTGCACTAAGAACTAGTAGAATAGAAAGTGCCCTGATGTACTGAAATCTGAGTTAGTGGACTTCATACCATCCTCACCTTAAGAAATGTAAAATCTGTAGGAAAATTAGTGCTGGTTTTGAGTGCTGGTGAGTTCCTCAAGTGAATGAGTGAATAAGCTTTCTGACTATTTCCTTTTATTGTAGGCATTTTCACAGCAAGCCCAAGATTTGGTCCATACCCCAAGATGGCACGTAAGTTGTACCCAATTCTAAAAAGAAAGAAAAGGCTCTTTACAGGCAATATGCCTGCCAAGATGCATCTCTCTGAATTTCTTTCCAAAATCTTCATTTTTTGCAATTGATATGTCACCCCAGCAGATTAGGAAATCAGGTTTTTTATGTCTTCAAAAATAAATGTATGAAACGAGATTCTTCTAATGTAAATATTTTCAGTAGCAGCTTATATTTATGTAATGCAGTCTCTCAAATTGGTATAAACTTTAGTCTCCACTTTGTTTTATAAATTATATCAGCTCATTGATCAGCTGCACTTGGCCGATTGCACAACTTATGGTATCAAGAAGTCATGACACTATAATATATAAAATAGTATGGTCCTTTTCATGTGTTTGATTGATCTCAGTTGTCTAATTCAGAACCATGGATTGATATAGAAAACAAATAGAAGCACAGAAACTGTACTGTACAGTAAGGTGGCTCATAAATGACAAGAAATTAGATTCCCTCTCCAGCAGAAATTCAGCAGGAAATCAAGAACATTTTATTCTGACTCTAGTGAGTGAAAGCCACAGTGCAACAGTATAGCAAGCTGATGTTCCAGCTTCTTAGAAGGCCAGAGAAGTTGGTGTTAAAAGTGTGATCATTCGAAGTAAACCATGGTGTGCAATCAAAGGCAAGAACTATTAGTGCTGACATTGTGAATTAATTTTATTTGTGTAATTTGGTCCTTTAAATATTACCTCCTTTTCCTGTACACAGGTATATTATGTCCTTTTTCTGTATCAATTATTTTGGACCAGTTGTTCTCTCTCATGATAGGTAACTACTGGTTTTCAGTAGTTATTGAATTCACCCCTGTAAACCCTGTATAACTTCACATGTGTTTGTGACATGTTCTGAGAAGATGTGGTACAGAATTTGTTATATGATTAAAGTGGAGCTAATAGCACACACCTGATTTAAGCTGTTGTATTAACAATGTATTGTTATCTGTCTCTGTAGTTGCTGGTGTCTTGGGTTTTGCCATTGGAAGGATGTCATACATGGGAAAATGCCAAAAAAAGTTTCAGAAAATTGGAATTGCACCATTTTGTCCAAAACAAAAAAGGTCTGTGCTAATTTAAATTATTAATTTAAGTTCTGTGATTAGATCCTAGTCATTGTCGTGGAGTATGTATTGCAGTATTAGAAACTATACACATTTTTCAGAAAATGCAAATTAAACTCACTGTAATACCTGTTACTAGGATATCCATTATTTAAATGAAATTATTGTACTTTTGAGTGTGATGTGACAACAATTACTCATTCTCTTTTTATCTAGTATCATACTGCTAAGATTGTCCATGTTATCACTCCGATCCTTTGAGTCTTCCTTTGGGACATACCTCAGGCCAACTATGCTACAGATTTTTTTATAATGTTCTCGTATTTTAACAGCAATGTCAATCTCAGCCCGTATTCCAACCTCCCTCTCCTCTATGGCTTTGCCCAACCTCCTGCTGTCGTGCCAAGCCATGAGCACAAACTGAGGGGGTGCCTTTTCCACCTTGCACCTCTAACCATAGAACAGATGTCAGTGGTTGACTTCTGTCACCTGGAGCCTCCAGCTTCACATAAAGTACTCCTTCACATCATATCAGACTCTGACTTCCTTCCCAGCTCCTCCTTCAGCTGCTTGTTGTACTCTCCATTCTCAATATGGCTTCTGGTATAAACCTTTCGCTCACAGAACACATTTCCACAAATCCTATGCAAAAAATCATTCTCCTTTGTCTTTCCACATCTTTTCCCCAGACTAGCATGAGCTTTTATGCCTATAAGAGTACGTTACTGACAATGGGAAGCTTCTTCATTGTTCATCTATTTCTCTGCTTCTATTCTTCCCCCACGTAACAAAGTATATACTTGGTATTACACAAAGTGTTATACACCTTGCTCCTAGGTACAATGGCAAGGACTGTCCTTTGCTGCTTAGAACATCCTGTTATATTTTGGCAATTGCTAGAAGGAATACTTAATACTAATTAATGGGCATTTATTGGCTGAGACATTTAGATGTCATATTTTGCAGTTTATATCCCATATTACAAAAATTGGGGAATCTAGTCAAGAGATTACTTCTTCAAGAACCTTTGCAACCATTTTCTGTGGTTGTATTAGAAGAAATACAACAAAATTCTTCAATGTTTTATTCGATTTCAATATTTTAGGAAGTGTCATCATACTTGCCAAGAATGTAAAGCAAAATTTGGATCGAATGAGAGAGAAGGTTCAAGTCCTTCAGCAGCTTAGTGCCAGGTAGGCAACCTTGTAATTTTTTTTTTAAATTTAATGTTATTTTCCATGGTGAATGGTATTCTTCTTTTGAACAGTATAGTGCAAATAACAGATTTTAACAATGGATCAAAATCCAAGCATTACTCAAGGAAATATTCTGTATTTGTAATTCCTGATTAATTTTGTTTCTTAATTTTTACCTTGCATACCTTTCATACTAATTTTAAATCCCACATTTCTGTGGAATTTTTTCTTTAGCTGCAGCTGAGTATTGATGATTGACCTAAGTGGAATTAATTTGGATTGACTGCTTGTATTAAAACAAATACAACTCCTTTCAACTTCCAGCTTGTTTTACTTAAGAATCAAACAATTATGGATTTTGTTGATATTTAGAAATGCATTGAAATATTGAGAACTAAAAGCAGACACAGGTGAGGGTGGGTTTTTTCCATTCAGGAGCACAGTTTGGCTAGAGCCGTAGTGGGGTAGTGTAATAGTGGTGCAAGAGCAGTCTGCTGTGGTGGGGCAGGGGACATGGCTCCTGTGGTGTTCTCACCCCAGAAAGGGGGAAGTTCCCTCTGTGGAAAAGGAGGGTTTACAGGGGTAGGAAGTAGGCAAGTGTTTAAAAGGACTTGCACTCTATGAAAAACAGGCCAGCAGCTGGGTTTTTTAAGAATGCTTTCACACTGTCTGCTTGTGGTGAGCTGGCCTACATTTCTCACAGGCAGGAGAATGTGTGAAAGTGTTTGCAAGTAGCTCAGCTGCCTGCAAGAGAGGAGAGCAGAGGGCCTGTTTGAAACCCTTTCATGGGACTTTACACAGCTAACAACAGAAGTCTGACACAGAAATTGTTGGATTGAGTCTAGCATATATAATGTAGGAATTCGGACAAGAATATTTTTAATCCAAAGTGCATGCCCACAGACAGTCTATAAGGAGGACTATCCCATCAGAACCTGTTTAATTGCCCAGATGAGAGATTTTGATGGACTTTACTATGCAACAATACATTGTAGCAGTGGGGATTGAAAAGAGTTTTCAGAGTCCTTAAAGAGGGCATTAGAATAAAGTCCTGATTTTAATCAGCTTTGCCACTGCAAGGGTTCAGAATTTTATATCAAGTGCTGCAAGTGCTCAGCTACTAGCAGAAAATGGACTTTGGCTTGGGCTCACCTAATAGGGTTGTGCCAAAAGAAGCAGTGTTTCTCTTGTGCCAGCTACAGAGATCACAAAGTGAGCTGGCCCTCCAGGCCACCTCACTGCTCTACTTTGGTATGAGGACAGGGGTAAAAAATCCCCCAAAACTTTCTGAAGGGTTTCTTGCTAGTGCCAGCATGAAGGAGGAAGTGAGCCAGACTTAGATAACTCTGAATAAATAACACTCTAAATCCATTAGCACCTATGAGCTTAATTAACTTCTTGCAATGCTGTGCTGATTAACTGCTTTTGAAGATTTTGTTTTAAATAAATGTTTACGTAGGCTCACTTATTTCAAATAAGGACCCCAAAGCATATTTAATTGAGAATGGTCATTTACTAGCAATTACCTGTGTAGAGGAATCAAATATTTATTATGGCATTTACCCCTGCTGTTTGTCAGAGCTGCAGCTTGCTGAACCTTCAATCCAAACACATCTTGTTTCTCAGCATTCCTCTGTAAGCTGACAATATTTTTTTCTGGTATGCGAGTACCAATTAGCTTTTAAATAAATTCCAAATTGTCTCAAACTCAGAGGAGCCTTGCAGCTTTTAGAGGGGAGGAACACAGGATGCCACAGGCCCCTCTCCTTTTCTTCCTGTAATGGGTCCTGAAAGTTCTGCTGTGGAACCTGTTCCCTGCTCCAGCTCACATGTTCATCCAAGACCTTGATTGCTGCACATTTTACCAGCAGCTTGGATCTTCTTGTTTGATTTTTGTAAGGTCTTGAAAGCTTGGTCAAAAAATTAGTTTGAAAACAAATGTAAGGTAAGTGTATTTCTTTCAAGTTTTAATTGCTGTAATGAAAAAGCCATTATATTTGGGCCAGTGTGGTATTTTGAATTTGCCACAAATCAATTCTGATGGACAGGTTTTAGAAACTTAGGAAAAGAAGTACTGTAAGCATTATGATGTTTTCTGTGTTGTTAAACCTCTTCTATGTTTCAATAAAATTTCTTAATTTAACATGCTGTGCTCTGAAAATGTGCAGATCCCCTGCTGAGCACATCTTGCTACTGTCCATGCAAAGCACGTGGTGCAAGCTCTGGCACTGCCTAGGAAGACCACTCAGATAAAATTGTATTCATGTTTAGGAGTCTTTTTTCCTCAAGGGCTCTGGAATATTCTGAGAGAAATCACCAAAATGCTCCATGTTTCACATTGAAAGCAAGGTGGCACTCACATAAATAACAGGTCATTTTATTCTGTTTACAGATGTGGTGAACACAATTAAAACCTTATGGACCATCTTCTTTCAAGGCACTTTCCTGTAGACTAGAAATAATAATTTTGTGATTCTATCTCTTAGATTTGGTATAAATTGACTTATTTGAAATAATTTCATATTGTTCTATAGCTCTGTTTGTATTAAATACCAGGTTTTTTGAATGCACTTTTTGAAATACACTCTTCTCTTTTCAGCACATATTGATTTATTTTCCTCTCTTCAATGCAATTTAGCTCTTAGTGCTGAAAAATTACATTTGTCTATTGTATTTAGATGCTGGCAATGCTTTGTGTAACAGACAAAGTGGTTTATGTTGGAATGTTTGTCTGTGTCAAATTGTAAGGGTGTGAGGCTGTTTAAATGGTTTGCACAGTGAAGCAGCTATCCAGTCTGAGCTGACCCCTTGGTTGTGGAGTACTTTAAGAGTACCCAATTCAGGGTATTTGCAGTTACTGTGCTGAACCAACTTCCCATAAGCCAATTTACACAGAGGGCTGCTTTGCCAGGGATACCAAAATCATGAACAAGAACACACAATATTTTGGAACAGCTTATGGTTGCATAAAATCTGAGGCCACCAGATGCTGAGAAAACCCCAAACCTAGATGGCACAGGCTCCCTACAAACAGCAGGACACAGTCTTCCATGAAACATCTCAAAAAAAAAAAATCAAAAGCAGGCACTTCCCCTAAACTCTATGAACAGCAGGACACAGTCTTCTATGAAACATCTCAAAAAATCAAAAGCAGGCACTTCCCCTAAACACAGTGATGGCTTTCATATGGAAATAAATGCAGCTACTGAAAAGTTTGGCCTTCACTGTCAGTTGATGAAAACTGTCTTCTGTGAGCTTTTTCTGTTTGCTTTTATACTATGCCTGTGGTTAGTGCCCCTCTTTTGAACTAGCTTCTGTGGGCATCTTTACCTTGACACAAAGAAATTCTGCAAGCAAAATATATAGTGTGGAAAAGTATAATGTAACTATTAATTGGTTAGTAAACACAAAATACATTCTGGATTTGACAAAGTCATTGGACTGAATACTCAACTCTCTGATAAAGCACTTGCATAGCCTTTCCTAGCCAAGCAGCCACCAGGCAGAAGGGGAAGGGTTTGACTGGCCTCCCTGTTCTTTTCTTTACTATAAGATTTTATATTTTTCTACTTGGTGTTTAGCCTCTTGAATTCTTGAGCAACTAGGAACCCCTGTCTCAACAGGGGCTTCAATTTTACACTCTTTTCTACAGAATTTTTCCACAGCACTTGCAATGGGAGTCTGGGATACACAGCAGTGCTGCTGTGTACAGGCAGGTGAGCCTTGGAGAGCCTTCCACGGGGCCTCCAGGGAAGAGGGGCTTACACAACCACAGAGAAGGCAACCTCCTTTGTGAAAATCATGTAATTGTCATGGGTGTGCTGTGAGAGCCACCAAAACTTGCATGGTGACATGTCTGAGCTACTTCCCCTTTGCCTGTCATCTGCTGTCAAGATAACAGCCAGCAGCTGCAGCAGGGTGAGTGGTGCCTGGGTTGTCTGAGGGAAGCCATTACATCCAGGTGACACCAAGGAGAGCGATGCGTGTGACAGAAGACCTTGCATGTCAGACTCTCAGAGGTTGTTCTTGTGGTCACTTACCTCTTGGGATTACAACTTAGCTAATGAACTTTTCTTTAAATGTAATTTTCATTATTTTCTACTTTTGATTATTTTTCTGTAATAAATATACTGATGTATAAAATTTCTTGTTTCCTTTTTTTTTCTAACTTGGTTTCCAAACTTTGCAAAAGGCTGAATAGCTAATTGTGTTGATCTGAGTTTGAGTTACTGTGATACATGTATGAAAAAAGGCAATTTGTGAATAAGATGTATTAACACTAAATGTATGCATATCAAAGGGAAAATGAGCACAGCTAATGGGCAAACTGTTCTTTCAAAGGTCGTTAAAAGCAGCTGTTTTGTAGTAATTATGTGCAGTTTAATGAGCTGTTCTTTGTTGGCCATTCCTATTGTGCATTCCATACAAGCAGGTTAAAGAATTTATTTTTAATTGAAGCAGAAGTTAAATACTTTGAATTTAGGAGTGACCTATCAAAAAATTGGGAAAGATTTGAGGTAATCAGTTTCTTCTTTAATAAGGGGAAGAGGTCTCCAGGAGGAAAAACATTTGACCTTGCAAAGGTAAACTAAACTGTTCTTAGTGTTTTCTTACACTGACAATAGGCTGGACTTTCCCCTTTGGCGGAAGATGTTACAAAAAGGCCAAAAAAATCCAATGAACTTACACAGCTTCCTGTGAGTCATTTGTATCTGGAAAGTTGAACTTGTTTTCTTCACTCAGAGACAAGGGAGCTGAACTGTGTGCTTAGGCACATCACAGCTTAGATGCAGTCCACGTACTTGTTAAAATCAGGAAACCAAATACCTCCTTCAGCTGTGATAAATACAGAGTGGATAGCTGTGTATAAGCCTCTGTGCATCTTATAAAATTATGGCTAGAAAAAGGGTGGAAGAGGAAAGCTACAGTGACATTAACCTCGAACAACTGCAATAGACTGCTTATCTTTGTGAATTTTATATTAGCTGTTGGCTTTCATTTTACAAATAAGGTATTCATTCCAAATTTTAAAAAAAGGTGTTTTAGAAGAGAAAGCAATTGTAGGTTGAAAACAGCACATTCCTGTTTGAATCCTTAGCAGGTGGACTCTAGGCAAGTCACCTGGTCTATAATTCTAAATCTGGGAATGAAAGGGACATGAAAGCTCACTATCCAGGTTTTCATAAATCCCTACCAAAACCAAGATTTGGGGCTTGTTTTATTGAATTTTTAGAGAAGAATGAGAGAATAGGGCACGCTCTGCAACAACAGGTAATAGGCGTGGAGAGCTCCGGAGTGAACTGGTAAGAAAGCAGGTTCTGGGGCAGGATTTACAAGAGGAGCATGCTGGACCAGGCCCTGTGGGAAATAAGAAGTGGCAGCAATAAAAAAAAGGGATCCGACTTCTGACATCAGTATTGCAGTAGTTCCACATCCTTGAAATACTTGTACATTGTATGAGTATGGAGGGTTATTTGTTTTGTTTGTTTGGGGTTTTTTTCCTAGTAAGTCCCTCAAAAAAAAAAAGATTCTCCAGGAAGTAAATTAGATTTCTCCAGGCTGTTTAAAATCTAGAACGCCTGAGAGGGCATTTGGGGACATGTTAGGGGGCATTTGGCATATTTTAACAGATAATCTGACAAAGGAAAACACAAGTGTTTCTTGATGACAAAATTACAGAGCTAGGAAAAAAATCTTGGTGTGAGAGGCTGACTAATAAGCTTCATAGTCATGCAGAAAAATACTAACTGCATTACACAGTTGGTTTTAAATTACTCTGACGTTTTCAGTACAGGGACCTGGGAGTCATTCTGCATAGCTGGAAGACATAGGATCAGTGATCTTTGACAGCCAAAAGGCAAGTAGAACATTAACAATTCCCAGGGAAAAAAAATTAAATTTAGTCTACAGAGCAATTCTATGGCATGCTCTTATTTTGAATATCATGGTGCTTCCAGTGCATCTCAGAAACTGTGCAACACAGAGACAGAAACAGGAGAAAGAAAAAGTAAAAAAAGAATGAGCAGAAATACAGTGGTGTCATCACAAGAGGTTATGTAACTCACTTTCCAGGCTGAAAACATCTCAAGGTGAGGAATACTATGTCTGTAAAAGAGTGAAATATTAATAGGGAACAAGTAATTGCTGGTTTTGTAAAATCAAAACTCATCAACACCCAGTGAAATCAGATTTAAACCAAACAGAAAAGAAACTTCTTTACACAGCCTAATTCCATCAGGGACATTCTTGCTACAGGATCTGGTAGAAGCAAAGAAACAGCTTCAAGAGACGTGACCTACACAGAGACTTGGCTGCAAAACCCCTGCATTTGCATGATCCAAATGCAGCCTTTGTGTCAGGAAATTACGCAGCTGCAATCAGTGAAGGACAGGAGTGGGCACCAGTGAAGATCTCCTTCCAGAAGGATCACTAGCCAGTGTGGGAGACAGGGTGACCATCATGGTGATTCTTGTATTCTTGCAGCCATTGGAAAACCAAGTTAAGAACCTTGTCAAATGAACTAAACCCCAGGTAGGTCATCTCTAGAAATGGAGGCTGAAACATCTTCATGTACAGAAAGGACAAGATTCACGATTCATGAGAAAATACATCTTTAAATTATTTTTGTTACAGTATAGTGACTTTCTCTGCAGATGAAGGGTGAAAAAGAGCTAAAGATGATAATGGATGCTTTTTCCCTTTTCTCTGGCATTCAGATGTTTGAGAGTAATGGCACTTCCAAATTCTTGCATAGAAAAACCCCACTTACCCAAGCTTTGAAATGTTTCTTCTCACCTGTGCTTTGAGCTTTCTGCAGCCTGCGCTCAGGCACATCAGCAAGCTCAGGTATTTCAGAGCAAGAGCTCTTTAATACTTCATCCCAGAGGCACATTTCAAACCTGTCCTTCACTCAGCCAGCCGGAGGCTGAGGTCTGCCAGTGCCCAAGGGTACTTCCTTCTACACTGCCACATCTGTAACACTTAAGGAAACCTTCCCAGCAGCAAACGCCTGCCGTTTACTCACTCCCATTCTCCTGCTTAGCTCCAGGGATCCAGCAGACCTTTTGCTCTGAGCCTGCCCGTGTCTCACGCTGTACAGCTGGCAGCTGTGGCCGGCGGCCGCCGCAGGTCAGAGCGGCTCCAGCAGCCCGGCTTCCCCCGCTCCGTGCCGTGCCGTGCCGCTCCGTGCCGTGCCGTGCCGTGCCGTGCCGTGCCGTGCCGCTCCGTGCCGTGCCGAGCCGTGCCGTGCCGTGCCGCGCCGTGCCGCTCCGTGCCGTGCCGCTCCGTGCCGTTCCTCCGGGCACAGCGGGAGCTCCGAGGCTGTCACAATGCAGCCTCGGAGCGGCCTGAGCTGCGCGTTCTCCTCCCCGCAGGGCTCCCGCTCGCCCGGGGCTCCCGGCCACAGTGCAGCCTCGGAGCGGCCTGAGCTGCGCGTTCTCTGCCGTGTGCAGGGGCAGTGAGGAAAAATGCATGCAGTCTTAGGTAAAATCTTCAGGGGACCCTAAAAAGTACACTTCACTCTTCTATGCAAACACACAGCCATGTGCACTGACTCCACGGCACTGTACCAGCAGAAATGTTTTCTACTTACCACAGTTAAAATTATTTTGACATTGCTAATAATCCATGACTGACGTTTAGGGATCAGCCACTGCAACCAAACTCACCCTTACCTGTATCAGTTGCACTGTTTAAAAATGCTAGTGATCCTAAAATAGTTAAGATTAACAATTGTATTCAAAGTACAAAATTAAGCCAAACAAAATTATTTATTTTGGCATTAGATTTATACAGAAACTAACTTTAGCTTCATAATTAAAATAAAAATCTAATGCACTAGAAATGTGCTTCCACTGTGGGTTAGTAGGAGTAGAAAAGAATGTGTATTGTTCTGTGAAAGGAATGAATTAAAAATTTCAGAGTTTAGAAGCTGTTCATGCCAAGTTCTCATATCCT